ACTTGGGGCCCCTAACGTGCATTACCATTGATTACACGAACAGCCGCCGGTACGATGCTCACCCAGATCGAAACAGGCAGGAGCAGGGATGGGGATTGAGCCCAAGATTCCTGGGTTCTGCAGCGCGACCTTTCGCCCCACGTGCTCCGAGCTGCGGTGCCTTGACACGCTCGGCCACCGATCCGTCCGCCCAGTGAACACGTAACAGACGCCCATACGCATCGTTCAAGGACGCGCTTCTGCTGGCTGTGATTGATGTAACAGAACCTTCTGCGTGCACAGAATCGTGTTGGGATGTGTACACGGAGCAGAAGCCCCGTGGTCCCACTTCAATAATTCGTCCGTTGCATCGTATACAGTGTGATACCCAACGCGGCTTCATTAATTTGTGCAAAGTAATTTTATTACGGCTGAACACCGATTGAGCGTTTTTATTCGGTGAAAATAGGTGAACTTTAATAAATAAATACTAGTACATACATGCCGGGCAAATATAATACACACGAAATCCCCGTAGAAGGGTCCGCTTTTGAGCGATTAATCGGTTAAGGAATTAGTTACCAACACGTGCATTAATCGAAGAAGCGATAAAATAATTGCTTAGTTTCACGGCTCTAACATTACTCTTGCTCGAACTGGAGCGCTCTACGAGATTCTTCGGTCATGTAAGCCCATCGTAAACGCAGTGATGGGAGTGTTGCGCCATGTGCGCTAAATTGCGCCAGGAAAGAAAGTCTGCTACATCTTGCGCCAAAATGCCACTTTTTGCTAAGAATTGCCCCACGTCTGCGCCAACATGAGCTTAAAAGGAAGCTAAAGAAATTCCTAAATTCGGAAAAAAAAAAAAAAAAGAACAGTAAACGTTGTAATCTAGACACCCTATAAATGATGCGTCCTATGTTTTATTTCGATCTTATTAGTGGTAGCGTCGTAATATTCAATTACAATTTCGACGTAGACCCGCCCCTTGTTGCGCACCGACAGTAGGAAAGCGTGAGAGCGGAGAGAAAAACTGGAAGAAGTGACGTCATCAGCGGTGTCTGATGCCCCTCTCTCGCCACTAAGCTGGCTGGGGGATGCCACCAATGACGTCACGACGCTCTGGACATAACAGGCGGCAGAGAGGATCGCCCCGTGCACAGCGGCAATCGCTGCCCGCATTTTTTCGAAATGAATGCGGTTTACGTTTACTTCTGCCCAAGATAAGTGCGATAACTGAATTCACGGTACAAAAAAGCTATAGAAGTCCGCCCAGAACTCGGATTTCTTTAAAAGTGCTCAATTTTAATGCTCAGTCAAGCAGAAGAAAGGAAAATGGTACAGATATGGGCACTTTGCAGTGTCTTTTTAACTCACCGTATAGTTTGTTTCATTATTAGAACTTTGAGTTTGGCAGGTTCATAAAACTTGGGGGACGTGTTTTACTGATAGACGCATTGTAGTGGACATGAAATAAATGTTAAGGCGTAAACGAGCTGGTGTACAATATAAACCTGATAAAAAAATCCCGAGACTGCAGGTAACGACACACGTAACCTGCAGTCTCAGGGGTTTTTGAATCATGTCTAGTGGACATGCTGGTTTTTGCTGATATTGTATGTGAAATATTTTTACACTCTAAATATACTACCGAGTGTAAAATGGGGATGAGAAGAGAGGCTTTATCTCAACTGAAGTGTTGTACTATGCTTTATTTTATTTATTTATTTATTTATTGTACCTTCAGGGCCCGAGGGCATTACAGAGGGGAAACGGTTACAAAAGGAAAATCACTAAAAAACAAAATAACAACCTAAGAATAGAAACACGAACATAAGAAATTTTAACTTAGAAAAGTGGTTAAACAACGCTTAAACATAATGGGATCTGTTAGAGACACAACTGACGATAGAGGTGGTTCCACGTGACTGTTGTTTTGGGGATGAATGAATTATAAAAAGTAGTGGTTTTACAAACAGGTAGACCGATTTTGTTTTGGTGATCGACGCGTGGCGAAACATATGAGGGAGGAGTTAGTAATTTTTGGTGCAAGGAAGAATTGTGATGATAATTTTATCAAAGACGGGATAACTCACGACGTGAAGAAAGGTTAGGTAGGTTTAAAAGCGTTTTCATGGATGTTACGCTTGCACTACGGTGATAGTTGGTAAGAATGAAGCCAACAGATCTATTTTGAATAGCTTCGACTGCTGTTGTAAGTAAGTCAGTACTGGGATCCCATATAGAGGAGGCGTATTCCAATTTGGAGCGGACAAGGGTTTTGTATACTAGTAGCTTGAGAGATACAGGGACAGATGGAAAATTACGTTTGAGGAAGCCAAGCATGCGGTTAGCATTGTTAGTTATGTAGCGAATATGAGGCTCCCAAGACAGGTTCGATGAAATATGGATCCCCAAGTACTTATACGATGATGCACCTTCCAACCAAACACTGTTTAGATAGTAGAAAGAAGGGTGCGAGTTAAGTCGAGAAACAGTCATTACTTTACATTTGTTAGTGTTGAGCTGCATGTTCCATTTGTTACACCAATTAGAAACACAATCAAGGTCAGACTGAAGGATAGCAACATCAGAGGTGTTAGTTATTTCTCGGTAAAGAACGCAATCATCTGCAAATAAGCTAATAGAGGACGAAACGCAGGAAGGTAAGTCGTTGATAAAAATAAGAAAGAGCAGGGGACCTAACACTGAGCCTTGAGGGACGCCTGATGTCACGGGAGCTGGACTTGAAGAAGTATTATTCACAGACACAAATTGAGATCGGTTATTAAGGAAAGCACGAATCCATGAAAGTACATCCTGATCAATCTTAAGTTTGCTAAGCTTATGGAGTAGTAGATTATGTGACACCTTATCGAAAGCTTTAGCGAAATCAAGGAAAATACAATCCACCTGGGAACCACGTGATCAAGAATAAGGTGAAGGTCATGAGTGAAGGTGAGTAGCTGAGTTTCACACGAAAATGATTTACGGAAGCCATGTTGTGCAGGAGCAAAGAATGAATTGGATTCTAGGTGTTGAACGAATTGAGAAAACATAATATGCTCAAGAATTTTACACGGAATGCTTGTTATGGAAATGGGACGGTAATTGAGGGGAGAATGATGATCACCGGTTTTATGCACAGGCGCCACTTTAGCCACCTTCCAATCGTCAGGTAAACAGCCTAGAGTAAGTGATTGCTCAAATAATTTAGACAGTATTATCGAAGAATATTCTTTTGTGCTTACCAAAAATTTAGAATTAATTCCGTCAACTCCCGCGGAGCAGGATATTTTTAACTGTTCATTTATCTTTATAATTCCACTTGTTTGAATTAAGATGGGATGCATGGGCAGAAAAGCGCGTGGTTGAAGTTGAGGTAAAGTTGAAGAAATACAGTTTGAAAATGATTCAACAAAAGTAGAATTTAAAACATTTGCACAGTCATCGGTGGAAACAGGTTCACCTGATAAACTAAACAAAGACACTGTGGTGTTTTTTTTTGCCGTTAATCGCATTCCAGAACTGTTTGACGTTGTTGGTTTGTAGTGATGGCAGGGTGATAGAAAAATAAACTGACTTTGCATCCGCGATTGCACCTTTGTAAGCAGTGGCAGCCTCATGATACTCGAGCCATCTAACCTCGGAATTTGTTAACTCTGCTGCACGAAATTTGCGCTTCTTTTTATTGGAAAGTCTTTTTAGGGTGTTAATGAACCAAGGGGAATTCGAAACAATTGGGATGTTACGTAGCGGTATATGTTTATTGGTTAGGAGCTCAGCCTGCGTCTTCAACAATGTCCAGTTTAATTCTAAAGAACGGTCAGAAAAGTGGTCTAAGTTATCTTTAAAAAAAAGGCCAAGGGCACCGTTAATAGAGTCATAGTCACCTCTACCATAGTCTCGTATTTAAACGAGACTATTTAACTCTTTTTTAATGCGCATTGTAAATGGAACCTACTCTAACCCCAGCCTTATTTTTAAAAACAGAAAATGCTGTGTTCTTTTTGCGTCTTATCTATTCTTATTAGAAAAGATAATAAGCAACATGTTTCAATATCAGCGAGGTAACTTCAGTCATAATCAAATATGAACTCATTTCGCAATCGATGAAATAACTTGTTCAATTTCGAGTGATGTCCTAACAGATGTCAGCATCTGCTCCAAAAACGTCAGTGGCTGCTCCAATCCAATAATTTGCCTGCTACAAAACATGCTACAAAAGGTCAAATGCCGTTTCCATTACTGTAAACGGGTACAAGTACACTCCTACATATGTGCACTCGCTCGTACTCCTAGCCTGTACGGTGTGTTCGAAGCTCCCCTGCTGTCGTTCATCGGATGTGCTTTCTTGTATTGGGAGGGCTCGTGAACGTTGTTCATTTTCTTTCACTTTATTATTATTATTTTTTTTAATCACACACCAAGCGCTTTAAATTGCTACGAGAGGTTGATCATCTTTTGGCGTAGAGGAAGCGTTGGTGATAACGCAATATTGTGATTGTAAATTGGGTCAGAGAATTGGGGTCGATTCGCTGATCTGTTAAAACCCTACTATAAATAGCAAAAGCCGCTTGTGACTGCTTATGGCCGGTTCGTAAGCAGCCACAGCGGCTTGAACAGTTGGTCAGAGTGTGTGAACTAGCCTTTAGTTCTTACCGCGGAGCGTTTTGCTACTTCCTGTTGCTAGATACATTGCTCATTGTTAGGCTAGGCTCTTGCCTAACTTTCCCTTACCTAACCTAGCGTAACCTAACGTAACGTAACCTAACGTAACGTAACCTTCCTTAAATCAATCCTGTGACACATCCCTGTCCCCATACCGAATTGAAGAACACAGACTTTGCTTCTTTTCTCAGCTCAAGACCATCCTTCTGAGGATGTGCCCACTTTGTTTTTGAACTTGGCCACTCAATTAGTCACACGAAGCATCACGTGACAGCGAGGCATCCTCGACAACGACACAGCACCGCCGACACCTCAGCAGCAGCTCTTCGGCTTGGTCCTCCCTGCTGCAGGGCTGCGGCATGGCGCCGCTGCAGAGGCTCTCGTGTCCTGCGCTGCTGGTCTTGGTGTCCGCGCTGGTCGCGGTGACCGACGAGTCCGGCCACTGCCCCGACCGGCAACGGGACGCGGGCGTCCTGCTGCTGCCGGAGGCTGACGTCTTCCTGGGAGCCTTCGTTCAGGCCCATGCGCCCGCCAGGGACGCCCTCCTGGGCTGCGCGGGTCCCCTGGCGTCGGGCGTCGAGCTCCTCGAGGTCTTCAAGTGGGCCGTAGCCCTCCTCAACAGGGACCAGGGCTTCGTGCCGGGCGTCAAGATCGGTGAGGGCGCCCGATGTCTGCTTTCACATGGGTGCAGCCGTAGCGCAACGAATTTCGCTTCATTCATTTTACCTCAGAAGCACGTATTACATGACGAAGTTGAAAGCAAGAAAGTTCGAGAAGTCGTGATGTACGTATATGCATCTAAACAAAATAATAGCTAGTGATAGATGTCGTATATACGCTTATACAATAATAATAACGAGGGACCTGTTAATACTAAAAAATATAACGACGTTAAATAACCTGAAATGCGAAACGCTCAATATAAATAGATAGTTCACAACTCAGTGCACCAACAAGCGAAACAAAACCAATTAATAAAAATAAACAAGTCAAGGCAGCTTTTTCTTTAAACAATATGGGATCTGAAAGTGACATTTTCGGCGATACTATTCCAATTCTTTATGTATAGGGCGAGTGCATGGGTAATCGAGGTAGGATGGATATGACGACTATGATATATGGGTAAAAGAGGAAGCGAGAAGGATTGGGTGCGTGTGTTTGATTCACTCGATTCGGTGCGCTTCGGTTTCAACCGTGTAAACGTAACCATAGAAGCAGGCTATCACTCATCCTTTCCTTCCCATGAAATTGACTTATTCTGTGACATGCTAACCTCATTTTATTAAGCCAACCCCTTATCTAACACCCTGATATCAGGGTTCTTGACCCTATTTAAATAAATACATAGATAAATATCCTCTTTCTTCGCCTCGCTCTCGACTTCAACTCGCTAAATTCAGTTTTCAGACATCGATAACATTGGACATTGATTCTTGACCTCGACCGGTGTGGAAGAATAATAGGGATAAATTATGAATATTGCGGTTCAATCAGAAAGCCACGGAGGTTAGTTTATAGTAATCGAATAAGGTATTTGTCGTTTATTTGTAATTTAGTAGCTATTCTGCACAAACTTATAAAATAACCTTATCTAACATTTGTGTCACGTGGGAGTTTTGGCCCCCTCGCGAGACGCGATCACAATTTCTATCTTGCTCGAAATGCATGCCTTCTGGTTATCGCTAGATTCGACGATCTATTGCTCGATATTACGAAAACATACTTTCTGGTATGATTCACCACTGACATCATGGACAGTTCAACATCGAGAGACGTACGGAGAAAGATCAATATCCTGACTGTCCTCCCCTTTTGTTGGTTCAATCATGTGCGTGATTTTGTATGATTTGTCCCTTATAATTCAGGTATGCGGGTGTACGATTCCTGTGGCCACAAAACGAAGGCCTACCTCCAGCTCGACTCTCTGCTTCCTGTTTTAAGAGGGAACTCCGAGACGTGCCTCGGCACTGCCAATAGCTCCAGGGTGCTGGGTAAGATTGATGACTCTTTATACTGCTCCGCTCGTGGTACCAAAGTAGTCAGCACTAGTATAGGGAATATCTTCGTCCGTCGCCCTTAATGTTAGTTTGATTTTCAGGAACCCTGATGACAAAAACATTACGTGACGAGGATCTGATCGCCAGCCTTTTGAGGGAACACGATGTCCCGAGCATTCCATTGGAAAGCAGTGCCATAGCTGCTCCGGAAATCTTAGCCAAGGTGTGTGTCCTTTTTTAATCTCCATTCCTCTGTACTCGCGGTCACGTGCTTTTGAGACATTTACATAACTAATAAAACAACCGACTGATAACAGGAAGAGAGAAATCCCAAAAACGCTCCTCGAAGAACCGAACGCTTGTGTCTCTTTTAGTACGATTCGTCAAGTGAACACGAGTGTAGTCTTTAATTATAGTTTTGCATTTTCCTGTGAATACATTTTGTGTAATAAAGTACACCAGAGTGCAGGTGTTGATTGGGTTTTGTTTGCCACACATTGAGGCTATCCTTTGGGACGTTGTTAAGCAGAGCGTATACAGTTTCACTAAGCGGCCTTTAACCTAGATTGTTCAACTTTGACTTCAACTAATCTTTTCCTGTTAACGTCAACTTCGATCATTGTCAGAACAAAATGTGTAGGGCTCTCCCGAACGACTGAGCAAGTACCATCTATCTTCTTGTATAGGTCTTGCTGGAATCCGCCTTCGACATGAAGTGGGAACACTTCGCCATTCTTCATTCACAAGATGAATACAGCGTCTCCGTCGTCAAGACCATTAGCCAGAGGGTGGTCTCCACGGCGTCTCCCTGCATCACGCGAATCGAAGCCATTCCAACGCCCGACAAGAGGGACGCGTCCGAACTCCACCGGCTGCATTCTCTGCTGAGCGAACTGGACGACTCGGTCATTGTGGTTGCTTCGCCCACCACGGTCGAAGCCCTCGCCGATGTGCTCTCCTCGGAGCCGTCGGCCAAGCGCCGCCAGTGGCTCTTCTCCTGGGTTCCGAGCGAAGAAGCGCTCGAAAAGCTGGGCGTTCTCCTTAACATGAGCGGCTTCTACGCGCTGGGTCCGTACCCTCCATCCGTCAGGTCGTTCGAGGAGCACTGGAGCAAGCTGGCTGAAGTGAGCGTCCCGGGAAAGCCAGAAGACCAGTGGTATCTGGACTTGGTCGCCGCCAATAAGCACTGCAGGGTTCAGGGACTTAGGCAAGCTCTTTTTTTTACGTGATAGCGTTAAGGAGCGCGTGTCGCAGAAAGTACGGCGTCGGTGTCGGCATCAGCGTCGGTGAGACCGAAAAGTCCTGATTGGTCGATAGGGTCATGACGTCACAGCCTCGTGTGACGTCACACGTGGCTGTGACGTCATGACGCTATCAACCCGCTAAATTTGTCTAGAAAGTTTTCCGCTAATTTTGCGCGGGATTTATATAAGCGCGGCCGGGTTCATATGAGAACGCTTTGCGAACGGGGCCCGATAACGCTATCGCATGTGAGTTCTTTGTTGTTTCCTCCCCTTGAGCTAATTGGGGTATCCGAGAAGGGAAAAAACAGACGCGTTTGCACTGGGAGTTGTATATCGCATCAACAAGTGGATCGGCATGGATTTCGGTCGGAAATGTCTGTGCTCGAACCCTTCGTTACCGGAAGTCAGTTTCCACGTTAAAGAGGCCCTCATCGCCTTGGGCTACCACCTTTCTTTTTTGCCCCCAAATGAGTAAAAAGACAAGCTTTTTTTTTCGATCATTTTAGTCATAATTGTTTCAAGTTCAAATGGCAGCCAACTTGGCCTATGCCTCCGCAGTGAAAAATACTTGCTATCACAAGTGGGCACAGTACAAGTACACCGATATGAGCGTCAAAAAATGTATTCTTTTCGACTTTTCTATTTTGTTTTTCCACCCGGAAAGCTAATTTACCATGTTCCCCACCGTGCTGCTCTGACCCCAGAACCCCGGGCCAGGAGAACGCTTCTCCCTGTGCGGACTTGGGGCTTCGGCTCATGCCGACCGACGCCCTGGTGCGGACCTCCCGTGCACTGCCGGCCATGCGCGGCGTGTTCACGCTGGCGCAGGCGCTCCGTTCCGCCTGGAAGGCCACGTGCCGGGGCCAGGCCGGCCTGTGCCCCGAGCTGCGGGCCATGACGAGGCGCCAGTTCGCCCAGGCCTTCCTTGAACCCAAGGGGTCTGGCGCCGAAGACGCGCCCGTGTCCGGAAGGGGTGCCCGGGCGGCGGCCGATGTGCTGGGCGAGCTGGGCAACAGCCACCTGGCCCTGACGAGGTTCTTGCACACACCGGGCCAGGGAGCCGACTTTACGCAGGTGAGTACGTTTGAGCGTGAAGGCCCGTTCACACTCTTGCGACCGAGTAAGACCGAGAGAGAGCAGACCGGGTTTTAAGCCTCTTGCGATCTCTTAGCACCAGATTCGCTGTGGCGCATCCGGTCCTAAGAAGTCGCAAAAGGCTTAAAAACCGGTCTAGTCTCTCTCGGTCGTACTCGGTTGCAACAGTGTGAACGGGCCTTGACCGATTGCGTTACGACCTCTTATGACTGCCTACGACGAGGTGGTTACTATATGGTAAGTGACGTCCGCACAATCCGTCTTTGTAAAACGCAAGCAATCTGAAACCAGCCGGTCTCAATCAAACGTAAATGACTTGGCCAGGTTTTTCTCAAGATGCTCTATCAACTTAAGGAAATTTTGTTTTCTCTATTAACTTCAATTATCTCGTTTTTGGGAAGAGGAGAATGTTCTGATGGCAGAATCATACAACATAACTTAGAGTGCATAAATTCCAGGGGGAAATGCACCATGACATGCCCTGGTGGTGAACGGGTCGAGAGTCACGCTATTCTGATGATTGACATCGAGTTGTGCCGCGTTGTGAGAACTCATTTCCCATGTGGAAGAGTGCCACGTGGCGCTGGTCTACGCGCGTGCAAACTCTCCTCGGTTTAAGTCGGTTGACCGTGACTAGTACCGAATACGATATACCAGAGTGGTATTTGAAGCCGCGTATTTGTGATCCAAACTGCCGCCGTTATATTTCGCGATTAAAACTGCCGCTTGTTTGTTGTGACTCGCCTTGCAGAGAATAGAAGGTAACATATTTTTGGGTGTTCACTTTCAGCACTGATATGTGTTTTACACAGATACAATAATGACATATTTTGAACTGTTTTCTACAGGTGATACTGTATGATTCAGAGGAAGCCAAGCTGCTTGAGAAGGATACCAAGTTCCTGCCTACCCTGTGCTCTCCCAGCACGTGCCAAAACTGCATCCGGTATACCTGCGCTTAATTGCTTCTGAAGACTGTTGAACACCTTCCTCGAGCCCAAGGGAACCCGATATAATTTATCTTTTTGTGTTCATGCACACTCACATTTCTTACCAATGTCATGTAGATATTAAGTAAAAAACAAAATGACTTTATATAAAGATTTTTTTACCTTTCGACCTTGTTTCCAGGTTGACAGGATATAGCACCTTGCAGTGTATCGTTTCTAAGCTTGTTAAATAAACGAAGACTTCAATTATTATTAACTCGAAGGTTAACAAGCAGCAATGTTTCCAAACCACCTAGAAAAATAATGTGAAAAAAAAACTATCTATTTGATTTTGATTTTTTTTTTTATCTTATGTCACCAGGTTCTTTGTACAAGAGCATAATCATCGACGTACAACCACAGATTTATTCCAATATATGTACGCTTATGTTAAAAAAAAAGTTTTTATTGTTTTTGAGTTGTACATTTTACAAAAGTTGTGAAGGTAAAGATCGGGTTTTATTTTTTAATTTAAAATTCGGGCAACAATAGAGTTTCTTTCCCGTAAATATTATGATTCGCAAGTTTAAAATGTCTCCACATTCTGGGAGAAATCGGCTTGAACACGATTTTATTGAACTTGCTCAGGGTGCAGATTTCAGGTAAGATCGTATTTTACACTAAAATGAAGGTCTCTAGAAAGGCTGTGACTCAAGCTCTGACTCAAAGAGAAACCTCTGCTTACAACATCATTTGCCTTAGGTGTTGCATTGCCTAAGTAAACTGTTCCGTTGACAGGTTTCGAAGTTCTCGACTGGACGAGACAGAGAGCCATCCCTCTTCAACATCGACCATCAGCACCGAGATCATGGAAGACGCGGCAGACGTCGTCTTGCCCATCCTTCTTCCTCTCCACACGAATGGCCAGACGCCTTTCACCTGCGGTCGAGCTGTAAACCGAAACGCCGTGCAAGACCTCGAGGCCGCTAGCTGGATGGTCGGCAAGATCAACTCCAACGGCGACCTTCTGCCCGGTCTCAAGCTGGGCCTCCGAGTCATCGACACCTGCTCGTCCAGTCTCATCCTTACCAGAGAAGTGTCTTCCATCCTGGAAGCATTCACAGAACAAAACCTTCCAACAGTCTTCATATCCTCCGGGTCGCCGGAACTCTCGCAAGTGGCTGCTTCCATTTTGGCGCGCCTGAACGTCACCCTGATCTCGACGGGCGACGTGGCCGAGACGCGTGGTGTCCAGAGCTTCCGCTACCAGATACCTCTTCCAGTCGAAAAGGTGGCCGACGCCACAGTCCATTACTTGCAGCACCTCAACTGGAACTTCGTTTCTGTCGTTGCGAGCGAAAGCGAAGCCAGGGCGGTCCAAGCCTTCAAAAAGCACGCTCATTCCGCTGACATCTGCACGGCTGTGGATGCGACTGCCGCTGGAGACTTGGACGCTCTTCTAGTCCGACTCAAGGCGGCCTCTGCGACGGGAGCGCGTGCCGTAGTCCTCTGGACAAATCCCGATGACACCATCAAGTTCCTGGATGCCGTGAGGAGAGCCAGGGCTCACGGCCTGCTCAGGCCTTCCGATCTCGTGCTTTTGCACGGAAGCGGGCAGCCCGTCAGCTTCGACGGCTTTGAGGAAGAGGTCCTGGGCGCCGTGCTTCTCAGGCCACAGTATGGGCAAGTGCGCGACTTCGAGTCCTACTACGAGCGGCTGAAGGCGGACCAGGATCGGTTTTTTGCCGAGCTCTGGGAACAGGGCAAGGTCTGCCGGGGTCCCGGTGACTGTATGGTGGAGTATACACCGAGTCGGTCCGTCGTGGATGTGATGCAGGCTGTAGTAACGGCCGGCACGGCGCTGCGGAACCTACGCGACGTTGTGTGCGGTGCGCCGCACGAGGCTGATGCGGGCTACTGCACGAGGCTGCTCAAGAGTGCGACAGGTGTGGGGGTGGCACTGGACGCACACGTCCGTCGGGCCAAGACCGCTAGGATTGGATACAAGGACCTCATGTTTGGCTTTACGGAAGATGGACACGGGGACATCGGTGTGGACCTGTGGAACGTGCGCAAGTCGTCGGCTGGAATTACTCCGCAGATGGTGAGTGCGATCGGTTCTTTTTCTTTTGGTGTAACGGCAGCAGACCAACTGATATCGTTTTTGTGGCACATTATATACTAAACGCTTCTTCAAAATGAAAAAAAAAAGAACACTCCGGAAGCCAGGGGACGTCAGAACTAAAATGATTACACAAGCTTGACAAAACATGCTAAAACAAATTCATTGGTATTTTGGGCTCCTCGTGTGGGAGGCATGACCAGTGTGTGCACAGCAAATGCGAACGTCTATCTCAGTATAAGGCTATTACTGGAAATGTCCGAATAATCTCTAGAACAGGTGGCCGCTTTTTTTCTTCTCCACTCTGACGTATTGTGAAGTCGAAGGTGTGGCCCATATCATATCACCATAAACCCGGGATCGATCGTTATTGAGATGAAGCGACATTGAGCAACGTTACCGAATAATGTCATTTTTTTTGCGATTTTGTTTTCTGCTATATTTCTTTTCATCGGTGCATTTCTGCACCGGCTGTCATAGCTGTCGGTTCGCGTTGTTTTCCGCTCTTTCGTTTGTGTCATGCTGAGACGTTTTTTGAAGAAAAAAACAACACAGTTATTGTCATCATTTGATGTTGGCCGAACATCCGATCTCCTGGTTTTTCCAGGTTTTCGCACAGGGTGCCAACGCTGTCATAAAAACTACTATACTCGGGGACAACTTTTCTCGGCAATGCGGTCAAAGGTACGCGTGCACGCGTGCCCTCTCCCCTTTTGAGCGCTCATTAAAGCTGTGCGCGCGCTCTCCTTCCCTCCTCAGAAATGCCAAGAAAAGTTGTCCCCGGGGATCGTGTAATAAGATACGCGTATGTAAAGCACTAACTCAAGTCGTAAGTATGGCGTTCAACACGAACATATGTGCAAATAAAATACGAAAAAGCGCCGATGTTGGAACCTGGTCTTGCTGTATCACGTGTTCGGGCTGACTGCGTCGCGCCGCTATACAAACAGTGTGTATAGACTTCAAACGGATGAAAATAATTGCGTTAGTGGTTTATAATAATATATACCCTACTGTCGCGGCAGTTCTCGGGGAAATAGTTCCATAGAACTCCTGAGTGGCTAGATGTTTTAGTGGCTTTTGATTTTGCCCACGTCCATTATGCTTTGTCAACTTTCTTGCATCCAGTATAGACAAATATCCTTTCAGGGCTGCCTGATTGCTGTGAGCATTAAGGCATTGGGCGAAGGCTAATTACTTCATCCATGCTTGACTGCATACCGTTGACATCATATGAGCACGATGGCGCTTTTGGATATCGATCGACAGACGGCTTACGGGCCCTCGCGCTAACCTATGTGGCCATACGTAATGTAAACTTGGTTTGCATGCAAGGTGACGAATACAATACATTGGTGGGTTGTGTTACCTGTCTTTGTTTTAAGCCCCTCCGAATGAAACGAAAACTGTGTGAATGCGGTTTAACTTCGTGTGAACTGCGCGCAAACGAAACATTAATTTTTAAATAAAGAATTAGTTTTTTTTTTTTTTTAAACTGCGTCGGAAGAGTCGTTGCACCTATGCGTGCGTATTCACCAGAAAGCGTGAAAACGACGTTCCGGTTCCCAAGTATACCGCTGTTGCCGGCTGCTCGTATGTCGGTAAAACCGCGCAGTCCACGTGCCGCGGCATATTCGCACACGCGTGTCATCAATCGTCCTCAAGCGCGTGACGAAGAGATAAAATACCTCGTGAAAGACGGGCCACAACTTGTGTCGTGGAGGCATCACGACCTCCTCTCCGGACCCATTTCTGGAGGAAGTAGCGAGGTCGCGGCCCTCACGCAAGCCGAGTAAAAGCAGCGCATTTTTCTCACGCACTCGGACGGGCAACAATGGAAGGTCACGTTCACGATTCGTCGTTAGACGGAGCGCTCTGAGATTAGAGCAAGGGGGCCAGACATAACGAATTAGCGCGTTAACGTCGCAGCTGCCACGCCGCTCCGTTCTTCATAACGCGCTTTTGTTTTTGTCCTTTTAGTCGAGTCTCGACGGTAAATAGGAACTGCCGCACTTCGCCCGTATACGAAGCTAAATGCGCGTCCCCCCCGCGGGGGGCTGTGGTTTTCTCGGGAGGGAAATTGGGTAGCCCGGCGGAGAGCTACTGCCGCTCCAAAATAATCCTCGGAATTGATTAGCCAGCGATCGCGAGCCTTGACACGTGAATGTGTGCCAAGGCGCTCGTTCACGTCGGAGCTCTCCGCACGGAGGTGTGCTCGTTGACTTCGGTTATTGTGGCGGTGACACTTGGGAGCAGTGAAATATCACCTGACGGATGCTAGACGGAAGAATATATTAGTGTTTTCTTTGTTCGTTTGTCTGGCGCTTTAATTACCGCTTATATTATGTTTAGATACGTTGCCTTCGGGGTCTGTGTGGAACGATGAGATCATGAGGTCGACGGTGGGAGCGGTAGGCCACATGTTATGTTCATACAATGTTCATACAGTGGAACGCTGTTCTTCGTAGAGGGAACGAAGGAACTGCTGTACCTCGTAGTGGTGAAAGCGGAGCAGGAACCCGTTACATTTTCTAGGGATAGGGCGGATTTTTTCTCGCGCGGAAGTTTGCGCTATATTTTTGAAAGTCTGCGTTATATTTTTTTAAAATTATGGCTCCCCTCGAGATCGCGAAGTTTCGACGTCCCCGAACTAAACTGCGACTCATACTTGACTTCACAGAGCGAATATGCGGCAAACAACCGACCAACTTCACCCGGTGGTACGTTCGCTTTGTGCGCCGTGTGAACAGCCACTCTGCTGTCGCAAGACATGTACAAGTTACTAAAAAAATGTTTATGTTAAGCTACTAAGTATTGGCCTCAAAAGTAATTTGAGTATGACTAAAAATCACTCAAATGGAAAGTAATTGAGAAAATGACTAATTACTACCGTAAAAAGTGGAAAATTACTTTTGAAGTTACTCTTATATTTTTTTATGGTAACAAGAAAGTAAATACGTTTTGATCGGTTAGCGAAATAGTGCTAGCCAAATATGAATCGATTTTTTTTCCCCAGGAATGCTTTAATAGCTGGTTCTGCTTTTGCGTGGCTAATTGTTTTCTTCTTATTTTTTTTTTTTTTTTGGTCAATGATGTACTTCGAATGTATCATTTCTACTTTGAAGTTTAGCATTACCTGCGCTTGATATTTTAGACAGTGTTTGCCTGTTTACAGTGCTGAGTAAAGTACATCTAAAAGTATTTCGAGTAAAGTCCAAAGTAATTTGGAGGTTATGTACTTCAAGTAAAGTAGTAAGTACACCGGGTGTAATGTACTTGAAGTAACGTACTATAAATACAATATATTTAGATAAAGTACACGTACTTTTAACACAAGTTTTCATGGTGCCCTTTCATTCCCTATGCAGTGTTTTTTTAACTGGTATGCATTGCTCCAGGGGTAATCGGAGGTGCATCAGCTTTTTACGGAAATGGCATCAAATATTGTATAAAGTCAAATCGCCACAGAGTAGCTGTTTTACTCTTGCTGACGAACTATTTAACACAATGCACTTATAAGGCATTTGTGTCGGTTTTATAGCCGCCATTACTTCACTCGAAGAAATGACCAGATGACGTCTCGAAAAAGCGCGTTTTCACACGACGATACGCCATCATTTGTTTTCAAATTCGGGGAATGTACATTGAAGTCGGGAGTTTTACTTTAAGTACCAGAAAAAAAATACTCTAGTAAAGTATAAGTACATGCTCAAAGAATGTACTTCCAGTAAAGTACAAGTTTTCTAAAAAGTAGTACTTCAAGTACCATGTACTTAGAGTACTTCCCTACACTACTTGTTTATTATTTTTTATATAAAAAACGTCGGGGGAATTACTAAGGTTCTCCGAATGATCTTCGAATCTTTGAACATCTGCATATTTTGAGTTTTGGGACGAAAGGCAATGCAAAAAAAGCCACATTTGCGTTGCCCTTTAGCACGCGATTCTTCGAGAACAACATGAACTACGGGAGCACCAGATAAGGTTCAGAGCGGGTGCTGCATTTTGTTGCCTCCTTTGTGTGAGGATGCAGTGTGTACATTTGCAGTGGGTGAGAGTTCCTACGTTGGGGAGAAGCGGTACCAGCCCTTTCTTCAAGCGGGTCAAGTCTCCTTGAGCTCCAGGACACAAAGAAGCGCCTGTCTTTGGCGCTAATCCCACAGTTAGTCGCCCGTGTGCCTCTCTTGTGTCGTGTCTTGTCGCTCCACGCGCCTCATAGCATTGTTGTTGCAGTGGGAGGCTCGTGAAAATTTTGGGGGGCTTCGGACTTTCCAAACCACTTCCTTCCCCCCTTTCCTACGCCACATGCTTCCCCTTCTTTGCAAATATCAGCTGATCTTCCAATTCCTCTTATCTTTTTTTGCTTAGGAATGTTTGTTGATAGGCAAAACAACCACTAAAATTCTTAAGTAATTTGTAATTTGAGTAGAAGCTACTCGGAAAACGTAATTAAAGTAAACTACTAATCACCGAGATAAAAACCTAATTGAAAGTTACTAAACTACTCAGATAAGTATAGTTAAACTACAGTAACTTGAGTAGAGTAGTTGAACTACGTACAAGTCTGCAGACTGACGCAGAGCGAACGCCACTTAGCGAAATTTGTCGGTTCTTCGCCGCATATTCGCTCCATCTTTGCTCAGTGAAGTCATATAACCTGCATAAATTATGTTGACATGTAAATGTAGTCCCTTTTCTTTTCTTTTTAAGCAGCCAGGACGTGTTGAATTATGGTGCTTCAAAGTTCCAAACTATAACTATAGTTCTCCACGGTCCCTTCTCTTTCACCGTCCCAGGCGGGCCATTTCGTCGACCAGCAATACGCCGAGCTGGTTCCCCTGGTAGCCTACGGCAGCACCGGCCGAGAAGTCCCGCTCTCCGACATCCAGTCCGAGTGTATTGCGACCCCGTGCAAGGCCCGTTGCGCCAGCAAGCCCGTCGACTTCCTCCTTGTCCCATCCCCAGACGACCTGTATCTAGCCGCCTCCTTTTCCGTGCACGAGCCCCTCAAGGGCAGTCCCTTCTCCTGCTCTCCGACCGTTTCCGAAGAAGGCCTCCGCAACGTGGAAGCATTCCTCTGGGCCCTCGACCAGATCAACACCAGCCCCTCGGTGCTACAAGGAGTCACCGTCGGTGCCGTGGTATTCGACACTTGCGGCAGTCGGGAGAAGACGTACCGAGACGTGTCCAACTTCGTCAGCGAATCCCTGACCTCCCTCCGGTCGGACGTCAACCTGCCCCAGCTGAGCAGGGTCTTCGGCTTTGTGGCCGGGGGCCACAAATGTACGGTGAAGCCGGCGGCGGACATTCTGTCTTCTGTCGGCGTGCCCACGGTGGCGTCGGACTCGTCGCTGACGGTGCTCAGCTCTGACCGCTACCCAACCCTGCTCAGGGTGTTGCCCTCCAACGGTGAGGTGGCCGAGGCGCTGCTCAAGCTGCTCCGGCACTTCAAGTGGAGCTACGTGTCCGTGGTGTACGACGACGATGACGAGGACGTGGACGTGTTTGAGCAGCTCAAGGCCGGTCTGGAGGCCCAGGAGGTGCGGCTCGGCGCGGCCGTCAAGTTGACGAGGAACGGGGATCCGTGGGACCTGCCCAAGGCCATGGGCCGTTTGCGCGGCAAACAGCGGGAAGGGTCGAGGTGAGTTTCGGCGTTCTTGCCTGTCGGGCGCGTGCGCTTTTGACGCGGAGAAAGAACCGAGAAAAGCTATAGCCGAGGATAACATAAATTGAAAAAAGAAAAAAGACAGACTAGGTTATAAAAAAATCCGATAACAAAAAAAAAAAATAATAAAAAAAACAACCTACCATATTGTTTTGCTTTTTTTCTTAAATTTTGTTTTCATCATTGTCTACTTTTGGGGATCGGTTTTGTGACTGGTACGGAGCAAAACATTGTGCGATCATACGAGGGCATGGGCAGAGTGTTTCACGCATGGCGAAAATTAATTAAACATTTGCAGCTGTGTTTTGATCTATTGAGAGCTGGCAGCGCTATCACTTTCTCCGGACTGCCGTCTTTCCTCGCGCGCTATCACTTTCTCCTGATTGCCATCTTTCCTCGCGCGCTATCACTCTCTCTCTCTCTCTCTGCGATCACGTGGGTTTTCGCGTACGAGCAATGCTGGATTTCGCCCTAAAGGATCACTAACAGCTGCTGCTGTAAAAAGCATAATGCGAACGAAATAGTTAATTTAAGAAATCTCTTCGGTTCATCGTGAAGCTTCACCGTGCGCAGGCAAAGCATGCGGGAAAGCCAACTGTAGCGCGCTCAGTTAACTTTCACGTTTCCGCAGCAAGTTTTTTTCTCGAGTGTGGCACCGAGCCATAAAAAAATACTCATCCGTTTTGCAGGGTTGTCGTCCTCCTCCTGCGCGACAAAGAAGCCGAAATCTTTTTCAAGCACGCCCGAGAAACGGGCACTCCACTGCACAACTTCACCTTCGTAGCCGTAGGACTTCGTTCAGTCCTCTCCAAGTTCCCAGAGGCCACCGGTGGATCCCTTTCTTTACAAGTGGCGTCCAGCGATGTACCGGGCTTCAAGAACTACCTACAGCACCTCAACTACCGAGGCAATGACCGCGATCCCTGGTTCCGTTCCTTCATCGAGCAAAAGTCCGGGTGCCGTGGCCCGGTGATGTGCTCCAACGCGACGCCCATGCTGCTGTCCACTTCGGCGGACGCTGCGTCCACAGTGGTCACCTCGGTCTTTGCCCTGGCCAGCGGTCTCGACCAGGCTAGGAGGATCAAGTGCCAAGGGCCGTCCGGCTGTTCGCGGGATATTACGGCGGATGAGGACTTCAGGGGCCTCGTGATGAACTTCACCAGGGGCGTGCGCATCACCAGACATGACGGGTCCGTCTTCAAATTTGCCGGTGGGAACAGCGGCAACGGGCGCCTGGTTGTGGGTCTCTTCCGCCATCGGAGAAACGCCGCGGTCAACGACGAGTTCGCGCTGGTGAGTGTTTTCATCACTATATAGTTGAGAGGGGCATATCTTACTGCCTTCAGCTGGACGTGTTAACGAATGAGTTTTCTCTTTTAGGGAGGTGAAATTGGGGGGGGGGGGGGGGGGGGGCGGTTACTGTTGGAATGCCTTGCGCTCTTTGCTACTAAAATGTAATTTTGGCTGATCCTTCTTTTTTTTACATTATTATGTAATGTAAAAACATTTACATATTTTGTTTCTAGTGCAATACTGAAAATGAAATCGTGCTATTGCTTAAATTTAATATCCACGTGGTTCTTTTGAAAACCTTGCTAACATTGTTTTACGAGTTTGGTGACATATAGACGCTTTGCACACGCGCCAGATTACAGCCGCCATAGCTGACCTTCTCTTGCCTTACCGATATGCCGATCCACTGAAGCAGGCGCTGACGAGCCTACACAAACGCCAATGCTACGGAGAAGGACACAGTGCAAACTAAAATGGCAATAACCTGTCTTGCTGTGGTAATCATGAAGTGAAGTAAAGAGAATAAGATGAAACAAAAACGGAAGGTCAGTTATGGCGGCGCCCATGCACAGCTGCTGCAAAGCGTCTATAGGGCGCTGCATGTTGCTCTTGGTCAAATCACTAAGCAAGCATATGTGCGTCCGTTTCCTGAGTCAAAACATTACAACCGACTATGGCACACGAATTGAACATGAACACTGCGTCAATGTTCGACTTATGACTGATTACGTGCTACTAGATGAGCGCATCTTGGTCGCGTCTTTATTTTCGCAGTTATTTTTTACCTTGATAAAGCGTTTGCGTTTTTTCTCAAATTGAAATATCAAGGGCGAGTAAATGTTAATACAATCGCGTAATCTGAAAAATCGGCAAGCTAGCTTCTTCTTACCACCTGTTGCTTATCTCTGTTTCACTTTTTAGATCGGGACGTATAACAGAGACGAAGGCCTGCAAATGAACGCCAGCATCCCATCCGATACTTCGGGCCGTTCCCCGTACGATGTCAACTCCACCTGCGAATCAAGAACTAATTGCAACAGTTCTGTCACCTATGAGACACCCCGAGACCCCTCAGTCCAATCGATGACACGGTTCAGGGCGGAACCGACCCTAACCATCGGAGCAATGTTTTCCGTTCACAAGCGAGGCCCCGACATGTTCACCTGCGGGCCCCTCCAAAATGACGGGACCTTCCAGAACCTCATCGCCCTCGCGTACGCCGTGGACCAAGTCAACCGGAACCAGTCCCAGGTCCAACTGGATGCTGTTGTCTTCGATTACTGTGGCACCAAGCAGCGCGCCGAAAAGCAAGTCTTTCAGTACTTCTCGTCCCCGGAGGACGCCAAGACCAAGCCCCTCGTTTCCATGCTCACTTACGACAGCAACGTGGCCACAGAACTCAAGCCCATCCTCAGGGATGCCAACGTTCCGGTCATCCTGACGACCACAAACCCCAAGTTCTCCCAGGAGACTCGATCTACCGCGCTCCAGACAATACCTCCGGTTAACTGGCAGGCGGAAGCCCTCCTCGGTCTGCTAAGGCACTACGACTGGACCTATGTCTACGTCCTGTACATCGGTGACCAGTTCGGCCAAGACGCCAACTACTACGTGACAAAAGCTCTGAACCGGATGGGCATCTGCGTTGCCGACGCTCTGCGCATCGATCGTGACGCGTCCGACAACGATGTCCTCTCCACCGTCATGAGGCTCGCAGACCCGGACGTGAGGGTGGTTATGGTGCTGGCTCAAGACAAGTTCGATGCTGCCAAGGTGCTTCGGGCTGCCCGGAGGTCTTCCCTCTTGGAGCGCTTCGTCTGGGTCGGCACGGAGGGCTTCAGCGACAACGCGGCCCTTCTAGACGCTCTTGAAGGCGCAGACGTGGACGTCTTCTCGTTAAAACTGGAGAACGAGAAGCTCCCCGGATACACCCGTTTTGTGTCCGGCCTCACGTTAGGCAAACATGACCCGATTCCGGACGCCTGGTTCGAGGAGTTCTGGCAGCGCGAGTTTCGGTGCCGACTTCCGAACAGCGAATCTGTCCAGGAGCAGTTCAAGGACGTCTGCACAGGACGGGAGTCTCTCAGGGACGTGCTTCAGGATCGCTACGTCTACCACACGGTGGAGACGGTGAAGCGGGTGGCCGAGGCCCTCAAGGTACACATGGGTAAGAACTGCCCCTCCGACACCGGGCTCCTGGATAACCTGGAGCGCTGCAAGAAGGACCGGTTGAACCACGAGGTCAGTATGGCGCTGCTTGGCACCGACTTGGAAAACTGCCTCGAGTGCCAGCCGTCGGTGGTGACTACCTTCGGGTACCAGCTGCTCAAGGTCAACGGAAGCAGCTCTCGGAATTACTCTTATGAACAGGTGAGGCCATCGATTTTAGCCGGCTGCATGTTTCAATCGGTTCATTTTCGCGTTCCGTCACATATGAACAGTGCATCCTTTGGCAAGAAATTTTGAGTCTCCGACGGGGGCCATTTGTAAAAAAGCGCAAGCATAGGGTGTGCCGAGTTGCGGTGTGCTCCGGGGACAGAAAACAAATGTGTTAAATCACAAAGACGTGTGTCGATCAAACTCTGTTCAGGATACACGAAACACTTAACTACAAAAGGATATCACGTAACAGGAATCGTTTAGATTAATTAGAAAAAAGGATCTGTCGAACAGCATTCTCTAAACCATCAAAAATCTTCGTCCGACTCTCTCATAAAGGTATGTGGATAATGTTGCGGAACATTACGGCAATGATTGCTACACAGAGGGATCTAACCGCCCGCCGAATCACGATCTGCCATAAAATTTGGATACTAAAATAACAGCGCGCTCATGAACGCATTCTTCACGCCCCATGCCAGGTGGGTTCGTACCGGAACAACCTGCTCCGTGTGAGCGAGGACGACGTGGACTTCTCGAGTGGCGTAGCGCCCATGTCGACCTGCATGCGGGACTGCGACGATCGCTGCCCGGCGGCATCTCCGACGTCGGAGCAAAAGTACCTGCGCCAGCATCGCGAGTCCCTCACGGCCAACTTCCGCACCGTCTGGGGCATCGTGGTCACCGCGCTGTCTCTGCTGGGCATAGTCCTGGTGCTCATTTGCGCCCTCTACTTCCTCATGGCCTTCCCGGTCACGGTGGGAACCACGGTTCTTGGATATATGATCCTCGCTGGTCTGCTCGCCTTGTACGCCGTCAACTTCGCTTTCGTCGTGGGTGCCACGGAAGCCAGCTGCGGCGTGCGACGTTTCCTCATGGGGCTTGCCTACTCCATCATCTTCTCTGGCATGCTCGTCAAGGTATGTTTACTCTAGATTAGGCTTTTAAGACGCTGCTTCGCTTTAGCACGCTACCGTATCCTCATTCCAATCAGATCGATCTTGTGTACTCAGAAGAGCAATAAGGCCGTCACTATTACATGATAAAAGTGCCAGCAGAAGCTGAAACAACGCCATCTCATGTTTTTCTGCGCTAGTGGTGTCACAATCCTGCGATTAATAGATTCTGTACATATCCCCTTTTTATGACAGAGCCCCGAGCAGATGAGTGGAAAGGTTTTTCTTTCTTAAAATTTAAGTAGCTGTAAAATTAATTTTGTACAACAGCTAGCCTGGCGTCTTTAACGGGGATCACGCAGCAGTGATGCACGACCGCATGTCGGCCCGATGCTGGTACAAATCGAAACAGGTAGGGGTGGGGATTTAACTCAGGACCCCTGTGTTTTGCAGCGTGAGCTTTCACTCTACGTGCTCCGAGCTACAGTGCATTAACACACTCCCTATGCATGGCTTTGCTCTTTTGGCCATATCAGCTAAATGTCCATTTTGGATAGATGGGTGGAAGCGTTCTTGTAGCTGAAGTAATTGTAACCCTAAGATTATCGGCAAGGCAGTAACGCTCGGCAACGTTGCTGCTCACTGCAGGTACTCAACACGTGGCGGCTGATGGGCTACCACGGCAACAACCGGATGCACCACGACGGCACCCAGTTGACGAGTCCCGCGGGACTCCTGGTCGTGGCTTGCGGCCTCGTGGTCATCCAGGTCGTGCTCACCGCCGCCTGGCTGGTCCTCATGCCGCCCCGCATCGGCCTCTACGAGCGCGTATGGCGCTGCGCCCCGCCGGCTTCCTTCGAAGATGAACTCGTAGTGTCCATGGTGTACGTGATGCTGCTCCTCGCCGTCACCATCCTCTTCTCGGTGCTCACGTGGCCCTGCCGGGACAACAACGGCGAGTCTCGCTGGATCCTGGCCTGCTGCGTGTTCGTGTCCTTGGCCTGGCTCGCCTGGACCGTGCTGAGCACGCAGCTGCCACTTCAGCATCGGGACGCCACCATCGCGGTGGCGAACCTGGTGTGCGCTACGCTGGTGATGCTCTGCCTGTACCTGCGGAAGGTCTACCTGTACAACAAGCTGGCGCGACAGGCGCGCGACCAGGAGATCAAGGCGCGCCTCCAGCCCAGAGGACCTTACACGCCGTCCGTTTACGGGACCCTGCACAAGAACGGAGCCCCCGTCGCGCCCGTCTTCTATGGTGCGTGACGTTGTTGTCCTTCGGGCTTTGTGCGATAGAGTTTGGGTCCCGTGACGTTCGACAACCCTTTACGCTACATTAAGAGTTTCAGAAAGCCGTATGTTTCGGATTCCGGGCCCAGTGGGCGCGTGCTCAGCCCACGGTTCAATGTGACGGCACGAGCTCCAGCTAGCAACGCGAAGCTGTATCGTACGGTCTACTAAAAGTCTCTACATTTTAGCACATCGCTGCCGCTGGATAACCGAGGGCACGGTTTACTATATGGCTTGAGAGCGTGCTTCCGAGCCATATGGCGCAAGCCATGGCAATAAAACACTCTATTGGGACTGACTGTTTCCGTATAATTGATCGAGCATAAATTCTGAGATCCCTCGTGCACTTCGGAAGTTCGGATTTAGTAGCTGCATGAGCCACCATTCGGGAGAACGTAAAAAAAATATATAATGGGAGCCATAAGCCCTATTCGGTTATTGCTATCCAGTTAAAAATACTTTAACCTGTAGATTTAAAAACTTTTCGCGCTGGGTTTTCGCGTATTTTTGTTCTTTTTATGTACAATTCTGTACCTTTGGGAAGCGGCGTGTGCGCATCACAGAGAAAAACAGGTGGGATGGGAACGCCCCGGCTCGGTTACTTTGTCACGTGACCAGCCTTGTCGCGGAAGAGCGGGCCTGCAAAAAGTATGTGGCAAGGTGCCGTTCATTAAGACGTCACCAACATTACAAACAAAATATCTTTTGTTGTTAGTTTATTATCTTCTCTAAGTGGAGCCACTCTAAACGCTACCTCAGAGGTTACAAAGGCGGTTGGAGCGCGCGTGTGCGCTCAGGCAGTAGGATAGGCATGAGCCTACTTTCGCAGCGTTTGCTCGGTTCTATTAAAAAAAAAAATATATGGACGTGGCTTAGGTATAAGGCCTCTGTGAATATTGTAAACAAGGCTCGTCATCGTCAGCCATGCCAAAATCGGGGGCGAGCTCAGACTTCAGATGTTGCACTGTGGGTCTCACTGCTGTAGCTGCCGGCGTACACCTCCCCCGGGTTAATCCGTGTCGTACATGATGCAGCAGTTACGTTTGCTGGTGTTACGGCTGAGACAGCATAATACGAAGCGTATAGTGTGCATACTCGGCGATTGTGCTGAGTAAATGTACTTTTGTACATTTAGACGGGGTGGGGGGGGGGGGGGGGGGGGGGTTGAGGAGGAGGAGGAGGAGGAGGAGGAAGAGGAAGTTAGCCCAAATGGGCGCCTGGTGTCTTCGCTGTACATGAGAAATTTAGTCAGTGCAATATCACTACCCTAGCCTTTTTCTTTTCTTTTTTTTTTTTTTTAAACGCGTTTACGCAGTAGTTGATACACGCCCGGGAGGTCGGTTCGATTCTCGTTCAGATCGGAACGGGCAGGGGTTGGAATTAAGCCAATACCAAAACAAGGTCTGCCCCACGAACACGCACACACACACAAACACGTCATCATTGGATGGAGGCTATTCCCTTTGAATTGGGCGGTGACTTCCGCCACGTAGCGAAGTGGTGTTTTTAGTTCAACATTGAATTTTGACTACGTCAATGTAATATTATTTAATCTATCCGTCCCTAGCTTGCGGCATCAGCGCCACCAGTGCGCCTCGCAGCGTCTCACAAACAGGGTTGTAAAAGTTGCTTTAGAAATGTATACGTAAGATACAGTTACGGTTACTAGTGCAAAACGTACCTAAAGTACTTATCAAGTACATACTTATTGAACAATGCACCTCATTATGGAGATACAGTTACGTAAAACATACTTTCCATTTTCATGAAAACGGCAAATACTAGTAGTGAATGGTACGAAGGCTTCGGCCAACAAAAATTAGGTGACGAATGTTGATGGAGAACCCCCATGACGTATACATGTTCGAGTTGGGCTAATTGTAACGATTAGTCGGCTAATTAATAAAAAGTTGATAATGAACTTTTTAATTAGTGAATATAGTCATATGGTTCCAGCTAGGAACTTGCTGAGCGTCGTCCAAAACCCCTAAATCAGTAATCTTTAGAAACACCTCGAGCGCGTGAGAGGCGCACTAGCGCAGTGAAGTTGCCCCTCGTGGAGCAGGTACAAGGCTGGGGCTAGACGCGCAAGCGCTTTACCGCAACCGCTCTAGTCCATTCCACCTTACGATGGACCGCAGCGGACGCTACGAGCCATGTCAGCCAATCCAGTGCTGCGCGTGTATGACGTCACGCGCGCCCAGCGCGTCGCTGGGCATCTCACGAAGGTTGGAGGGCACTAACACGCCAGTGAATTGGCTGCGATGCCGCGTAGCGTCTGTAGCGGTTCATCGTGGAGTGAAATGGAGTATAGCCTCGTAACCTTCTCTACGAGTGGTAACTTTAGTGCACTACGCGCACTTTAGTGCACTACAAACACTACTTTAGTGCACTCAAGATCTTTCTGAAAATTACTGATTTAGTGGTTTTTGATGACGCTCATCAAGTTTCTAATAGGAACCATATGTCTATTTTCGGTAATTAAAAAGTTAATAAACAAACTCTACTTAATTCGCCAACTGATCACTACGATTGCCCCCTATTCTATGCCCCCTGGCCGTGTAACTCACACGAACCGCATAAGTGTAGCTTAGACAGCATCATTTAAAAAAATCTCTAAAGCTTAAAAAAAAACAAAAAAACACCCTGTACATGTGTGATTATATATATAATCAATCATGGGGACTTTGCATCATTGTACACATCGCGACACTGTTAGCGCGAACACGACATCGGCGCATTTTCGCATTTTACTTCTAAAGAATAGTAGCGAGCACGAAATTTTATCGCTTGCATTATAGAACTAAATAGCAATAATAACTTGGAAGACATCCCTTGATTTCAAGGAGGAAAACCGGAAAAACCGGCGATCGCTTGTTCGCGCTAACAGTATCGCGCTCTGTACGTGGTCTCCAAAGAGAAAATAGTAGGAAATATGTAGATGAATGAACCATACTTAATCGAATGACACAAGGTCTATGAAGCCGCCGAAATACAATAGCTTTGGTGAAGCTAGGGTTTGAACTCCGGATCTCCCAATATCCGTTCGGGTAATGCTAACCTCTCCACCTTGTCTTTCTGGCGCGTCCTATCCGTCTTATTAATGCGCCGAAACGGAATGTATCCAATCAGAGGTGTTCTGGAAGCACACGCTGCCACAGTCGCAGTTGGAGGAACTACAGGTACCACGGTTGGACAAAAATGGGGAAAGCAGAAAGCATGGTGTATTTCGGAAATATCAACACCCGACGTGCCAAGCAACGTCTTACACCAGTTCGGCAAAAAATAAACGAATGGTCAATAGTGATAAAAGATACCGTCTCCATGTCCAAATGTATCTTCCCAAATAATGAGAAAATATTAGGAATAAGGCCTCTTTCTTTACTATAGGCCCGGTCACACACTCGCGTTCATCAGAGGGACTGCTACGCTTACGGACGATTGCAACCGGTGGGAACGACGAGTTGCCGTGGCAACGAAGCCGCAAACCGCCGTGTCGTTCGTTCGCAACGCAAGGAGTTGAGCCGTGCTGAACTTAAGGGTATACGCAAGTTCGAAACTGCTCTATTGGTGCGTCAGCGCCAGAAATAAAGCAAATCGCAGTCAGTCACGGACCTCTGGCAGCATGTTGTATTTTCTCGCCGCTCTATTGGCCCTTAGAACCAGTACCTCGTCCAAGTGTTTGTCTGACATCTTCGATCGCAGCTTAGTAGCGATTGTCCTTCCCACGCTTTTCAAGTCCTGGGAATCGGAAACGGCTGATAAACTTTCTCGATGTACGGTCCTAACGAGGAAGCATCGTGCTACAAGTTTGAGGCAGCGCTGTGCGCACCACTCCCTTGACCGCGCTGCTCGGCGTTAAGGACGTTTTCTGGCCCAAGTCTTGTTAACACCTTGACTCTTCCTGAAAGTTAACACTATCTTTCTGGCCTTCAAAGCATCCTTCAATAGGAGAAAAAAAAAAGTGCCTCCAGAAAAAAGAAAAGCAAAACACTAAGGGGTAGTTACAGCTACCGCTATTAATGTGGTGATACATTATCATACACACACACACACAAAAAGTAATGCCAAAGTAACGCGCATTAATTTTTATCGTTACCTAACGTGGTACTTTTATTTTAAGCTTACGTAGGGGCGGTAACGCAACTTTTATTTGCAAGTAAGGGGGAACATATTTCGGTACTTCTTTTCGGTAGCGCCTACAATGCAGTGCACAGTCGACGATCACAAACCGTCTTATATGCTGTCGAAATTAACGTGTTAAAGTAATTGTGTTGTGTGTGCGTTTGCACAGCCGGAAGTTAGTCAGGCCCGATGGGTGTCTGCTGTCCCAACTGCAGATGAGTAATTTAGCCAGTGCAGCACAACCGCTAGCCTGGGGTCTTATAACGTGCACCACACAATAGTGACACACGACCGCAACCCGGTACGATGCTCATCCGCATCGAAACGGGCAGGGCTGGGGATTGAACCCAGGATACCTGGGTTCTGCAGCGCGAGCTTTCGCTCATCGTGCTCCGAGCTGAGGGTGCGCTAACACGCTTGGCCACCGATCCCCTCTGCAGGCTCGCAGGCGTCGCTGACGACAAGCAAGAAGTTGAACGGCCAGTTCTCCCGTCTGTCGATGGACGACTTGGCCTCGGACGGATCGGGCTCCGTCCAGGTGCAGGGTGCCGACCTGTACCCGCTCGAGATGTACGACGGTGGCAGCCAGTTCCAGCCGCCCAGCTCGCTTTACGGCAGCACCATGATGCTCGACGATAACGTCGTCTACGCCAGGTAAGCGCTTTCCCCACTGCACACCCGCGCGATGCAGTGAAACCAGCTTCGGGTGGGCAGTCACCCGACTGTACTTCAATCTATGGGGTGACTGAAATAACCAGGCTCGATGTAAAATAGGCCGTAAAAATCGGCGCCTGCACGTAGCAATCTAATTTTTTCCTCAAAGTTTTATTTCACAAGTCGTGTTATTTTTTTTTCTTGTAAAATTGCAAAGCGTAGCTCTCTTTCTGTAAGAAATAGGGCCGAAAAACTTGCCAGGGTCAACGGCGGACGGCGACACAGACGACTGGGTCGAGCGGCGGGGCGCGTTTGGCGCACGCATTGATAGATGGCGCTACCTCCTTATCGAGACTGCTCGTGACGACCGTGATCTACTAAAAGGAACATAATTTTTTTGTAGTGTACCGTCGGCTTAAAAATAAATGCGGACAATAAAAGGAAATCTTGACGTTAAAATAAAAACGCAGTTGCACAACGACGGCGTTCTTGTTGCCGACAGATTTTGTCTGCGTGTTGTCCGCTTTCTTTCGCTGGTCGGCTACACCTTTCGACGCTGCTTCCGACGCCATCTATCAATACGTGCGTTAAACGCGCCCCACCACTCGACTCGGTCGTCTGCGTCGCCGTCCGCCGTTTACCCTGGCAAGTTTTTTGGCCCTATTTCGTACAGAAAGGAAGCTACGCGCTGTAATTTTACAAGAATAGACCGACCTGTGGAATGCACCTTTGACGAAAAGTTTAGACTGCTCCGTGCAGGCGCCGATTTCTACGCCCGATTTATCGAGCCTAGTTATTTCAGTCACCCTATATAATTGTATTACTGATTCTAGTTTTATCTCGTTTGTGACTCCGGATGTCCATCAAAGAGGCAGAGAGTAAGGAAAGACATGCTTCACAAAGTACATAACCTCATGGCACAGAAAAAAAAATGCAAATAAAAGTCAATTTTAATCGGGACAATAATACGTTGTTGTAGAAAGGTGCTTTCGAGATTTATGTGTCCATAGCACACGTGTGACAAATTCGTTTGCGTGCACATTTTTGTAGTGGACAAATACGACCTTTCTGGCCGCGTCCCGCCGTTTTTAGACGCTTTTTAGCATCCGAGGTTTTTGGAAAATTGGTCCTGGTACCTGGTAATGTTTTTTTATCAAAGGCCACCAGACTTCAGCCCGATGACGGACGCGCGTTGAAAGCGGCTAGATATGCCTGAAAAAAACCATTCTATCCGCCACAAAAGACCTGCATGCGAAGCGGATCCGTCACACTAGTCGATGTGGGCAGTCCTTAGGGATCCATACGGCCTTCGTGTTCGCTGGACATGAAGGCACCCTAGCGCACACAGCTCAATGCTTGTAGATAACTATTGCACTCTTGAGCTTTTTTATATGTTTCCTTAACGCACGAATAACGAAAATCTGGTGAGTGAGATGGTACTTTTTCTGATTTATTTCCGCTGGTGTTCTCCTGCTAAATTCTGCAGTCATTGGCTACAGCTTGTCAGGAAAATGTGTACAGTTCTGAAACATTTTTACCCGAATACAGCCTGTCTGTAGGTGTTTATAGAAGCATCATGGACAGTGTTGGCAGATATGGAATGCTGCACAGCGTCAAATACTAAAAATTGTGGGCAACAGTACATGTTCATCCATGAAAAGAAAATACTCAAAACCATAGGTAGTGATTTGTACCCTTGTGAATAGTTATGCTAACATTCTTGCATTATGAATGCTGCTGCTTTAAATTAAACCCTGTTGACCCTTAAGTGAGGCTGGCTTTCCTGCTTGGAATAATGCTCAGGAAGATATAAGAACTTTGATACCCTTAAACATGGTTCTAAACATATTGCATTCTTAGTGTTGAGGCAAGCTTCCCATCCCGTTGCAAACAAGAGATAGGAGCATCAAAAGTATGTCGGAGAAATAATTTTGAGAGAGGAAAATGGGCACTCTTCAGCACATATATCGTACACAAGTATCTGGTGCTAATACCACAGTCGTCCCCTTATAATTCAAGGCCGAAATTGAACAGATCAATACAATACATTTTGCCGAGGCAAAACAATGATGTAATCATTTGAATCATTCACATGCAAAGCATAGAAATGCTTGTCGGGAGGTTGCCTCAGAAGAGGCTTTACAAGGAAAAAAACAGCACACTTGATTGATGCATTCCTTGTGCCCGAGTATTATGATATAGTGATACCATTTTGAGGTCTGTCAGAAAGTCTTTTCTGCGTGAAGTCGGGCTTACTCCTCACATATAAGACTATTTTGGGGGGTCTCTTAGCACACCACTTGACAAGATTCTACCTGTGAATGTACTTAATCAGCTGCTACATTTGATTGCCATGTCTTCTCACAGGTTTTCTCTTGACATGGCACTTGCTTCAGTACCCAAGGAGCAGTATTTAAAAGATGGACATATGAATATTTGTTAACTGCTGCAAATAAACTGGAGGTGAGTGTTGTTAGACCCTCCAGCCAGGGTTTCTTAGGGCACAACTTGGCGGTCAATCTAACATTCGGCTGTTGCGATAACAGATTGGGAGTGTAGCTGCCTGTGAGAGGGAAATTCAGAGAGATTCCCAATAGCTCTACGGTACTCCAATGCATTGTTGTTGGTGACTGCTGTAGGCTTTGTGCACTGAAACCTGTCCCCTTCAGTAACTGTCACGATGAATGATCGTCTTCCATCTGTGTATTGTATTAGTCATTCAAAACTGACCCCCAATGCCACAATTTATGCCCATATCTTTGCGAGACAGATGTGAAGTAACCCTTTGTGGATATTAAGAGCATGTTCCTGACACCATCTATTTGCGAAGCAAAGTATAGTCAACACCTTCACACCATGCCAGTTTCATTTCACCTTGTAGCTGGCTTCCTACAGGAACATTGTACAGCATAAATCGGAGGAGGGATTTTCACCAACAAACTCGAGCATACAAACATTATCCGACACATCCTCTCCCTCCCCTAGGAAGCGAGGTCAATGAGTTTGCGACAGGAAAGTTGGGGATTTAGAAGAGGTGTAAAAACCCTCACAGCCGTGAGAAATAAAAATTGTTACCTTAGTAGCGAGGACAAACAGGTTGACTGAGCTAGCTCCCGAGAAATGGTTCATTGAGGGAAATAGAACAGTGATGCCAGAAAGGAAGAAAAATAAGTTTGTGACACATTATGGATTGCTCCTAATTTCAGTGTTGATTTGGAGCAGTAGGTGTTGGTCTTGCAGCAGCTAAAGTGTCCATTTTGAGCAGTTTATTTTAACATGGATGTCTCCCTCTCTCTTTCTTTCTTTGTTAAACAGACAAGGAAGTACGATACCTGACCCCAGCCTGAAGATATCCTAGGCTAAAGGCGTGCTTAAAAATATTCCATAACCCAAAGTCTTGGTGCTTTACCACATTGCAGTGCCCTCTTCCCACATCATGTTTTCAACAATCATTGAACAGGAAATTTCCAGTTTTAAATGCATTTTGCAACAAGTTAGCCTAAATGCTCGACTGCCTTTTTTTAGCACTTTTTCCACATGTCATTTGCCTCCTGTAGCCAGATAAAAGATGAATAGGCCCGAAGCTTTGCCTCCAGCATGCACTTGTTGCCCTCCATTGCACTGGAGGTGGAACTTCTGGCACACTTTAAAATTGTATCCCACTACATCATAACTAAGCCACAAACAAATTGTTTGCAAACTTTTTTTTTTCTTTTTGCTGAAGCTTTTGTTATTGCGGGAGATGGTGCCCTGCTAACAGCAGCACACTTTTTAGCATTCTACCCACACTATGATAATGTCTTCGGGTGCTGCATGAGATGTGACTAAGTTGAATGACGATCTGTTGTACAGATGTATCCTAGCCCTTCTAACACCCAATAATGACTGCATCATTAATTTTCATTTCACACAGGCTTTTATTTTGAACTTTTGTCGTTGACTTCATTTCAGTTCCTGTTGCCCTTTATAGTCTCCCTTGAAGAATGCATACTAATATCAGCTCTGCCCACTTCTTGGAACTGTACTGCTCCAAACGCCTCCCAGAAGTGGATCATGACACCGGTGTCGCCATAATGTAAAGCACCCGAGAGCAAGCTTCAAACATGGAAGGGACAGATAAACGAAAGACAGAAAACATTAGTTCTTTCTGTACCCTTTCACTTTTTAAACTTTCGGCATATCCTTCAGTCCAGTCTTGGGTAATTTACCTCATGATAAACCCGTACCAGGTCGCCCGCGCACGAACCGTCCTTTCGACAACATCCGTGATTTCTGTTCCCCGCAGGTGAAATCGGGACGTCAGCGTCGGTACCCCAGAGGGCAGCAACGACACCAGTCACAGCAGCTGTGCAAGGAACGACACTTGCGGACGGTGCGAAAGTGATACGCGGCTGTCTTCCTCCGGCGGCCAAGGGAAGGCTCTACTAACGTGCGACGAAGAGACATGCTTTATGCGGCAGCTTAAAGGTTACTTAACGATCCCGAACGGAAGTCCCCAGTGTGTCTCCTAACCTACTCCCTCCCCGAACTCTGAAACCATCGACGACAGTGCTCCGATCGTTACACCACACCGGTGACAACCAATGTGGACGGACTCGTGGATCGCCGTCCAGTGTACGACTTGCTGTCGGTCGTCGTCTTGTTTGTGCCGTATTTCGACTCGTGGAACTATCGACGTGAAGTGCTTAACGACAAACTACCTACTAGACAGCTACTACTCGACAGCTTGGAAGCGAACATTGTCCAATTCCTGTTCGACCCGCATGTTTAATGCAAACTACCTCCAGGGCTGGCAGCTGTCTTAAAAAGACATCATACTTCCCCGTCTTCTACGTCGGATTTGGCGAATCGTGACGCCAGACGGTCGCGCCGACCCGTGCGAGCTTGCCGGAGATTCTCCGCCCCGACTTCCTGGATTGTACGCTCGCATTGCGTGCACTGCAGATACAACTCTCTTACAGGAAGGACGGCCCGTGATAGGGTGCTGGGGGGGAGGCGTTTGTTGCCAACGCAAACGAAGGCGGGAACTTAATAAAAACCAATCGATGTTGGGGCGTATGTAGTCGTTGCTGGTTCAAGGGCTGCATTACGAGTTTTTAACAAACATTCCATTTAACTGTAGTCGTCTAATGGCTCTTGTTACTATGCACTGAGAGTATTTAGCACTATTAACAATACTTGCGACTGGGAGACAGTATTACGATAGACTACCTCCCCCGAAAAGGCTCTGCCGAGTTTTCCCCCCGAGTGCCTTTTAATGTTCTGTTCAAGGAAGTCTTGGCAGTTTTCCACCTGTTCTTGCGCTTTGAGAATAAAGATTTTCTACGTAACACTAACTTGGGGCTGCTCACAGGTTTCCTGGGAATGTATTGTAAACCAGAATAAACCAAGCTGGACGAGGAGAAAAAAAAGAAGATGCCGGCCAAGTAAGTTGACAAGATGTGACAATGAGCTATGTCGACATGCTCCCATAAGTCTACGAAAAAACAACTTTCCAAATTCCTGAAGAAAAAAAAGTCCGAGGACACCTAAGCACTTCTTACGAGTTGAAAATGCAAAAGCATGCTGCCTGCGACTTATTGCTTCCACATTGCGTTGTCGGAGAGCCTCGTCCTCTTGCCGCCCGAGACGCTTTGAATCGCGATCCGCTTGCACCTCCCGCCTTTGAAAGGCTCTGTTCTGTCTCCTAGCGCATTGCGCCGCTGCTCGTTCCACCCGCCGTGTATTCGGAGACTCAACAATGATGGCAAATTTTGCTGCCTGCCTTCGCTACTGCCGAGGATGCTGCCGCTGACGATGTAGATGCCTGAGGTGCTGCCATGTTCGTCGCCATTGAGAGTAGAAGTGTCTGAGCGTGCGCCACCGTGTTCCTTTTACCAACACGCTGCCGGCGCGTAGAGTTCCTGTAAAGGCTCCCTAAGGGAGTCGGAGTTCCGTGTGTTTTCCACGTGCTGCCGCACCACTACTCGCCGAGATTCGATCTCGTGAGGAGCAGACTCGAATGCCGTGCAGGAAAGTAGACGTTGCACGTATCTTGGCGTACATTCCCCTGCTTTTGAGCATGCCGCTTGCTCGAGGCACGGCACCGCTATTCGCCGAATTCAGTCGCGTCGGGAGTAGGGTCAACATGCCATGCAGGGAAGACAGTGCTACGGGGATGAATGCACAACTCTGGCTCCAGTAGGGAGCCTGTACAGGAACTCTATTGGTGTGGGGTCCGCAGCGCCATGGGGTGGCGTTCCTTGAAACTATGACACGTGCAGCCAATGGGAGCCTCATTCCCTGAAACTATGATGCACGCCAGCCATAAGAGAGCCTGTCCATCAAATCACTGCTACAGACAGGCTTCGCTACATTGCAAAAGGGGAATTTAGGTGCCGTTTAGCAGGTGTCTTCAAAAGCTAATGCCAGTTCGCTCCAAATCAAGGCTCCAAGTTATGCTGTGAAGGTAGTTGGACAGCGAAGCTGTGGTATCACCTGCAATGACTTCCCACTGCACAATAGACCCTCTTTATGGCAAATGCTACCAGGTGGTGCTCCAGTCTTTGACGTCTCTGAGAACTTCCAGTTTAAATAAAGAAACAAAGGCCACCTTAACACTGCTGCTTGAAATGTAGATGAAATGTTTAACCACCAATTCTCCAGGTGAATGCCAAAAAAATGGAGTGAGATCTGTTGAAATGTATTCTTGTAAACCAACTTGCCTCCTCCAAGATGCAGTATTGTACAACCGAATGCCCTCGTTAAATCTCTAACTTTGTTGTCCGTGTAGCATTTATGCTTTCTAGCACTGGTGACATAAGCAAGCTCAACAGGCTTGCAAACACGGTGCGACCGGAAGTCGCTTGGAACACAAACAGCAGTTCACGTTAGTTAACAGCAAAAGGGTCTATACCAAATGATTGACAAAAGAAAAATGCAATGTACCAAAACCTTTTTAAAAACTTCGTACGCAGCTGTTGCAGCAGCTTATGCAACTGCAATCTTTACAAAAAAAAAAAAAAATGCACGCGGGGAGCGCTACGTGCTTATCACCTATCACGTGGTTTCGACACTTGTTTTTGTAGTTTCTTTTTTTGACACAGGTGTAAAAACTATGTAAGATATGAGGTGCGCGCGTGGGTTTTCTGTAAACTACGGTTCTGTCGATGGACACGAAAAAACCCGACCAACGAGTCATGTACAACTTTGCTTTAAAAAAATTAATAACATTTGTAGCAAACACTTTTTTGCAAAATATGAAACCTTTGCACACAGAGGTAGTTACATTATAAACACTTTTCCAACTTCATAGATTTCCTTAAAATATGCTGCACTATTCATGTGCCACGCATGAATAGTGCAGGACATGGAAAGTTCGACACCAAAATAGCTGACCAAGAAATCCCACGTCTATGTGTTTATTTCTGCACCATGAATGAATATTTGTGGCCTGGAGTTGGTTGTTTAAAGCTTTGTTTGTGAAAAGGTGTGCAGGGCAGGTTAGGAACTCCTCTGGTTACTACTACTTGTGATAAACCCTTTGATGTCTAAAATGTTTTCCGACCAAGAACAGATCACATACGAGCGTGGATTGAAAAGTTTCCGGAATGACAATGAAAGCAAAATAAGTGTGATTCAAGTTATATTTTACTTTTCAACATAATCCTTTCAAAACTCGACGCACTTGGTTCAGCGTTTCTCCAGCTTCTCGATAGCCTCCCTACCTTCCTCAAGGTCGCTTTCTGGAGTTTGGTCAGCACCGATGACCTCTTTGTTCGACCGAAATCTCCTTCCAGCCAAAAATGTTTTGAGTTTCAGAAGCAGGTGGCAAGGTTTCGAACTTCAGTTCTGTCAGGTCTTGGTGAGCAATTGCACTTGAATGGGCTGGTGCATAGTTGTGGGGAAACAACTTTCTTCCTTGACCATTCCTGGAAGTTTTTCCTAAATAGCTTCTTTCAGCTTCTCCAAAAGTGTTGAGTAGTAAACAGTAAGCTTTTCCCTTTTGAAGGTAATCTATTAGCAAAATTCTCTTGGCCTCCAAGAAAGCTGATGTTATCACCTTTCCAGCCGACCGAATCAAAGTGTCCAGTTCGTTGTTTCGAATGCAATTTAGTTTCTGGGGTGTTGTGGTGAATCTAGGTCTCATCCATGGTCACAGATTTTCTCTTGAAATCAATTGGATATTTGTTTTAAGACTTAAGACGCTGTTCGGGATGCCTTTTTGCACGTCGTCAGGGTGCAGTCATGTGACAACAGGGATCACGTGACGACCAACGTCCCCCCCCTTTCCCTTCCCACATCATCTCAGTTCGTTTTTATTTTTACCGCATTCTCCTCTCTCACTCAAAACTTTTTTAAAAATTTTTTATTGCTACAAGTTGGAATTTAGGCAGTGCACTGAAATGAATGTGTGATGTGCGCACTAACATCCAGTTGCCGGCGAAGCAGTGAAAATCTTCCTTTGTGGTTGCGGGTCTAAGAAGTGTGTTTGTTCAACGCAAATATAGTTTTCCACATGGCTTTTTGGAGAATAGATGTGAATGAAGAATTGCATCTCGGTGAGTGGTGACATGCAGCTAGCTAATGAATACAGTCTTCAAATTTATTTTTCTGCTTCGGCTTTCACTTCTGCCTTTCATATATTTTGTTATATTGAAACTGTTTGGTGATCTAGTAGCCCAAGGTAAGATTATGCGATAAAGAATATTGGGCGTTGACTTCTCTAGAGAGAGAGAGAGAGAGAGAGGTGACGTGAGAGAAGCAGGGGAGGTTGTTCTAGCGGGGAATGCTGAACTGGTTCCCCATGAAGAGAAGTAGAGAGAAAGAAAAGAAAGGGGGAAGGAAAACAGAGAAAAATAAAATAAAGACGTGAACGCGCTAAGAGTTAATGTCGAGATATTTCACAGGCGGTTTGCGACACCAGATTCGTCGAGGAAGTTCAGTAGCAGGTGTTGTATTATTTGGCAGTGACGGGCTGAACCACATGGATAGATGATGTCCTCGTCGTCTGGATCATGAAGTCCAATTCTGGCGAGCTCGGTGACGAACCGGTGACGTGGATCGCTATATTCTTCGCAGTTGAAGAGGATGTGGCAAATGTTTTCTTCATCATTGCAGTTTGGACACTGGGAGCTCTTTATTGCAGATATTTTAAAAAGAAACACATTTGTAAATGCACTTCTGCTGCGTATTCTTATAAGGAGAGTGCACTTCTTTCTTTTAAGACCCTTTGTGACGCATGGCTGATGTTTGGAGTATGTGGTCGGAGAAAGTTCAGTTATGTAACTTTTGATGGACTTTCGCGTCGCATTGAAATCTGTTGGACTGGGAATAGTGCGCGGCAGTCCATGTGCTGCTCCTGCGAGTTTATCGGCTTCGGAATTACCAAACAGTCCCACATGTGAAGGTACCCATTGAAACGCAATGTTGAATCCCGAATTGTGTAAGTGCTTTAACGTAAGTTGAATGGTGGCCGTCGTTTCGTCCATGGAGTCAGGGTTACCTAGGCGTTGAAGGCCCGTTCTTGAATCGGTGACCAGCACTACAGCTTGTGGGGTATGTGAGGTGATGTAGTTAAGTGCCTTCTCAATGGCCTTAAGCTCTGCCGTGGTGGAGCTGACCACCGCTTGAAAATGGCCGCTCCATGTCGTGTTCTGCTTTGGTATAACAAAGGCCGCGGTAGCGCTGCACGTTCCAAAGTGAACGGAGCCATCGGTATATACCTGTAGAGCTCCTGGGTATTTTGAGGAAAGGACCTCCTCAGTAATTTGCCGCAGTACAATTCCTGGTAGATTTCCCTTCCTATACACTCCCGGGAGATGTAGATCGCACATTACTGGTGGTTCGCGCCATGGCGGTTCTTCAGCGCAAGTTAGGGGACGAGATTTCTGGAGCGATGGTTCAACGTTGTATAGCTCTTGTAAACGTAGGGTGACATTGGAAATTGTAGGGTGAAATTGACTTCTCTACAAGTTTACGAAGCATTGGGAATGGGCAGCCAGGGGGGGGTAACAAGGCAGGGGGTGAGGGGCATGCAGGTGGTCACGTGATCTCTGTTGTCATGTGGCTGCACCTTGATGACGTACAAAAAGGGCGTCCCGAAATGTAACTAAACAAATTTCGTTTCTATCCACAGTTGGAAATGCACAATGTTGTTCGACCCTAATGCTTGCAAAAGCCAGGCTGACCGATCTTTTATGTAATTGAAGTCGTCATATGAAAGACTTGACAACACAAGAACATGAACATATTGGAAGGAAATGGACTCCTTAACGGCAATTCCGGAAACTTTTCAATCTACCTTCGTATCCTGCTCTTGCATCTCATTTAGTGTCCGTTTCAGTATTGAATTGCTGTAATATAAAAGCTGGCTACCACTGTTTTGCTTACTGTGTTTTTACGAGTCCCTAAACTAAAGGGTGTCTGAAATAACCAGGCTCAATCTAAAAAGGACCGTAAAAATTGGCCCCTGTACGTAGCAATCTAATCTTTTCGTCAAAAGGTGTATCTCACAGGTCGGTTTCACCTCGTAAAATTACAAAGCGTAGCTCCCCCTCTGTAAAAAATAGGGCCAAAAGCTTGCCAGGGTGAACGGCAGACGGTTACGCAGATGACCAAGTCAAGTTGACGGGGTGCGTTTGGTGCACATATTGATAGATGGTGGTACCTCTTTACCGAGACTGCTCGTAACGACTGTAATGTATTAAAATGAACATAATCTTTTTGTATTGTCCCTTTGATTGAAAAAGAAATGAAACAGCACTCCTGTTGACGGATTTCGTCCTAGTGTTGTCCGCTTTCTTTCACTGCATTCTCACATTTTCACACATTCTGACGCTGCTCCCGATGCCATCTATCAATGTGCGCCAAACGCGCCCCACCACTTCACTCAGTCGTCTGCATCACCATTCGCCGTTGGCCATGGCAAGTTTTTTGGCCCTATTTTTTACAGGGAGAGAGCTGCGCTTTGTAATTTGACAAGATAAAACCGACCCGTGAAATACACCTTTTGTTGAAAAGTTTAAAGTCCAACATGCAGGCGCTGATCTTTACAGCCCATTTTAGATTGAGCCTGGTTATTTTATACACCCTATATAGAAGTTAATGAGGACACCAAAGAAAAATAGAAACATCTGATGTTATGCTAGCTGTATGAAAAATGACCATGTTACTGTAGGAAGTGGTAATATGAATACAGAGTCAATACCTGTTTAAAAACTCAATGCCATAATTATAATGATACTTTAAAAAGCAATCCGGTGCCTATTTACAATGATGAAAACCCGAGTGTTTGTTCCCTTTTTTTATGCATTCTTTACCCAGGTTTGTGTCACTATGTAGTAATTACCTTCTCTTCTGAATTGCATTGGTGCAATTTGAATTGGAAAGTCGAAACGACACCACTTCTGGCACGAAATGAGGACCACAACCTTGGATAAGTTGCTAAAACAGCATGTAACAATATAAAGAGACAAAAAGCTTGGAGATGAGTTTGTGTTGGTGTTAGATCCAGACACAGGTACTTTATGTCATGCAACAACTAAATGTTACTTTCATTTCTTTTTTTTTTTTTTTTTCAGTTTATACATACATGTAATAAGAAAAAAAAAGGTATTACTGATAATGCAGATTGTGCTAATATATCTCTGCAAAGAAACCTAGTTGCCGAACGCCTTTGTGTTTAGAAAATACCTATTAGGTAGGAAAGCCTTAGTGCTAAATTTTCCTGTCACTAAAAAAGGCCACCATAGGAAACGGGCTGGACACGACTGCTGCGTCAGCGTTCGGCTGGGACTCTCATTCTCATTGATTGAACACAAGCTCCACCTGAACGCCGACGCTGCACTTGTCTGCAATCTGTGCCCTACAGTTCCCTTCTTTAGTTACCCAGGAAAATTCAGTGGGTGAATATTTCCAGCTGTTGAAATTAAAAATGCCAGCTAGGTGGCACAAGCTGCCACCTGATTCAAAGAGTGCAGCTGTACACGTGCATCCCTCTATTTACACCTTTCTCATGAGCGAGCGCTAGTTAGGTTCACTGTAATACTTCACAGTACAACTGTGGGTAGACAATGAGGTAGTAAACTTGAATAAAGGCCCTGCCTCAGGTGCACAATCTAGATGGCTTGCATGCAAGGAGATTAGAAGGGTAGGAGGGAGCATGACATAGCCGCATAGCCTCCACAAGCCATGCTCCCCTTGTTGCCTCGCCTCTTTTTCATTTTCCTCCTTACCCTCCTCACTTATCGGCCCAGCACGTGACCACAAAACGTGACCGTCGCGTGGTTGATGGTTGCGGGTAGCAGGCAGCAGGCACATAGTTCGAGGAAGGGGGGGGGGGGGGGGGGGGGGGGGAGCCCCCCCCCCCCCCCCCCCCCCCCTTCTCCAAAAAAAAATCTTTAATTTTGCTGGGACCTCCCCTCTTCCCTCCCCCTCATACAGCATTTTGTCATGGGCGGGCCGGGCCCCCCTTGAAACAAAATTCTTGCTACGTGCCTGGCAGGGAGCGTGGTGCTGGTGCGTTTCATTTATCAGTCATCGCAGCTAGAAACTGGCCTGCACCCAGCCTACAGATTCTACGCCTGCTGCGCTTCGTTATGTACCCTCAACTATAAATTACATGCACTCTGTTTTCTACAGACCGTTACTACCCTGAAAATGATAGTATTCAACGTGGAACATCAGCACTGTAACGACTGCCTGTTTTGGGTACTTGCATCCGCGTGCATCAGCGGGGTGTTTTCTTTTCATCTCCTGGCCACTAATTACTACAGTAGCCAAAGCAAGAACAAATTATATAAAGACATGATTGCGTAACTATGTCGACCCGACAGGTTGGGCCAATACTTGGGCAATTTCGCAGCGATGATTTTCGCGCCCGCTTGCAAATTTTATAGCTGCGCTCTCATGTTATATCACGCTACAATACATTTGGCTTTTTCTTTTCGTTGCGGCCGCTATGCAGGTCATCCACTGGAACATTTATTGCTGTCATGACAAACTGAACCAGCTAAACTTGACTTGAAGTTTGGGGATGTTTTATTGACTATTGGAAGTGCACGGAGCACACCACGCTCCACTTCGATGGGGTCCAGCCACCGCTGCGACCAACGACTGAAATCCATCGTTTCCGCAGTTTGGCGACCGTCGGAAATCTAAGATAATTGTTGACCGATTCCTGTTATCGTAAAACTATGTGTGTGTAATATGCCAAGGGCTTACCGGTGAAAGGTAACCCCCGCTGAAGCCAGTCCGACTGCGGCAGCCGACCACGCTGCGAGCACCCATCTTGTAGCAGGAGGAAATTAGCGTCCCGGCGACGTCAAGATTTCGTTTTCTCCACCGCGATGGTGGCGATTGCCCTGATCGTCCCGTGCACCAGCAGCTGTGTGTCGTCTGCTCGTGATCCGCCTGCTTGCTTACTTCACGTCTAGCCTTCGATATGATAAAACCTACCGAACGGAGCGCGCGCAAGCCTGCAAGGAATCCTTCTACAATCAACCATCCATCTCGCACGTGACATGTCATGCGCACCAATTGCCAGAGAGATCTACGGTCACATTGGTGCACAACATCGTGTAAACTTTTTATGACTAGGCTTCACACATATTGCATCGTGCCCCCTTCTAGTATTTATAACCTCCTTGCCTGTACGAGAGTCGTGGCTCCTAATCGCGACGCTGATATCCATTCATGTATGCTTCGTCCCAAACCTCGTCGTACAGAGGGAGGAAATGGTGGAATAACTTGGTGCTGGTTAATCAGTCGTATTGGTGTCTTTTTGTCGTCGGCGCATGTTAAAAAAAAGCCAGTTTTCACGGTGTACAGGGGCAATAGTTAGTACGGAAGAGTTATCCCATCAAAATTCCACGATAGTGGAATGCATGTAGGGACCAATTTGAGTGATAAAATTTATGTTCAACTGAACAAGAAACATGGGTAAAAAAAATATTAATTTGTTGTTCGCGCTAAATGTGTCACGCAGTGTATACAATCCGCTCCAGCCAACTAGCAGCAACAACAGTGTCATCTTCTCGCAGTGATTCGATCTATCATGCACCCAGACAGTTTATCTTGTAAAGCTAACTCGAAGCGACTTTGTCGCTAGAGGAACTGGGATCCGCCGTGCTCTCGTCGGGCGCCTCGCACGACGCCTTTTCCTGCAGAAAGGACGTCTTCATGTCCAGTCGCTTCTCGGTCTTGGCTAAGTACCTGAGAACTTTGGGCGGGTGCCTGCTGAACGACGACACCGACTTGGAAGTAGACGGCTCGCTGGCCAGTCCCATGTCCTCGAAGAGCACGCACGTCCCGACGGTGTCGCTGTACTCACCCGTGAACAGGTACGAGCCGAGCTTGAGCACGGGCTCGGCCGTGTCCACGCCGAGCATAGAACACGTCTTGCCCGCCAAGTTCATCACCTCGCTGTCAATGACGCCCGTCAGTTCGACCAGCACGTAGGTTTCGTCTTCCTCTTGGCCCTCCTGCATGTCGGCGTTTAACACGGTGTTACTGGTTGCGCTCGACATGTAGACGAATTGGGAAAATCACTTTCACACATAAAAAGCCATGAAGCGTTTGACAGTAATTAAATCACTACAGGTGATACAGGGAGGGAACAAGGGGAACATGTGTGGCATGCCTCTGTGGTGGCATGCAGAGCCGTGGCATGTCGCGATCCGCCATTTTGTAAACAACGTGAGACGTGAGACGTCACGAATCCCGACCTCGCACGGACGTTATTTTGTAGTGATTTCCTAATTTTTGTTGTAAACTGTTCTAAAAAAACACATTCATTTACCAATTTGGCGCAAAAAATACTAAATTCAAATTTGTGTGATTACTTTTAATAGTGCGGCCAATACATAGATTTTATACCCATAAATAACAATCGACTTAAATTTAAAATAAAAAGTGTACAGTTTAGTATATATTAATATTAATGTTAATATATCACACCAAAATAGTACGTTGGTTTGTGTAATTGATACACCTTAACAATGTATGCGTCGATGAATATTGGTCATCATCATTATCATCAGCATTGAATTGACGATCGGTGCGGCTAAATTTTTGTTTTGAACCTCGGTCACCTGGGTTTGCAGCGTACAGGCTATAACAAAAAGCGAACAATCTCTCAGCTGAAATCAAAAGCCGTAATGGTATTTTTTCCACCCATTCCGACCAGCTGACTAGCAAGGAACAGGAAAAAAAGAAGAGAAATGGCAGCCACTTCGTTTGTCGACCAACTCAAACTGCTCTACGACAACAAACTATACACTAATGTCACCGCCTTGGTAAGTCTTTCCCGTGTTGTATGCCGTCGAAAGATTCGCTTTTCAGGGTGAATTTTGATCACAATGACATTACTACTTTGAAGATCACAGAGCAACGACCCTTTGTTGCAAGTCTAGCACCGAAGTCGCGATTGTTACAGCGGATTGGACGTTCAAGTATTACTCGTCATTTCCGAAGTGAAAACAAATTGTGTCACGTTGTGTTTTGAAAACCTAAAATATACAGACTAACAAAAATTCGTTAAAAAAAAAGGTATGATACCTGCATTTTTTTCCTATTGCACCTGTTCATTTCTGTATCGCGCACCCCTTATCATCTTTCGTGTGACAGGACACGAATGGACATTTTTGGAGGCGGAATCTAACGTCTGCCATGCATTAGTGACTCCTGTGCAGCAGCATAATTTAGATATGGCCTAGTTGGTAGTCGATTAGCACGCATGACGCCGCACATTTAAGCTGCAGCTACCGTTTCGCGAAGGTTTAATATTCAGTGAAATTCTAGGAAGATGAAGACGGGATTCTATCCCATCCACCCCGAAGCTGACAGTGCGGTGGGAGCTATGCACTTGCCGCACCAATCCACTGCCTGCTTTTCATCACCTGGTCCTGCTCTCTGGGTGTGGGTATGGGCGGGAGCGAGGTCACGTGGCGAAAGATGGCCATATGGCTGGTATAACGAGCACCTAGCTTCCACCGCACTGTCAGCTTAATCCTGTCTGCTCAAGCTTTCCCTTTGTCTGCGATCCTGCAGTTCAGCCTGGGCCACCCGATCAGCGCCCACTGTCCGGACTTCATGACGGCGTCGGCCAAGTTCCAGAGCTATGTCTACTGCGGGGACTCCTACCTGCAGCTTGGCGACTTCCGAAGGGCCGAGGTTTGTCATCTGCTGCTTTCCTAATGCTGAGCGTCCACTCACCAGGAAAAACGAGAGGTAGCATTTAGAATGTTTTTTTTCTTCCACCCCCAGGCAATCTATCAGAAGGCCATCCAGCTGAAGAAATCGGCGGCTAAAGCCAAGGGAAAGACACCTGGCTCTATCATCAGTGGGGTAAGCTAGGTGGTGCTCCTCATCCTTTGATTGTTATGACTCAACGGTCATAAGAGTAGAATATCCCACCCAGTATTTCTTTAGAGTTGACAAAGCATAATTTCTTGATAGAATATTAACAAGACCAAATTTGGGAAATGAACTTTGCAGTAGTTAGACCTGAAAACGCACGTTGCATTTTCGGGTCTAACCCCACCCTGAGCTTTGTCATTCGCTATGACCCTTCCGCAGCCCGCAGGGCTTGACTCCTGCGTGTTCTTTTCTTGACTCCTGCGTGTTTCGACACGCACACAATGTCTGGTGGGGCGGAGTCATTGATGTTGATAACTGTGTCCTAGACCAGTGGTCCGCAACCATTGATGTTTCAGGGACTGCTTGTGGATTGACAGAAGTAATGGATACGCAATGTGGGGAGAGAGAAAGATCTGGGGTAATTATGTTTATGAAGGGAACAAGGAATACTGTACAGCTAAGTGCTCGTAAACTGAACTTCTCTCACTGACGTAATTGAAAAAAATATACAAATAAAAAGCCAAAAGTTAAATAAGTGTTTTTTTTTCACAAAAAAGAAAAAAAAAATCAAGTTTATTGCCAGGTTTACTGATGAGCAGGACTTCCTGAATCCTAGAAATGCCTTCGCAGAGGCTGCGGCCTCCCTTTTGAGAACTACTGACTTAGATGGTTGTCATAGTTTAGCGGGCTTTGTATAGAACCTAATGACCCGCGGCACAATACCCGGATTGGCGGTTTTTTGTATTCAAACAAACTTTCTGCTACTTCTTTAGGTTTTCGAATATACTAAAATAAATATTTACCCCAATTCTGAAATATTTGGCAAGGTTGGGCCGTCGGGTCTCGATGCCTCCAACTAGGCCCGACCTGAGCCCGAACGGTGCCCTCATATATTGGCCCAAGCCCGCGCAGATCTCTAGTATACTCCACACAACTAAGAACATAATCAATTATTTTTTTATAACACTCAACTGATAATTCTTACGTAGTTTCGCCTCTTCTTTACGCGTGCCTTTAGATGCATCGAGGTGCCTTCTTGCATTCAAAGATGCTCGGCAGAGCATAGGGTTCAGGCGAGCCTTCTCCAGACCCAAACCCATACTTGTTGGGCCTAAACTCGTTTGTTTACATGGCGGGAGCCCATCCCTTTGACATTTCGGTGTCAGCATGAAAAGGGCGATATGCGGAAGGAGCAACTGCGACATACGCTATTTGCGCAAGTCAACGGCTACTTGGGAGTATGCCATAGTGTAACGGCGCAAGTCAGCTGGTTTTTTGCCACGAATATTCCTTAGATTTGTGAAAAAAAAAAGAGAACAGTGAACACGTCGGGCGATCATGTCGATAGCTTGACCAGTCAATGGATAAAAGCAAGTGCTATGCAGCGGAAGAACGATGACGACTCTGAAAGTCAGCATAGGCAGTCTACGAGAGAAGCGCGGCCAGCCGCGGCAGGTCCCCCAGCCAACAATGTTGTGATGTTGACTGATGGGCTTCCTCCTCTCTCCTTTTTCCCTCTGCGTTTTAAGGACCTGGTTTTAGCACTACTTAGGAGGCGCTTTTCCGGCTAATCCGCACATGAAATGACCAAACTAACATAGTATTCGAGATGGCTTGGGGCTATCTAATGGGACACTTCATGTGGCATCTTACTTCATCGGCTGATGCTTGTTTGAGCCAGCTCATTGCCACCCACTGTGTACCTCTGTGGTGCGCTGCTGTGGTCTCTGTAGCTTCTCACCTGCTCCAGTTTGATGAGTGAATTCATGTGTGCTCAGTTAAGTTGCCTTCATTTTCATAAGATTCTTGTAGCATTTCTATAGTCAATTCATATTTTCTGTCCAAAAACTGCAGTTCTTCATTCACCAGGGCCGTTTTCCCCAGTAAGAGACGGCATAAGGTAATTGAACTTGTGCCCATTTGACATCCCAGGCATCAAATGAACCGACGTCTCGAATTAGTGCTAAAACAGAATAAATAAAACTACACATATCGATCCGAAAACCATTGCCACATTACTTTATTTCTGTCAAACTTCTCGAGCCTATGTTTTGCCAGATTTATCAGTTCACTCGCCTCACATGGTGTGGTTTTAGTGTTTGACCCTTATATTTTGACTGTTAGGTTTACTTCCATCTGTATTGTGCATTATATGTTGCTTGCTGCCATCCAGCTTTGAGAGAGAGAGAGGAAATACATGAAAATAGTGGAGAGATTGTAGCCTCGAGAGTGCGGCTTTTCTGTTCAGGTCACAATCAGTTAACTTATTATATTCTGCATCTGCTCTCTTGGCTCTTAGAAATTGGTTCATTTGGGCACTTGTCTCTTTAAACGTTTCCACAATACCTTGAATCATGTTAACCGACAGCAAGGACATGCTCTTGTCGGCATTTTCTTAGATGTTTGTGTCTGTCTTCATTATAAAATTTGTTATCTGGGTTTTTAGAGCTCTTTGCTCCCTGGTCATGGCATTCTTGCTCACTGAAACATTTAATGATGATTACAATTGCTGCTCTCTATCATCTGGTCTCTGTTGGTGTTCCTTGGCTTTTCCGTCAGTTCTCTACAAGACTCTGTCAGCTTCTTGTCCGAAGCCTCCTGTCCACAGCACTTTTGTTGGTAGGGGGGCACCCTGGTCATGCCACCAGGCTTCAGCAAGGGAGCCAAGGAGCCGTTTTGATTGAGACCATCTAATCTTGGTCTTGAGATGGTGATGTTCTTAATAACAATGAAAACATATTCTTTGTTTTCTTGCATTTGATATATTTTTGTGATGTCTCTCGCAAGGTATTTTACAAGGTGTTTTCACCCCACCTGCTGCATCCACCAGCTAAGATCTGGTTTTGAAGCAAAACTTATTTTTGGCTATGCAGTAACTATGCTAAAGCAGAAAAGGAAAGATTTCTGCCACATTAATTAACTGGAAAACTTCTACACAGTATATGTAGAGCTGTTTGATGCTTTTGGTCTTTGTAGGACAAGGTGTTTTGAAGTAAAGTTTTTCTCTAAGACGACTCACAATAGCTTTTATTTATTTTAGTTCTATATGGGCCTTGTGGGTTATGTATTTCCATTGAATTGCTCTGTTTATTGCTCTGCTGTTGCATTCTGATATAGTAACACCTTGTTGCTGAAACATCCTATTTTAATATATATCCATGGTTTGTTGTGCAAATAGAATGAATATCACAACCAGTCCTGAACACGTGAAATACTCATAAGGTCGTAGATGCACCCAGGAACTGCACCTTTGCCGTTGTTGCAACCAACATGCCATGTGGGAAGGCGGTGTTTAGTCAGCAAGTTCTTAATATTTGTGATAAATGTTTCTCTGCCTTTGTTTCTCTTAGGACGTCACGTCGGAGAACGACATTAAATTCCAGATCTACACCTGCCATGTCAACATGAAACAGCAGTCCCAAGCCATCACGGCGGTGAGTTCCTTGCACTGCATTGGACTTGCAAGCGCTTAGTCAGAACTCTAGTCAGGAAGGGTTTATTTGTCAATGCTTAGCTCAATTTTTTTAGGTGCGCAGCAATGCTGCTTTTATGCTACTTCTCGCATAGTCATCAACGCCAGATTTGCCAGGTCGTCGAGAGAAAAAATTGAGACCTTCACAAATCTCTGTAGTGCGAAATTAGAGTGCAGCTCTTGAGGAGGAGGAAGGGAGGGTATGCTCCTCCTCCTCCTCCATACAATTCTGAATGGTGTTGAGGTCACGCGATGTCAGTTTTCCTGCTAAATCTTGCGGAGAAGCTGAACTTGTTCATGGGTGACGTGAAAGAAGTCATGTGACATTGTTTTCCCTGCTAAATTTAGCTTGGAAACTGAATTGGGGTTGAGGTCATGTCACGTCAGTTTTCATGCTAAATCAAGCAGAAAAACTGAATTTGTTCATGGGTGACGTGACACAAAGTCATATGACATCATTTTCCCCGCTAAATTTAGCGGGAAAATAGATGTCATGTGACCAACACCATTTCAATTTCCCGCTAAATTTAGCGGGACGGTGGCGCTGACGGCGACGCCCCGCTAAACGTTGGGTATTATTTTTACTATGCTCACAAAAAGAGAACAACATTGTTTTTGCTTTTCTTGCTTTCTTGCTAGTATATAGAGCAAATTGTACATAAAGTATATGAGCAAAAATGATTTTCAGTAGGGAAAATTTATGCAGGCACTATATGGGCAGTAAATGCAGGCAGTAAATAGAGCAGTCTTCAAAGCTAACTTTCTTTGTGTTTTGTTTTCATTCGAGTAGCAGGCTTGATGACATCACCATCCCGCTGCTGGCCGCTAGGTGTTACTCTAATACGGTGTTTTCTTGTTTCCACATGCTTTATGAGATTGGCTAAAGTGGCTGTCGCGAACCGGTCAAGGTTCGAGTTCGACCAGGTTCGACTTTTTCGATTTTCTTGTGAAAAGTTTGACAAAGGTTCGACTTAGGTTCGACTGCTATGCACACGCGCGACAGGCTGGCCAGTTGATTTCGGATAGGATGGTGATGGCTAAGGGATGAATTAAGGGCAGCACTCATTGGTTATTTCAGTCAATACAGTACAAAACATTAAGGTATTAACTTTTCCAGTGATTGGAATTAGTTTCTTCTAATTCCAACTGTTCATAAGCATAAAATAATAAAAAAAAAAAAAAAAAATTTTTTTCTAAACCTAGACATGTTTGTAACAAAGTCTGGCCACACTGTCTATAAAGTCGAACCGGTCGAATCTGGTTCAAAGTTCGAAACTTCGTCGAACCGATTTGAATCAGCTGAACCCCGTAAGTTCTACCTAAAAATCCGGTTCGACAAAAGTTTGTGACACCTCTACTCAAAATGTTCATGCAAAAGTGTCATGCCATCACAAATTCAGGCTAGGGTTCAGCCAACGTTACTAGAACCCTCAGTTGGGAAACTCACCATTGAAACATGGCCGCTGACGTCCACCGAGACCGAGCTAAATACGACAACAGCGCCCCCCTTTATCATTTGTCTTTACTGTGGTCACCTTGAACTTTCGGACGCATGTTTTTGCGTAAAATCCAATGGGAAAAAAGTCTTTTTGTAGTAACTTTTATTGGAGTTTAGTACAAATTGAGAGTGCGTGATGTTTTCTAAAATCTTTAGTTTGCAAGGTTTTGCGACACAATTAATGTTGTTTTTATACAACCATGTCTCGGCGGTGATTTCAGGTAGCGCGTCCCGACCTAGGTCCATCATAACTTCGGTAGTAATTTGCGGCGCGTCCGCTGGGGAGACGGGGGTGGCACCCCCGTAACCTCTTCCGCTGTATCCATAATGGCGTATTAAAGCCAAAATAGAAGTCACGTGCAGTTCCTCGAGTGGCCGCTGCGGGAGAAATGGCGGCGTTGTGATCGCCATTAGCTCGGTTCTGGAGGACGGGTCGGTGCCACTTTTTCAGAGCAGTCTCTGTGGCAGTTTCCTAACTGAGTGGTTTACTAACGTTGGGTTCAGCGTTAGGAAGTAGCCAAGTAGCCATGGGCCTTTAAAAGTAGCCAATTTGGCACGGAGTAGCCAGACTTGGCAACTCTTTCAAAATTTAAGTTTGCGACATCAAAATAATGACATATGTTTTGACGGGGGACGTCAAAACAGCTTTAAAAATAATTGAGTCTTCAGGAAGTGGCGTCACAGACGTGAAAATAATATTTAAAATTATTTATTAAGTGAACGTCGAAAAAGTCACTGCCCTTTTTAAAAGCGGTTATGGTCATGATAGAGGTAGATAATAGGAAGTTTTAGAATAACAGATGCCATTTTAGCGTATGGAAATATTTACAACGGAACCTTTTAAATTGGGCGTCGCCTTGCGCCACCTAGCTTAAAGAAGGCGATAGCAGCGCCCCCCGCGCCTGTTTTTTGGCGGAAAATGTCAGTCCTGTCGGTCACCACTGGCCCCTGGGCCAACTGAGCGGTATTGACTGAGCCCGGTCTGCGAAAGAATCGAGCTACCGTCTAGGTTTCGTTGCTCTTGGCGTGTGCGGTGCGTTCTTGCTGTTCTTGCGTGAGCGGTCGCCCTTGGACGCAAATATTACTCGCCTTCATTCTGGGCATGCGATGCGATACGGCTGCGGCATGGCATCACCTTCGATGCGCATGTCACTGCGATGTTGAACGGTGCGTTCGTTACAAGCCATATATGTGTTCAGCCGCGCGCGCGATGACTGCGCGTTGAGCGCGGTGGCAAGAGGGACAGGTCGAAACGCTGTCACTGCAGCAGTTCAACGAAGTCGGGGCCCATCGGTTTGGAATGTGTGAACCGCTTTGCCCTGACGCGATGTCAGGCGATCCTCCTGTTGTGACAGAGTCGGCAGAGCCGCCAAAGGCGCTGCCGAAAAAAAAGAAGTACAAGCGCCAAAACTACTGCTTCGCGCCGGGCTGCAAGACGGGCAAGGGCCGCACCACGGATCCCGAGTGCCACCGGGCTTCGATGTTCAGCGTTCCCAAGGACGACGAGATGTTCGAGCGTTGGAAGCGGTACATGCCACCGCGTCCCGACGGCAGGCTCCTGAGCCGCGACGCCGCCGTCTGCTCGCGGCACTTCGACCCGCAGTTCATACTCCGCTACTTCGAGCACGTCGTCAACAAGGAACTCGTGAGGATCGAGCGCGGCAAGCCCACACTGACGACCGACGCCGTCCCGACCATTTTCCCCGACTCGCCCAAGTATTACACGAGACGAGTGCCCAGGCGGCGTAAGCTTCCCGAACGGACGATTCCGCCGCCGAAAGTGCCGCGCAGACGAAACGGAACTCACGCGACGACGGCCGAGCAATCAGACGACGGCAACAACGGCGCCACCGCCGTCGACAACGTAGCAGACAACGCTGGCGTGTCGCCATCGATGCCCTCGAACGTCCAAAACTGTGTCTTGCCACCTATTGCAAATGAGGTGGAGACCGTCATCGAGCGTGAGGTGACCCCCGTCTTTCCTTACGAAGACCTCCCCCTTCCCTCGTGCCAGTGGGCAAAGCACGTGATACGGGAGAAGCCAACGGTGCTCGCTTACAGTGTCTGCTCCCTGGACGAGCGGACCCCTGGTCAGCTGAAGACCGAAAAGCTTGTGTTGATCGAGGAGAAAGACTGCCACGCAGACTGCAAGGTCTACCTGTGCGGCATGCGAGTGCATTGCATGGAGGGGGCAGGCGGCACGGACCACCCGTCGGAGTTGTTGCAGAGGGTGGACCGTCTCGCCCGTTGTCCCGGGGTGATTGCTGCAGATGAGTACCCCTTCGGGACGCTCCTCGGGTGTCTCATGCAGTTAGACGGACGTCTGTACAGCCCGCAGTGCAAAATCGTGGGGACTTCGAGGGGCAGGATGTGCTATGCGTGCGCCTGTGCCAGGAAAGTCATGCTGAGGAAACGGGCACGGTTGAGGCGCAAAGCCGCTCGGTCCGTTGTGGTTGTCCTCGACGACCCTGGCACAGACGACAGCGGCAGCTCGGTTGGACTTCACATGAATGAAGAGTGTCGTACTGGCTCCAAGGCGGATGTGAACGGGCACCTCGAAGCGGGGGAGGCCGAGGATCCTCCAGGGACTGGCGACGAGAGTGGCCTTCAGCGAAACGGTACCAAAGAAAAGGAAGTGCCTTGCAAGACCGTCACGTTCGGTCCCATTCCCATCTGCAAAGTCAAAGTTCAGACCTAGCCGTTGGGGGAGGGGGGGGGGGGGTCGTGTTTTTATAATAAATCTTTCTTGCCATGGGCACCGGGCTCCGTTCGCCTGCTCCTTGCATGAAGGTTTACGGCAATGGCGCGGCACCTTTATTTTATTGTAGCATTGCCGTAGTGCGGTGGGTTATGTGACATCGTCTGCTGGTCGTAGCAATGGCCGCCTTGCCTTTTCTGTGGTCGACGGAAGTCCGCTGCCTCTTTACAAAAAGACTTGGCATCTGAAAAAAGGGAGATGAAATACCTTGAATGGTATGTTTTTATTCATAAAACAGGCGCTATGCTAAGCGGAGACCACGCAGCCAAAATGTCGTTCACCCTTCGTGCACGAAGGGCACATGCACCACGAAGTTGTTTCTTCATATCTCTCTTCATGACTTGTATATCGACAGGCGCTTGTATTTTGTTGGAACACGAATGTTTATCGTAGAAACTGCGAAAACACGATCACGTAGGAGAAACTCGCTGGACTAGCGCCAACTATCAACTGCCACATTTTATTAGCCACAGAAATGACCCTTCGTTCTATGGCAGTGCTATCCCGCGCAAGCATATTACGTGACTGTTATTAAAAGCGTAACGAGTGGGGCCTAAAAAGCTAGCGCAAATCCAAAATTGTCATCTCGCTGTCTAGCAGTGTCAACGATGGTTGACTGATGCATGAGGCTTCCATCTTTTTTATTTTGTACGCCTGCACCATCTCTCTTGTGTCAGCCAACTGTCGTTGGCACTGCTAGAAAGTGAGACGACATTTTTGGATTTGGGTCAGCATTTTTAAACTTGAGATTATGTTTTTATTATTAGTCATGTAATGCACTTGTGCAGGATCGCACTGCCATAGAATGAAGGGTTGTTTTCGTGTGTCTTTCTAATAAAATTCGTTAGTTGATACTCGGTGCTCACCCCGTGTGTTTCTCCTACGTCCTCATGTTTTCGCGCCGTTTCCACGACGAGTTTGGACCAACTTGCCCTACGATTCATTGCAGAAATATTTCTATAAAAATTTAAAAAAATAAAAACAAAGCCATTAAAAAAAAGAAACTGCTCTGTAGGGGCCCATTTTGGCAGAACTAAACAAATTAATTCTATTTCCTCCCGGTTTTTAATTAAATTTGAGTAAGTTCATCTTAGGGGGGGGGGAAGAAACAGCGGCAAAGAAACTTGGACAAGAGTAAAGGAAACTTGTCCAAGTTTCTTTGCCGCTGTTTCTTCCCAGGATGTTCACCTCAAACCAACTAGCCCAACACTTCACATTGTTGAGTAAGTTCCTTATTTCTTACTTGCGTATCCCTTCACCATCTTCTGGGGAGACAGTTTCTTGGTGTTTCAGATTCCACCACTCAAATCTTCATCACCGCGGGAGACAGGTGCTTGCTCTTTCATTTATATCCATTTGATGCCAGAGAATCTCACTTGTGTGCTTGCGATTCAGGTTGGAGTTGTTAAGGTTGCTGTCTGAGCGAGGTTCAGACGGTCTGTGCCATAAACCTTCACTGTCCTTCCCCGCACATTGCGACGTTGCACTGTCTAGATCGTGGGCAGTGAATGCAGAGCTGCCAACACGGAAAGTCAAAACTTCCCTAGCGGACGCCTGAAATTTCCCTTATCTGCCTAAATTTCCCTCGCTTACCCAAATAATTATATATAATCATTGTTTTCTGCATCACTTCCCTTTTTACGATGAGCGATAATTATATAGCCTTTACACCCCACATACGTTTCGCAAAAATGAGTTTATCGGGCCAAAACCGTGGCCATAGCAAATCTTGCAAAGTGAAGTGTTCCGGGAGGTTCAAACTGGCGAATGAAACCTTATCTTTGCCTTAGATATTATGCACTTCACCAGAATATGGTACTGCTTTAATAACATCATTACTAATATTTATCATAGTCATTCAAAAACAAGAGGTGCAAACCAAGTGGTTTCTCAAACTCGAACACGACACACAGTAACTATCATTTTGTGCACGGCGGTTCACGAAATATTATTTTTTATGGTAAGTCTATCGCCTCCAGACATCACAGTATTTCTTCTTCTACTCAAGCTTGCAAGCTTTCTTTTCCGAGAAGGTACAGCGGCGCTCTTAGAAGCTTCGACTTGGCTGGTCCCTTGAAAACTGATTTTGCAAATAAAAGAAATTTAAAAAGTTGTGCGAGTGTTTCTCACTGTTGCCAGATGGTCGCATAACTAAATCATCAAACGGCTGGGAGGGAATAACCCAAATGTAGCCAAAACCGCTAAAACTATGTTCTCTCGAAAAAATAAATAACTGATAATTGACCTATAAAATTCTAAATACATATACACGGTGTCCGAAATTTCCCTTAAACTAGCAAGATTTTCCTTATTCCAACATAGACGTGAATATTACCATAATCTGAGAAATTTCCCTCGGATGGGCAGCCGTGCTTTGATGGCTCATTATCACAATTTTCAATTATTGCGTGCTACAGTTCGATAAGAAAAAAGCGGGAGGATCCGTGGTCAAGTGTGTTGACACGCTGTAGCTCGAAGCACGTGGAGTGAAAGCGCTCGCTGTGGAACCCAGGGGTACTGGGTTCAGCTCTCACTCCTGCCCATGTCGGTCTAGATAAGTATCGTACTGGTGTGCAGTTGCGTATCGCTGCTGCGGGATGCACGTTGAAGCCCCCTGACCAGCAGGGGTACTGGAATGGCTAAATTTTTCAAGTACAGCTTACAACAATGTTACCAAAGGCAGACTAGCCTCACACTGTCTAAACATCTAAAGAGAAATTTTACAGCAATGGCTGTATTGGACTCTTCCCCCACCTCAAAATGATAATTTAGTTGATGTGGCATGTCTGTTGTTGATACATGTTGCCAGATGCTGAAGAAAAAAAGCCGACCGTGTTTTTTTTTCGGGATTTGATCCTGGGTATGCAGAGTGCAAAGCGAGCGCATTACCACAGAGCCACGCCAGCTGCTTCGTACTGCCTAATAAACTGCACTTGTCGAGCTCAGCTGCACCTATGGGTCTCACGCAGCGACCGCCAGACGGCCGCGGTTGTGGCGACGTCGCATCACGCCACCCGATGCTTCTGTGTGTACAAAATAAATTAGCGCATCTCTCTCCAAGCAGACGCTGGCGACGACTTTTCTGTGTAAGGCACCGATCGTGGCAGAAGAAACAAAGTGTATCGTTACGAAGTCGTCTCAGGTTTACCGCAAGATCCATAAGAATGCACTAGTGTCTCATAAAGCGTTGTAGCTATTGCCACGACCTTACTATGGATGAATAATCTTTTTATTCAATAGCATACGAGGGGCTTGAACAAACTGCGTTTGGACGTTGCCAGACGACAGTTCCTTTCAATGCACAGCTGGAGAGCATCCCTGGCAAGCAGCGCAGTGCTCGTGTCAACATGGCCCTGGGCCAGCTGTACCAGCAGAACGGCAACGAGCGGTCGGCCATCACCTGCTACCGGGAGGTGCTCAAGTGAGTCTCGGCCGACACTCTCCCTCTTTATCGCCCCTGTCGGCGATTGAATGGCGCCTTTCGAGCACATATCTGACCAATGCGTGGGCGAGATATGATGGTAAGCACACCAATCAAAGACAAGTTCTGGGCACCATATTTTTTTTAGGTACCTTGCGTCGGTATAGAAACGTTTTCGAAAGTCAATCTGGCCGCTTCAATAACTATTGTCGTCCAAGTGTGTGGCATCAATGATGGGCTAATAGTGGCTTTATGGGGACTCATGAAGGAAGAAGTTGAAGACATACGCCAAAGTGGATATCACGCAGCCGGGGCATTCTAGCCGTTATTGTAATGCGACGCGCGTTTCGGATTCAAGCACCACGTATGATTCACGTCTAATAAGTCGATTGGCATGCACGAGGCCCACAAATTTTATTGAGAGTTTTACTCAGATAAGTACCTCGTAGAAAGTGGTTGCCTGTTGCAACCGTCGAAATCGAAACTAATAGAAAAAGAACTGTACAGCGAAAAACAGTTGCCTTTTTGCAATTTACGTACGCAAGAAACAGTGACCGGCAAGATCCTAGATTTTTTCCGCCGTTGGCGCGCGAAAAGCAAGGCCGATATTTTAGCTGCCCGACTGCACCGAATTCCCGAAAAGGCCTCATTAGCCCACCTATTACTTTACGCGTTGCAACGTTGCTGATACTGCGCATCTTGGGGATTCGGCTTGCCTCATGGGAAGCCGCATCCCCAAGCACAAAGTAGTCTTTCCTTCGACGTCGGCTCGATTTTCGCGTAACGACCCTGATTTTCACTCGGGCCCCCCCGTCACTTGCGTGCAGAGAGTGCCCGCTCGCCCTGGAGGCGGCCAAGGGTCTGCTGGAGCTGGGGGTCAAGCCCGTCGAGGTGGCGGCCCTGGTGCTGCACCCGTCGGGGGGATCTTCCCTGCCGCCCAACATGGAGTGGTGAGAAGGCGCGAGAGACGAACACCATCGGCCGACACTCGGCCGGCCCAGTGACTGGAACGACTCTCGCACTGACGTGTTCGCGGCGTCCTCAAAAGTGGCCTCTCAATTTCTGCCCGCCGACATCGCAAAAGCGTCGTGGGTTTGCCGGTTGGATCCCGGCGATGTTGCAGTGGTGGCAGTGGATGTGGCAGACGACCGTTCTGCGGCAGGTCGCTCTCCAGTTCGACGTTCCACGGAAGCTTTGGCAGCCGGGAGTCGGGTCGCCACGTTTGTCTGCTTCTTTTGCAGGGGTTGCGGTGACGTCAGAACGATACCGAGCTTCAATTGGAAGGCTAGTGGGTAGACCTCGAAGCAGGCTGCCTCGATGTCTACCCACTGTCCTTCCAATAGACCGATGCCACCAAGCGAACTGCGAAGGCGCGCATTCCGGAAGTATTGCCGCCGCCATGCTACTTGTAGTCATCGCTCTCCGGCTTCCCGGCTGAAAAGGGCTCATGTGGGCGTACATCATAGTTTGGGAAGCCCTGGTGTTAGCTTGGATTCTCCTGCATATCAGTACTTTATAAGATTGTGTTGTTTGTGATGCCTTAGTTTATCATCAGGCGCAAAAAAACAGTTTCAGTCTTCTTATCGCTTTAGAATCGCTTTGTCGTCTGCTTCGTCGTTGTCCGCTTCTTCGCCTTCGTGAACGCGCGTAAACCCACTGCGTTCACGCGGTGGTCCTACTGCAACAGCGGCAAAAACAACGAGACCACTACTTTCTCGAGCTCTCCAGGTGCTCCTACGTCTCAATAAACTTGGAAGCAAGTGAATATCTACCTCAACGTGAAAGAGCACAAAATTCGAGGGACCATCGGCTCGATGTAGCACCGCGGAACAGCGTCAAATGTGTCGGTGAAATACTGAGCTATGTAGTGCGCAGGCTTGGGCATAACTTTTATTTGACAATGAAGTAAGACGAGCTCAATAGACATTCTCGGAGAGCGATAGTTTTCTAAAACTCGTTCTATTCTGGTTGAGAGCCTTTGCGACAGGGTACATATGAACTGCGGGGGGAAGCCTGCACACAAAGAAACAATCTACAAAAAGAACCTGCCTGACGAGCCGTAACAACTCGCATTTAAATGAAACGTAACCATGAGAGATGCCTGAGAACTTCGGGTAGAGATGAGCTCTTGTGTACAGTTTCTATTCAATTTTATTTGGTTTGCTCAAGCTCCAAACGGTAAGAGCTGACCGTTGGAGAATGCTTTCTTCCGCTGTGTCGATTGGTGTTAATGCAGAATGGATCAGTAACGCCAGCAAAATCAGGTTGTGGCATAATAGCCCACTAAAAAAAAATTAAGTCTGATTTTGAAAAAGTTGTTTTATTTCAAGTTATATATATATATACATACCGTGAATCGCTGCTCTTTCTTCGGTGATTGTACTGATCTTTTGAAGCACAGTTGTGCTCAAAACATGTCGTATCAATAACAGTTGTAACCACCAAAATGTATCAAGCAAACATTGTATTAAAAACGATCGCCGCAAGGCAGTGTGGAAGTTCCGATTGAGATAGACCAACGGATATACTGCTACGGAGCGAGTGCTCTGAAAGATTCCAACGTACGGAACACTTTGGTACGCCCTACTACGTCTCATGCCCTGTGTAAGCTTACACTCTTTAGTTATTGTGCAATGGGGTGAATATAAATTATGAAGCAAGTAACGAAACAAATCTAAAAACGTTTTTTCCTGCCGCTCTTTTACCGCTCTCTTTACCTGTTTTAGACACTCTTTTCGTGGGCTGTTTTCTTCCGGGAAGACATAAAATCTTATGCCTTTTTGCCTGGTGCTCTTATTGTAACACCTTGACACAGAACGGGTGAAGACACCCAATAAAAACCGTGAGTAAACGGCCGACTAAAAGTTTCGTGCTAACCTGAAAATTCCTAAACGCCGGACGTACAACGTGCCTTGACGCGGCCAGAAAACGGGGGAGAACTACAGGTACCAGAATGCACCGCGGCAGCAGTGGTGTCGTGCAACTCCTTGTGAGATCGGTCTATTGAAGCCAGTCAAAACTCGGCATTCTGACATCGCCACAACCCCTGTAAAAGAAGCGGACAAACGTAAACTCTGCGTAGGATGCTTCATGCACCGGTGGGAGACGTGTTCCGGGTACCTGACTGCCAGTAGAGGAACGGCGTCGCACGTCTCGTGCGTGACGGAGTAGCGGTGCTGTTGCGCTAGGATGCCGAGGTGGCAGGAAGGCAGTGAATTTGACTCTCTCCCGACTTCTCCTTGGTGTGGCAAGGAAACGTGTCGCTGGGTGGCATGAAAAGCAGCTAACTGTTAACTGGCGTCCTTGTACGACGAAATTAACGAATTGAGGAATGAAATTGAAGGACCGATTACGCGGCGTTACTGCGTGTGTGTTGCGCTTCGTAACTGCTAAGTGTAAAAGCTTGACAAAAGCGGTGACGTATAAGGAATGTTGCACCAAATTGTCAAATTCTCGATTCTCTTATCATTGAGTGAGAACCAGCTACTATACTTTTCTGATGTCTGCTTCAAATGCTAAACATAAAATATTACGTTACTGCGTGCTTTGGTTATTTCATGGCAATGTCTCTGTATTATACTCTTAGAACAGGATGTGCGAGCTATCACACAGGCTGGAGGGGAGCAAAGTTTTATCATAGTAAATATTGCTACAGCAAATGTTGGGTAGTGCTCATAATCACTGGCTGTGGACGTGTGTTTGCCCAGGCTCGGCCAGTGGATCAAGGCCAACGCTCACTTTCATGCCAGGGAGTATGCCTCCAGCATTGCCAACTTTAAGCAGTTGGAAGCGAGGGTATGTCTCATCACTCTCATTGTGGTTGTTGTCAACCTTGCATCTTATTCTTTGGGGGTGGTTTTTGTTCTAGTGTTGTAGCATCAAAAGATGACTGATATAAAATGATCTAATAGATTAGGGGGGGACGTGATTTCGGTACTGAATGGAACTGAAGAATGAACAAAATGATGTTCCCACTTCTCAGGCAGGAGGTAAACAGTTTAGTGTTACATACAATACTTACACCCCTTGACCCATATTGTTCAGGTAATAAGCTGCTAATACTACGTACAATCTAAACTCGTTATAACAGACCTTGATTTTGACCAAGATTTTGGTCTGTTGTAAAAGGAGTATGTTGTATGCAGAAATGATGTTTAGTCAGTGGTATGTAGAGAAAAACCAATCGAACTTCACAAATCCATATGTTATATCCAAATGTCTGTTGTAACCAGGTCTGTTGTAATGAGCTTAGACTGTATTTGGGTAATCGAGTGGCAGCAAACAAGCTTTTAGTATATTTTTTTTTGCCAGTACCATTTGGCTAATTAAGCGAGCACAAATTCAGTTTTGCATCTGTCAGATAAGAGGGCAGGACTGTGCCATCACTGATAGCAGTGTTCCATGTAACTCTTTTCCGGTGAGAGACAGCGTAGGTGTCCAAGTCCACGGGCGTTCAGACATACTTCCGACGCACCCAATTCCTTTAAGTTACCGGGCATTTCTGGTGCCGCTGGTCCGTCTTTCACGAAGCATTAAGAACAGAGTTAGTTGAGAACGCACACCAGGCTGTGTCCTCATGTCTGCATTTCAAACTCCCAGGGTTGGGGGGGCATACAGAGTAGAGTGCCCCGATCGATCATTCAAATGCAGCGACGCAGTTGCCGAAATGCAGCGATTGCCAGCAACTTGTCAATCACTTCGTTGCTGGACTAGGCGAGCGACCTATTGTCCCAACACCAGGTAAAGACTGGGGAGCTGCAATACGGGTGATTAGCTGGAATGGTAGCCACCGGGGTGGTCCCGAAACAGCCAAGGAATGAGCGACCATGCGCAGTGTTAAGTTTGGGGAGCACCATACACTGTCTCGTAAGCATAGATAAGAACCTTCAGGTTGGCAGATTAGTCCACTGGTGGGTAGGGTCCAGTCTTTCTCGCTGTTCAACATGGGGGCGCCTGGGTCTCTCGGCAATTCGTGGCTCTTGTGTGCGATTCCAGCCCCAGCTCTCGGACAATGTGGACATCCTGGTTTCCCTCGGCGAGGCCTACTACCACATGGGGGATTTCATCAATGCCGGCGTCACCCTGGAGAGGGTGAGCGGTGCCCGTGCCTCGTCTCTCCACTTGCTGATACGGACATAGTGGGAGTGGCCTTCCAAGTTTGCCACATGTGAATTTTACTTTGTCCAAATGAAATGCAGAGCATTGACCGAGATGGATTATAGTGGAGTTGTTACAGGAGTAAGTTATACAAGAGTTGAACTTTGCACAAATGGAGCTGACTCGAAATTTGGACTTTTTGAACACAGGTTGTGCAGCTTTCTTTAATTTTGTTTGCCTTGGACTCTCTTCTATTTTGGGAACTTTTTTTATGTCTTGATCAGTTCTTGGAAGAGACTTCAGGCCTTCGGTTAATTTTTTTTTCTCACATCCGCAGCCGAATTTAGATGTGTCTGGAGCTTGTTTCCTATCTGGTAGCTTGTGCACTTCTTGTTGGAGGCTTCATTAATACGGAGATAAATTTTAAACATTTCATTAAAATAAATGAGAGGATTGGAGGGCTTGCTACTATTAACACCTTTAGTGAAGCATGCAAAGTTGGACTCTTTCCCATCCCTCTAGCTCATGCGTTCTCAAACTTTTTCGTCCCAGGGAACCCCAGCAAGCCTCAAAAAGTCCCAAATAACCCCCCCCCGCCATGTTGCCAATCGATCGTACTGGGCCATAAAGGCGTTTAGATAGTGAGCGAGAGTTTCTTGCACTGACAGAATAAGACAAAATGGAGGACTACAGACAGCATAAGAAGTGAAAGGGGTTAACCTGGGACACAATGTAAAATATATACTATACATATTAGTGCGAAGGGTGAGGTTGCTTTGTCCGCAATAGGAACTCAATCCATGGTTTAGTCCGTGGAAGGTTAAACTAGAAAAGGGGAGGGGAAGGGCACTGCAATTTGGGTGCTTGCGGAACCCATTAGACCAGCTCGCGGGACCCCCAGATTCCGTGGAAACCAGTTTGAGGACCCCTGCCATGGCTTATTTAGGTACTTTTGCACCCGCCACTTTTTTCATATTGGGCACAGTGATTGCATTTGTAGAGCCTAACATCGGTGTCAGTGATTTTCTAAATTTGCTAGGGCTTTCAAGAATGTGTGAATAAAACGTGAGGTGCCTGTGTTTGCTGGTCAGGTGCACAGCCTGGATCCATACCAGGTGAGGGGCATGGACATCTATGCTGCTCTCCTTGCCAAGGACAAGAAAGTCAAGGAGCTGGAGACGTGAGGACCCTCTTCCCTAGATCTTCTGGCAGGTTCAGACTCAACAAACAACCAATGAATGCCTCGATCCAATGAAATGCCACACATCGTGGCAAGATGACAAACGGATTGGAATAGGCCCATTCTGGGTCTTGAGATGAGTTACAAGTTGGAATATCTTCTATTCTGAGTCTGAGGTCTCTCTGTTTACAGATTAGCCATTACATCTTGTATGCCTGTTTCCTCAGTTAAATGCACCTCAAATAATAATATCAGCTTTTCATGGCCTGGTCTTCAAACTGCAGGACTATAGAAAATATTTACTGCCCTTAAGGCTTCTATGGATGCTGCTGCTGTGGCCTGCAAGGCACCAAAGTTTGCCAGCTCTTGCTCCATAATTTTGACTTTCAATCTCTTATTTTTCTTGGCAGCCTGTCGACTCAACTGATGTCCGTGAACGACAAGACGCCTGAACCGTGGATTGTGATGGCTTACCTCTGCTACGTCACCAAGAAGGGCACCAGAGCCATCTACTTCTCACAGAAGGTTGGTTGTTCGGTCGTGTCTTGTCCAATCTTGATTGTGCCAATGCTAATATTGTTTTTGTGGCAGCTTAGGTTGCAGTGTAGAGCAAATGCTTCAACTTGTCTTATTCCTCCTCATTTGTAAAATTAACCACTCAAAGACTCAAAGAAAAAGTAAGAGTGATTCGTTGCCTTCAAGGGTTGGGAGAGATGGCTCCCCTGCAGGGTAGCATGCCCTCCAACCACCATGCTGTTTATTTCATAGTCGGTGTCTTTTGCTGTGCAGGCCTGCATGCTGAATCCCCGTCACGTGGAAGCCCTGCTGCTCAAGGGCTTTATTCTGCTGGAGCTACGCAAGCAGCACGAAGCCATTGCTCACTTTGGAGAGGTCTTCAAGGTCGCACCTTACCGTCACGAGGCGTACAAAGGTAAGGTCTGCCTCTTGAAACTCACTCGCTAGTTTTGTCCATCATTTGGTCGCGTTCAGCCCTATTTAATGGCATCCAAATTAAGCATTGCTCATTCACCGATTCATTCTTTTTTTTGTATTTCTTTGAAAACAGCAAGCGCAGGATTTTCGTTACCCAAGGTCTTCTCAATATGTGCACATGCATTTGGTACAGAACATTTCCTCGTGGTTATCAACCATACCCTTAGATTTCGTAGATGTTTGAACCAAAGACAACCGAATTAGGATTTTTGTGCAACTGAAGGGTCGGCATGTTTCCTTTGTTAGTTGTGTTCACCGGCTTTGATATGTAAAAAAATTTAGGTAAAATTATATTTCTTCTTAGTTGAGAACGCACTCAATATTGGTGCACGGTCCCCTTTATTGAGTAGCCGAGGGATTTCGCGAAGTTAGGTTCGAGCTGACTTGGATGACGACACTGTTCTGCCCAGGCATGGTAGACTGCTACCTGGCCCTCCTTCGTAACAATGAGGCGGCGGCCATTGCCAGCAACGGCTGCAAGCAGTTGGGCCACAACCCAAGATCTTTAACAGTGAGTAGCGGCTGCACAGCCGTACCAAGTTTGGAATGCCTGGCACGGCGTCACTCGAAACACCGCCGAAAAATCTGGAAGGGCTTTTTTGCTCTTTCCGAGGCTTTAGCTTTGGCTATGTTTGCCTCGCTGGGTTCTTCTGCACGTGGTGCTGCTGCTGACATTTGATTGATGTTATTTCTCTTTGTGAGAAGCACGATAGACCCTGTTCAAAAGTGCGCCATCAAGTGGCTGCTGCGGCAGTTATCCGAGTCCGCCATTATTTGGGCACATGCTCTGAGAATGTGTGTGGCATGACGGCTGCGTCAACTTTTGGCGTAAACTCGGATCCAATCAGGTGCTTTGTGCTCAAGAAATGGCGACCACCAGGGTCGCTTGGTCTATCGTTTACCACGTGGTTACGGGACTTGCGCAGAGGCATTACCAAAGTGTGGCAAGTTGGCTCCCCCTGGAGTCGTTTGAAGCTCACCAGATTTTAATGGGGAACTAAAACTTGAAGGGTGATGGATGCGGGTCAGAGAGCTTTTGTAGAGATGCATAGTAGTTAGGTATTTAGAGATCAACTGCATAGACTTTCAACAAAGGACTGTGCATGTTTCATGGGGAGTGCTGAAATGGACGTCACGTAGGATGGTAGTGAAGCGAAACCGAAGATAAGTGCATTCTGCAATTCACTTTTTTTTACCCTGCACGAGCCACGGGGTACATATTTTATTTTTCTTTACTGATTCGTTGTCACTTGGACTCTTCTCCCGCCCCGTGTACTTTCATTCTTACGGATACCTTTAGTAAAGTCCTTGATGTGGTTGGGAAAGGCGCCGGGCGTCAAAGGTCCTCTTCCGATTGTGGCTGGTGACTTTGACGGCGAGGTGGTGGCAACAACGATGACTCGAGGGATGACTTTACATTCATTTACAAAGAGCCGGCAGACAACTCACGCCTGCGGCCGATCTTGGATGCCTCTCTCGCCAAACTCGCCTGTTCCTCGTCGCGGGGCCCGGAGAGGGGGTCTTCTCGGAAAATAAGCTGCAGTTCAAAGCAAACAGACGCTCTGATCTTTACACCTTTTTGTCGTCAAGAGCATTAGTAGCACTAATAAGATATAGAGAATCCATGGTATACATAATATTCTTTGCTCTGACAGGCAGCATGATACCTAATGAGGCTAATAACTATAAAATTGTTCCTTGGACATTGTAAGTGAAGGTCAACATTGTGCACTTTTGTAGTATTGTCGAGATCGGTTATAACAAAATAGCGGCTACAGCGAAGCGATCACGATTTCCCATTCCCTTTTTTACTTTTAATGCGAGAGCATTAACCAAAGTCATCAGCTTTTGAAGCCGCGCCAAACGTCGCCTACCCCTGTTCCAGTGGAGCAAAGCCTGTCGTCTGTAGCAGAAACCTGATGAATAGGCTCCCATTTTTCAATGTAATTGTGTCTGTTTTGAGCGAAGGAAATTGAGCAGCTCCTGCAAAAATAGCAAGGAGGAATTCAGTGATAATTAAAAAAAAAAATGAAAGACGTTTACAGATCTCTGTAATGGGAAATTAGAGTGCGCAGCTCTTAAGGTACTGTACTTTGATTTTGCGATATACCGTGCTAAAGAATTTGAGGAAGAAATATTTATATGTACAAATATATACCTCATACTCCTGCATACGGAGGACCCTCCCCTCCTCCTCTTTCCCCTCCTCCTCCAGTTACTCTTATGGTGACGCTGATGCCGCAAAACCCGGGAACTAGCACCTAAGAGCTGCGCTATAAAAAATAATCAAATTCAGAAAGTGTCGCAGACCGCCGCACTTTGGTGCTGTGGCCAAGCAGCCGCCCAGAACGGGCCGCAGACGATGCCGCAAAGGTTGGCTGGCGGCGGCAGCCCCTGCGTCGTCGTCTGCTCCCTGCTCCTTGTTTGGGAAGTGGCTTTTCCGCATCGCATGCGGAAAAGATGTCGTGTCGTGCTGATGGGTGTTAGGAGCGCGAGCGATGATGTTTTGACGGAGACGATTGAGGGAGCCTAAATTTAAGAGGGGGAGCAACTCCAATTATGGAGGCGTTTGCAGTTTTTAGGCGGACACCTCCGGGGGCAGATTGGCACAAGTGCACCTGCATTTGGTTGTCGCATGGCCAGCGTGGCGAGGTAACCGGGCAGAGAAGCAAACAGATTTGCAGACTGTGAATACTTTTGAGTTTTGACTCCTTGCAAGCTTCAACCCGTTGTGCGAACGCTGCCCACAAACCATGTGATCCAGATCGAGCAGTTGCTTAAATCTAGGCTCTTTATACCGACGAAACTCGGAACTTGAGCGCAAACTCGACGCCGTGAGCGCTTCTTTGTTTGTTTCATGTTCCATGTCGGCTTCGCTGGTCAGTGTGGTCGCCCTCTGCGCAAAAGTAACTTTGCTCAAGCACTAGTTCGGCGAATCATCGCCACTCACCAATGGAGAGTCCCAACACCGCCGGCACCTCGACAGGGAAGACCAAGGCAATCTCCTTGAAACAAAGGCGTGCCATTTTGAACGAAGTGTGCATATCTAAATGTAAAGTATGCTGTCTACCGCCGGCTTCCTCCGCGGCAACCGTCGCAACTGTCGACACAGTTTGTACATAGCTCGAAGAATCCTTTCCCGATCAGTACTCTTTGCATCTTGCGAAAAGCAGCTCCGATCTAGCAGAGAGTGTGTGCAGGGAAGCCTCGATCGCTTTCTGCAGGCACGATAAACATGTGCCCGTGACAGATGGTGTTATTTCTTTTTTGCATGTTACTTTTATGGAGTCCAGATATAACAAAGTGATATTCTATTCCAGGTAACTACGTTATAACCGGTTTTGACGGTACAACAGCTCCGTGCTCGTCATGGTGAATGCTCTCGTGCATGCGAGTGAATGTGCGTACCATGTGCAGCTGTATGCAAGCGTGCTGATGAAGAACCCCGTGACGGTGGAGAAGGCCAAGCTGTGCCTGGAGAAGGCCCTGAAGCTGGACAGCAACCACTTGCCGGCTGTGTACCTGCTGGCCGAGATCTACGACCAAGAGAGAGCTTACCTCAAGGGCATAGAGCTGTACGTGCTCCAGACTCCCCCCCTCTCCCGATGTTGGCTTTTTCGGGTGGTGCGACCTCTCGACTACCTTTGACTTTCAAGCATGCACCTACCCTTCCTTTTTTCTCAGTGTTCATAACTGGTACTAGTTGCAAGTGTGTTTTAATGCGTAGGTCTCTCGAGTAATTGCCACCATCTGTTTCTGTTGTGGTGTTCTTTTGACAGAGTTTAACTGTATTCTTTCGTTTCTTGGCCCTGCCTGCTTGGAAGGACCCCAGTTTTTACAGCTATCAATAGTTTGGAGTTTCAAAAAATGGAATATAAAGCAATTGATTATCTTTTTGGGTTCTAGGAGGTTCGACGGAGCTTGCGATTCTTTGGTAGACGGTCTCTTTGGACATTGAATCAGTTTGCATATTTGTTGCAACAGTTGCTCAGGCTGGAAAGCAAGTTGTGAGAGAGAGTATCACTAGAGTGGACCACCCAAAATATAGGTATGCCTAGATTTATGACCTACATTCTGTAATATTTAACCCTGGTTGAGCAGTGGAGAATTTTCATGTAAATACCGAATTCCTGGCCTCTAAACTAAGTTATTAAAAGATCTGTTTCGTGCTAGTAATATAAAGGTTATAATTGATATTTGTATCTTGCATCGAGCAGAGTATAAAATGACACATTCAGTGATCTTCGATGCACATTCTGTGTTTGTGAGCTGTGACTTACGGGTGCTGACCTGTATTTTGATGACGCAGACTGCAGAAGCATCTGGAGGTGCAAAGCACATGCCGGCTGCATCAGATGCTGGGGGACTTCTTTGCCAGGACGAGCGAACACGAGAAGGCACTGCACCATTTTGGCATTGCTCTCAAGTAAGGCTCCCGCCTCATTCGAGTGAAATCTGTTTTAAATGCATAGCACTTAAAGGGTCAGCCTCGGGGATTTTGTGTCTCCGTGGCATCTTGCCTCAATAACGTCTCAGCGTCATGTGGCATCATGACGTGTTGCACGTGACACTGTAACGTCGCATGACTTAAGGAGTCGCGTGACTTTATGACATTACATGACACAATGACATGACGTTACATGACACTGTGATGTCGTGTAACATGGTGATGTCACATTGTCACATGACATCGCAGTTTCACGTGACACTGTGCTTGCTTCACATATTCACAGAACCTTCGCAATGCGCCCTTAAACAACCTCCTTAAATCCACTGAAAAAAAAAAAAAGTTTTTTTTAACGTTTAATTGGGATGTGCGTATTGAAAAATAAATTTTACGCAAAGAAATAGTATAATTTTTTTTTTGAGCAGTATTGCCAAGTTTTGACATGGAAAGTTTAGACAATGCAATAAGAAAACAATCTGGCATTTCGAGTGAGGTATAGATGACAAGCCTGAGCAAAGCAACCGAACAAAGAGCAGAAGCCAAAATACGAAGGTGTAGGCTCAATGAAATACGCACAATCTCAAGCTGGCCGAAAGAGCATGTGTTCCTAAGTGGTGTCACGTGACTAGGTACTGTGCCGCAGTGGCAAAACATTGGTCAGTGTGGCCTACTCGTGGTGTTTTGATGCCTACTCGTGATGCCCGGACGGCTGTGACACGTTGTGGCATGTTTTCTGCTAGTGGAGTCGTGCCTTCATTCTGCCCACAGAAGGAGTGCAAAGAGGCCCTATAAATGCTATGCATTTAGAATCATTTAGAATTCTTTTGAAAAAAGCCAGAGACAGCCGATTGATTTTTTTAGAGCTTAAGTGGGAAAGGGTTCGAAAGGTATTGACAGGCGACACCTAGTTGAAAACTCTGGGCTTTCTTGCTGCCCTGGGCTCAAGGTAAGTTCTGCCCACATAATTTCTCAATCACGTCGCGATGCATCTCTAGTTCTAGGGTGCAGGGCTTCAATGCCTAGGTACGTCCCAAGCAGCAAAATGGAACGAGGGTAGAGGAAGAAAACCAGTTTGGCAGAATTATAGTTGATTTAATAGTTGAATTAGTTGTTTTGTGACTCATCTGGTTATAAGCATTGCAGAAAGTGCATGGGCCCTTTTTGCATATCTGCTTCCTCCTTGGCATTATCTTTTTTGTACTGTTTTTACTTTTGGTTGAAAAAAAAGTAGCGTCTTTCATGGATGTGGGTCATTTGCAAAAGTAGTTACGTGTATTATGACACAGTATGTTTCAAGGTCCGTCAGCTTATAGTGAGATTGCACATTATCCAGAGCTTATTTGAGGACAAATGTGCATATATTTTTATTGCTTGCTCGTTTTTGGGTGCGTTGTTAAGATTCAATATCTGTGATTATTGGCCAGAAGATACTATCTTAATTACAGGAACAAAATCGATGGAACAGTTGAAGAACTATTGGTGGGGAGGAATACTTTACCTACCACATTTCTAACAAAGACCCACGTAGGTCACATTCTGCTTCGATGAGTAACGGAAATCTTAGAAAATATTAATTAAAAAGAAAACTGTCCCCCACTAACCATGCAATGTCAGGCAACCTACGCTATTTATGTGTATGGTACATCTATAGTACTCTGCATACTTCAGTCTATCCTGATTTTCACAGCAAGCTAGGTAGGGAAGCCTTCTGCCTTCCCATACCTAGGGTTTGCAGTTCCTGGGTGTTTCTGATAAGCATGCGTAAACATACTCCATATATTATTTTGCTGAATCGATGAAACAAGAAGTAAACACGAAAGATCCAAGCGACCATTTGGCATTTATTTTTGTTTCATTTTTTTTTACTTTATATGGAAGTACTAGTACAGAACTGGGAGGAATGCTGGTTGGGGTAATGCTGCCTTTCTGTGGGTGGACTATCAGAACAGCTCATACAGCCAAACACTTCTTATTGTCGTGGCGCTGCAAATATTTTTATTTTATGCACTACCATTTGCTTTTTTTCTTGTCTGCCTACGGGTTCTATATTTGCACCCCCGCAAGATGGGCACCGACAGATGCCACTTTAGCAAAACGAATGCCAAACTATTACGCCGAATCGTTAGAAAAATGCAAGCACAAAAAATCTGACGCCACGAGCGTCCACTTTCGTTTAGTCCGCGTCCTGTTTCTTTCCAAAAGCCGCGGGCATGAGCAGGAAAAGTGCCAAGAATTAGGTACAGCCACTGACAGGTTGCGGACGGCAGGAAGGAGTCTCGGTCGTCCTGCCTCCAGTGCCAGCTTCCTACCTTCGATATTGCTTCGGCCTTTTGTAACCCTCTAGAGCGTGCGTGCGAGCGCAGACAAAAGTCCACAGGCACACGCAGAGGTCGAATGTCCAAACGAGACGCACCGTTGTTCCCATCCTGTCGGCGACGACGAAGTACGCCTAGAGCGCCCGACGCGCGACCCTGAGTCTCTGTACAAGAGGGAAGCTCCCTTTCTCCCATGCAGCCTGGACCCGAGCAACGCCAGCGCCCGCAAGGGAACGCGCAGGGTGGAGCAGAGGCCCGAGAATGTGGAGGGGGGATACGACATGGACGTGGACGAGATTGCCGAGTCGGACGTAGAGGTGAGCTACCGCGGTGACCACGAGCCAGTTCTGTCCTCTTACAGCGACGGCCGTTATTGGCGAGGCTCTGCGGCGCTTCCTGGCGTGTGTAAGGTGTACGTCGCGGCCCGCCGAAAGAAACAAACCTTTATTTACAGCACTCTCAGCTAAATCACGGGGCGATGCCAAAAACTTAATCACCGTCGGAACTTCTGGACATGTCATCGTCGTCTGAAGCTCGTCAGCTTGGTAGACATCCTCGCAAATTCGCAAAAATACCTCAATGACACCGTTGTAAAATGACGACAAGAAGAAACGGAAGAAGGTGGAGACGGGTGAAGCGACGAAAGACAAAATACAAAGACGCAAGCAACGCCGCGAGTCGAGTCGCCACGAGCAACACGCGAGTCGAGCCGCCTCAAGCAACAAACAAAAGTAACCTCCGTTTTTTTTGTTCTTTTTTCGTGCGCGTTTGCGAGGATGGAGGGCAAAGTGCATGGCACATCACGTTCCTCTCCCTCCCCTTCCCCGTTGCCCAGCCGGGGGAACGCTACAGGCGCGATGAAGAAACCCGACGCCCGAGGGATGCGCGCGAGCGGCGCGGCTATCGCGGGCGGGCCGTCGGCTGCTGCTGTTCCGGTTGTTTTCGTGCACCAAAAGCTTTTTGAAAACAAGAAGCGGTGCGGCTCCACGGCAACGCCTGCTCGGTGACTCGATAGCTCCATGCCCCCGGTAGGGTCGCAAAATTTGGTTGCAACTGTAGGTCGAAATTGTTTGGTCACGATTTCCGAAAAAAAAAAAAAAAGTCCGACTTATATTTGAGTAAATACGGTAGCTACTGTATTTATTGTAATGTTCGGTACGGTACAGTAGCCCATGTGGCCGTTAGTGTTGTATGGCATACCCCAGCTTTTTCACATCACATTTCGTGAAGAATGTGCCCTGTTATCTGCACCTGGGTCATTCTGCAAGTTCTTAATGGGTGCTTTCTCTTTTCCAGAACGAACTCGAAGAAAGCGAAGTGGAAGCAGTCTGGTCCGACGTTGAGTACTCATATAATTAGTTTTAATTGCAAACTTTGACAATGAAATATTGCAATCACCTTGTGTCAGGGCACTGGTGGGTCAGCCAGCCCAATTATTGCTTCTCAAGGAGTGCATTCAGGGAATGTATCTAGGGTCGTGCAAAACGAGAACGCGGGAAAGAATATTAACACTTCATTACAGCAGGATGACCTTTAATTATTGTGCTTCAAAACCGCTTCATTCCGTTCGGTTTAGCAATGATATGTACAATTGTGTGTGGACATAAATAAATTCATGTCTAATGCGATGTGACCCAAAATGCTTGCAAAATGTTGCTCATGTTCGAACATCAGCTTTTCATGGTTTATGTGAACTTCCACAGACTGACAGCCAAAACAAGTGAAATGGCCGAGCGACTTAACTATGGAAGCAGAGTTATTTGTAACATGAAGTAACATGTAACACTGCCTGCCACAACAGAAAGGGTGCTTCCATTTGCCAAGGCCATTGTTGAGATAAGAGCTTTTTGTTAGTTAAAGACTAACTCTTATGCTTGCTTTTAAATCCAGTACAAATTGAGAGCTCTATCTTGCTTACATTATCACATATTTTCTAATGCGATTGGACGGTCTCTACCTTAAGTAGGGATGTCGCGAACCACCCTAGGTTCGATTTCGAAAGGTTTCGATATTTGCAAAGCGAACTAAAGTTCGATTTCGAAAAATTTCGATATTTTCGTACCGACCGAGGTTCGATTTCGAAAAATTCGCAACTTTTGACCACAGCGGAGTTTCGAATTCGAAAATTTCAAAGCTTTCACGGTTTCTAAAATTTCGAATTCGAATATTTTTTTACTTCAGGTTCGATAAATTCGAAGATTTCGAAATTCTTTGTAAAAAAATTTTGAAAACTTCGAACGCTTCGAATTTTTATAGACATGAAGTTCGAACAATTCGAAGATTTCAAATTTCTTTTTGCATAAAGTTCGAAAAGTTTGAAGGTTTCAATTTTCTTTTAACGCTAAATTAAAGAAAAAAAAAAAAAAAAAAAAAAAACATTGAACATTTTGAATTTCTTTTTAATACAAGTTTTCAAAGTTCGAAGTCCGATTTTCAAGTTTTTCCACAGTTTCAGTTTCAAATAACGTTTTCACGACTCACTTGTTTTCACAAAATCAAGTTTAGAAAAGTTAGGGTGTGATATCCAGATTCTGCGAAGTTGGTCAGGCAATTAAATGAGACGACGAGTGTCCCGGACGTGCTAGAATATTTGGCAGTGCAGAATTGTGACCGCCAGCTCCGGGGGGGGTTCTTTAACCTGCATCACGCAGTAGTGATTGCACAAACACACTGTTTTACGAGACTCATCCAGTTCGAAACGGCCAGGGGCAAGCAGGAGGTTGAGGCTCAGAAAAACCTTGAAGCGACCTGGCAAACTAGCTCGCCACCCCTTGCAATCTGGTAGTAATCCGATGCGGTGAAGTTTATAATTGTCCTGGAGGTTTATTTTCTGGGACGGAGGAATCGCCTCGCAAAAAGCGCAAAAGCCGACACAACTCGAGGTCGAGGAGTGTTCTACCATACAAGTGGCGTCGGAAGAGGAAAAACGGGGGGAAAGAGGGTAGCGGGGGGGGGGGGGGGGGGGGGGGGGGTTTCAGCCTCTTTCTCCCCCTTGCAGGTTTTTCGGACTGTTAAAGAAAACATTGCGGGGAAAGAGGGCGTGGTCGAGCTTATTTTAATCTGAAATTATTTATGCATATGTATAGCTAATGTCGCTCTTCACTGCATAAAAGGTTGCGTAGATGGTCATTGTTAGAAACTCGTTGTCAGAAGGCACTGCTCGTCACATGCTTAGTGGTTCGGAAGTTCAAAGCTGTCTTTTCGACCTAAACACCTGTGCCGATAGTAACAAAAAAAAAGAAAAGAATAAATGCGGGAATAAAAAGCAGGAGAAAAAACAACAACTATCAAGAATTCGTCGCAAGTGTTCTATTCTTGCATATTCAGAGGTTCAGAACTTCGAAACAAGTTTCTTTTACCAAAATGTGTACAGGCTAAAAGAAACACGTCCCAGGAACGTGAAGCGAAAAAAAAAAAAAGTTTTCTTTTAATGACGTGCTGAACTTGAACACTATTAGAAATCTTCTCCCATGAGTTAATTTATTCCTTAACGTGAAAAAACAATAAATATATTATTTTGTATTCTGCAGATGGCAATGATATGTACTGTTTGTGGTGTTAATTTAAATGCGATACCTCAAACAACTTAGACAAAAATAAATATCAAGTTTAGGTCATAATTGCATGCAGATACATGTTTGGACATTTCTTCGAAACTCACGTTGAATAACAATAATCACATCTTAAGACGGCACTTACCTAGGCTATACATAGATCATTCTTAAAAAAAGTATAACATATCTACCATAGATAGCTCCGGCTGCAGTGTGCTTCAAATCTGGCACAAACGATAATCGTCAAAAACCCGTCGTCCTTCCTCGCCCCTTCGGGATTTATTTCTTTAAAGCTAAGCATGCCAGAACATTGAAATAAACGACATTGTCTTTCGTAAGGAACGCAGCACCGCGTGTAAAAGTTCGAGAAAAAAAAAATTACGAATGTACCCCACTACTTGAAATCAAATGAAACCATCCGCCGGTCTCTCGAAGTTCGACGAACGTCAAACTTTTACCCTAAAAGTTCGAAGTTCGTCGAACTTCTGACTTTTTAGAATTCGAAAGTTCGAAACTTTTCGAATTCTCTTGATAAATAAGTTCGAAAGTTTGAAATTCATCGAATTTTTTGGTCAGTCAAGTTCGAAAGTTCGACAAGCATCGAACCTTGCAGCGCAATAAGTTCGAAAGTTCGAAAAAGATCGAATTTTTTAGCGTAATAAGTTCGACGATTCGAAAAGCGTCAAACTTCTTAGCTTAACAAGTTCGAAAATGCGACCTCTGTCGAATTTTACGATATAGACAATTCGAAAAATCGAAATCTTTCGAACCTTTCGAACCGCTTGATTCGATCATCGAAACTTCGATTCGAAAAAAGTTCGCGGCATCCCTAACCTTAAGTGTATATTTTCTGAAAAAATAGTAAGTTTGCAGGTGAGCTGGTGAAGGTTATCCATGATGAATTATACCTGAGCCTGTGGTAACAAAAGGGAACCATCAAACAGTTGAAGGGACAGAAAGAAAGGACAAGATGATGTCTCAAACTCAACTGCTGCATTTATTCAGCCCCACTCCCTGTTTACCTATAATGTGGCCCACATCCAACCACCGAACACAGAAAAAACGAACACAAAGAAAAAAAGAAACAAGTTCACAACTGTTAAAAAGAAAGCACAATATTGCGTTTTTTTATCACTTCAGACATTTCTCATTCTATTTTGAAAGGAGTTGCCAACTTCAAATTTTTATGCGGAGCGCAAGCTTGTTTGCTTCCTGCACAGGAAGCAAACAAACTTGTCGTCGGAACTCCGAGCTCTTAATGGCTGACTGAAAAGAAAAAAATGGGCTCAAGGCATCTAGCTTCGTGGTCTACCTAATGTCATTTCAATCAGAGCTCAGCACTGCTCTGACGTCACTGCAACTGCTTAGCAAGAAGCAGACGACTTGCTCTCCACATTGAACCCTAAACCTTGTACAACACGGTGCAAAGCTTGCCTCCTAGCCATGACACATAGAATTCTGAAAAGAACCAAGCTCTAACCAACCCTGGAACCGTGAAGCAACAACAAAGAACATCCTGCAGAAAAAAGTACCAACAGAAAAAGAAAAGGCTTTCTGGGCACTTCGGACACTTCTCATACTCCTTGAACGCTGAGTTTGAGACGTTGCCTTGTCCTTTGAGAAGGGTGGTTAAACTACATATATGTTGCAAATTTGTCAACTGCATATGGCAGCCTGTTTGGTACCAGCTTTATCAAGTCACCTTCAAATCAAGTTTTGTTTTTTTGTTTTTCCATGAAACTGAAATGAAGTGGTAAAGCAAAACATTTATGTAAGGTATATACACCATTCCATTGTTTACGAATCCCCAGCCCTGCATGTGCATGCTCATTGCTTTGGAAAGCAAGCAAAGCATGCAATGGCACCATACAACTAACACTGAAAATGGCACCGGACAGTTGCACATTATTGCATGATTGTGGATAATTTGGGGTTATTACCGGAACACAGACAGCTATTACCAGAACACAGACTGCAATTATTTTTTTCCTGCTGCTTCCAAATTCTTGCAAAAACGTGGTAAACCAAAAAAAAGAAAAAGAACTGGTTATGAAATGGGTGTTTATGAGGGGTGTTCAATTTTACAAATATGAATCGAATACAAATAGTTACCGTCGAATATCGAATCGAATAGTCAGGGGCAATTCCATTTATTCATAACTTTTTATTTTCACATATCTAAACACCAGATCTGTGTGGACAAGAATAAAAAAACATTTAGAGCTTGCGTCCCAAACCGTTAGCAGATCGAACTATACTTCGTTTCACCCTACGTCCGAGCGCAGCAGATGTTATGAGCCATCTGAGCCAATCCAAGACTGAGTGTCATGTGACCTTGGAGAGGGGGCACAGCGACGTGCGGAAAGCATATCACGAGCTACGACCACAGAACGCGATTGGCTAGGATAGCTCGTAGCTTCTGCTTCGTCCGGATGCAAGGTGTGAAACGGAGTATAGTGCTTTCGAATGCGTTCTCGAATATCCAGTTTGTTTAAAATATTTGTACCACTTAGAATGTTAGAAAAATACCGAAGAATGTTTACGAACCAAATGCGAATAATTAATTTATAAAATTATCTTCATATTCAGAATTTTTAATATTTGCCCTCCCCTAGCGTTTAGAAGAAAAGAATACCACATTTTTCTCGCCACAGAAATAAGCTACGTATCACGGAACATTCACTCTTCTTCCAAATGCAGTGCTAGCGGTTCGGGCTAGTTGGGACTAGATGGTTCCATAGCTTGCCGGTACCTAATTCAAAAGCTAAACACTTTTTGCAAATTTTCAGTGAGAAAATGGGGCCCTGTTTTTATGGGCTTTGTTGGCTGCAATTTTCCTAAATTTTTTCTTCTAAAAAATTGCATATAATTTTTTTGTTTAGTTAACATTGTTTTGAAACTTCGACGTCTGATCTCGGACGCTAACGCTACATTTGGGCAGAGACAGAGCGATTGGAGATTTATAGTTCATTTTTGCACTGAGAAAATTTATATTATTTTTTTCCCAAACACTCGGTGCATTGATTAAATTTACCAAAATTCACAGTCCTTTCTTGGCCACCGAGTCGGGCTGAACTCTAGAACGGTATTGCTGCGGGCGACTTAGCTGGAGCGAGAGGCGTGTTGGTGGCGCGGAAGCGTGACCTCGTCGTCCTCTTTTTTCCGAAAGACTCCATGCCAAGATGTAACTTCTCTCGCCATTTCCAAGGAGAGGAGAGCATGCGTGCAGATTCAAGTGGGTTCAATCCCCACCCCTGGCCGTTTCAATCTGGATGAGCATTGTGCCAGCGTGTGGTCGTGTATCACTACTGCATGGTGCACTTTAAAGACCCCAGGCTAGCAGTTGTACCGCACTGGCTAAATTGCCACGGCTGTGAGACAAGTCAACCGTTGAGGCAGACTAAGTTCAGGCTATATAAACATACACCAATTTTAAGCCAAATGCTGAAGCGGGTATACACGTTTGCAAGTACGGCCACGGGTGCCGCCATCTTGCTCAAGTGGGGTGCGCTTGGACATGCGTCCTAATCCGATTATGACGCCTTGCTGAGGCGGCGTAATCAGATTATGGTGCTCCCAAGCGCACCCCAACTGAGCAAGAGGGCGGCACCTCGAGGCCGTATTTGCAAACGTGCATAGACCGTTCCATTAGGGTCATAGCAGAGAGGGTAAAAGAGAAAAAAAATGCACTCCCCCTCTCCCCCGCAAGCCGTCCGGTCCGCCGAGTGGGCTGTAGCTAGCTTGCGGCTGGCGTGCAAACTCTGTTTAAAATCGCGTCATTTTGGAACTTTCAAGCGCAGATGCGCAGATTTTGGTATGCCAGTTGTCGTGTAATACTATGCTAGATAAAAAGACTCACAGGGTCCAATTGCACTGTTACCTGCGTGCAAATAAAAAACAAAAATAGGGAAAACTGTGTCAAATTGGCCGGTCTCTTTGGCGAAAAGAAAATCCGGTTGATGTACCTTTTTTACTATACAAAAGTTCGTAATGGTGCAGGCCTTTAGCGACCGTGAGTGGAAGTCTGAAATAATAAATAAAACGTGCTGTCCTGCCACAATACACGCAGTAGTTGAGGGTAGTACTGCCGGCTGACTCAACTGCTATTTAAGTAACGGAAAAAAGATATGCTAGTTTATCATTTAGCAAAATAGAACAACAGAGAGCTATAGGATCATTTTGGAGTAGCCACAACTATTCTAAGAATGCGAACCACTTCACAACGGCAGCCACGAGCGAGAGTTCGGTGTTCGGTAGAGCCCGCCGATACAGCCCAAAGATGGAGAACGGCAACCTCCCGGTTTGTCGTCTGCTAGCGGAGTCGGCGGCGTGCCCTCTCTCTCGTTTTACCCCGCCGAACCCGCTGAACTTCCCGGATGTGTGGAGAGGGCGCTGCGGTCGAACAAAATGGTGCTGCCCAGAGAGCGCTAAATGGAATGGTCTATACTTCGTTTCAGCTTAAATCCAGACGCAGCCGATGCTACAAGTGCGAGCTCCGGGCTTTCAGCGTCCCTGCCAAGCATGCGGGGTCGTGCTGTGTTCAGGGTGCTCGTGCCCTGTTCTAGGCGTTCAGAGCCACATACTCGCACTTGCAGTGGCGTAACCAGGAATTCTTTTCAAAGGGGGGCTGAGGTGGCTGGGATGTCCATGACTAGGGATGTAAAGAGGGGGAGGGGGGGTCAAAATTCATGTGTATATTATAGGGTCGATCGGATTTTGGGGAGGGCTTAAGCCCCATAAGCCTCCCCCCTGGCTATGTCTCTGCGCACCAGTAGCATTGGCTGCACCTTGGCTGAAACAAAGTAAAAGCACTTTACTACGGGTTGCAATCAGTTCATTGAACGTTTCATCGACATGCAATGTTTCATTGACAGATTGTTTCATCGACAAGTCGTTTCATCGACAGCTCAGATTAGTTGTTTTTCGTAGTAAGCTGCATGAGACTGTCGCCGCGAAGAGGTGTATGGATCGATCAGGTGAGCTAACATTTTTGTAATAAGCCGCTACAGACTGTCGCCTCGATGTGGCGTGAACGCAGGCGGAGGGGTGGGTTAACGCGCAACCCAGTGATACACGCGTGGCGAAATATTCCTACAGTGTGCAATTTGCGTCAGTGAAACAATCGTGTCGACAAAACGTGTGTCGGTAAAATGTGTCTTGATGCCAAAGTTATCCTCGAAACGTAAATTCATGAAATGAGTTTCGATGAAACGATAGGGACTCGTTTACTACGGTTGATTGAACGCCTTTTCATTGAAACACGTTTAAGAGAACTGGCACGTTTTATCGAAGCTCAGTTTAGATAAAGCGTGGCCTCACTTTAATGAAACGCTGTTTATCGAAAAGGAATGCTGTTTAAAAAAATGCTCCCCTACTTAGCACGTGTATCACTTAGGTGCGTATTAGCGCACCTGCCCCGCCGCGTTTACCCATCTGATCCGCAATCCGCCTCGCTCATTACAAAAATTTTAACCCATCTGATATATCTACATACGCTGCTTCACGGCGGCAGAATTCGCTAAAAGGAGACTCGTGGCCATTTTTTCTAAATTGGGTCGGTTAAACGGCGTTCGCTGAAACGAGCTTCTCTAAACCGCATGCCTTCGAAGTAAAAGCACCGTATGATATTACTAGTGGACAGGCATGGCAGGTCTGATAAAGCCACATCGTTCAATCTGATTACGAGGGAATTAAAAAAAAGCTACCTAACCGAAACCGTTTCCGCAAACGTAGATGTAATTTTCATTTCACTGTAGTTTCACTGTAGTATTTCCGCGCGTACACGTGCATTCCTTATGCGGTGACGATTATTAATATAAAAGTTAATGCAACCGCTATAAAAAAAAATAAAAAAATGCCGTTACATCTAACACCCACGCAACACCTGTGAACGCAGTTACGTCCGCTCCGCAGATTATGGACTGCATACCCTAGCTAGCGGTCTTCAAAGACGCTTTTTGCCCGACTCGAGAGGGAAAAGCCCGGCGAGGTAATCAGGGCGTCAACTTGGGGAAGTAAGCGGTGGACTCAAGACATCCTTGTTGAGAGTCAAAAAGCCGTCTCGCTAAAGAGCCCTCGTGACTCATTTGCCGAGCGGCAGAACTCCGTACTCCGTCCCTCCGCAACAGCGGCAAGGCCATCGACATCGTCAATGGCAACTTTCTGCTAAAGAGAGCGCTTGTTGTCCCCGCCTTGTTTACGGGACAAAACTTGTCGATACACCGATTTTTGCAAGCCGCGTTAGCCATTTTACGACGGCGGAAAAAGCGTCCTTCAGCATGTCGACGCTCCCGCTACCTAAGGCACTCACCCAACGGAGAACCAACAGCCTCGACCAAGAGAAAGAGAACTTTGAGAAGTCGCAAGTAGGTACTCTTTATTTTTTTTTAGCCTTCGCTTCGTCGTACGGAAACAGGAATGGACCCTTCTAATAATCTTCCTTAGCCTCCCCAGGCCTGAGCTCACGTAATTTGAGCTGCATCGAATACGTATCTCGAAAACCGGCGACACCGGTGATCGAGAAACAAAAAAGGGTCAACGGAATGAACGAAGTTAACAGACGAGTCCGCCGCCCACGAAGGAGCGGATGCGGCTACGTCAATCAACTTGTTTACGTTCGTTTCGAAACGTTTGTCCGACCACGGGCGATCTCGCGCTCGTGCGGCACGCACTTTGGTCGTCGGCCAGTTGCGCGTGGAATAGCAGTCGCGGAACCACGTCCTCGGGATCGCGCGCCGGAGTTTACGCTTGCGGTCTTGCGTCCGCTTCCGCCCGTGCCTTCACAAGAGAGAGCCAGCTGTTGAGTCCGTGAACTTATTTTGGGTCGTGTGTTAGGGTGAATAGCGCCTCCTTGTCTGGGAGAACCTTGGCCGCGTAGACTTGGGCGTGGGAGCTGCGCTGCTCCGGACTGCACGAGCGCAAAGACGCCCGTGTGTGCCTCTGTTGCGCGTGATTTTTTGGGGCTTCGTTGCATAAAAATAGCTGGATAGACGGAAAGAAAGATAAAGCAAAGCAACGATAGCGCATTATCTCGTGTTCCCCTTTTTCTGTGCTTCGTTGGCTCCGATCGTGGAGCGTTGCTGCGCATCGAAAAGGATTTGTGTGTTTGTGTCTTGGACTGAGGAAGGAAGCCAGATTTATTTGTCGGACTTCCGACTTGCTATTCTGGGCGCAAAGATGGAAAATGAATAAGCAACAACAACAACAAAAACATAATGGTGAAGGGATTATGACATTTGTGGTTATCTTTAGATAAGTGCCAGCAACTCTCGGAAACAACAGCACACTTGTTTGAGACACTGAATGTCTAAATTTTTATTCGAATGGTATCCAGGAAATGAGTTCAGCTCTACTAGTTAAAATATGCTGCCTGTCTGGTTATTCTGCCGAACGCGTTTAAATGTGGTAGCTTTATAGGGTGGGTGGTGCTCTTAGGGTGGCACCTAAGGCAGGGTGATCTTTAGTCTTCTAGTGCCTGGAGTGGGTGGTGCTTCGTGCCTACGGCAGGGTTTTACATACAAACAGATTACGGCACATCACTGTCTCTTTGCGACATTGCGCACATTTCCCTTCCGCACCACCTGGTTACAAAGTCTTTTAGCTGAATTTTCTGAGTCACCAAGAGAGAGAAAGTGCACTTTCCTGTTTTTTCCACCCCTCCTCGTTCCACATTCTCTTTCTACACCACCTTTTTCTGCACCTCTCTTTCTTGCTCTTTCCACCCCTCTCCTTCATGGCACCACTAGCACCACTGTATATGCTTTCGTAGGGAACAGAGTAACGCCAACCGCAGTGCCCCCTCTCAACGACTAGCGGCGAATGCCAAAAAGGTTCCAACTCTTGCATGGTGGACGTATCGGGTATAGAAGAAAGCGGGTGTTTTGTAATATCTGGGCTTTTCATTGTGTGAAAACTATTTTTAATATCATAGGTAAGCACTCTAAAAGCATTTGCAGCACTTGCTATGGTTTGAGCGAGCGACGAAGTCTTGTTTTGTGCCCAAATCACCTTACGGTAGCAGACAACGCAGCGAGTTTTGTGGAGAATAGGCGGCAGTTCTGCGGTTCTACCGCCAACCTTTCGAGGAGTTTCCCCAGTTTTCAAGGGAAACCGTGTCAGTACAAAGGCGGGTTTATTCGGAATGTCGAGGATCTTTTTTATTAGCGCGTTTTTTTACTCTTCATTTCTAATAGAATTGTTAGGTGCTGTCGAGCAGATTCGGTTATTGTTGAAGTGCAGGTGGTGTTGATAGCGCAACTTGTCAAAGCACCTTGCTTGCTACCGCTACCAGTATCTTAAAGTGTTCCTACGGTAGACTATAGTTCTTTTTTACTTGCAATCCAAAGTGAGAGGCTGGCAAAAATGTCATAACATCGTCGACACTGGTCATAACGTTAATTACAATCGTGTCCTCGCCGAATTTCGACGGGAGGGATTGTACAAAACTTCTTAGCGCTATTGAGTGCTGCTTGCTGCTTGGCGACATCTCTTGAACCAGTTCCATAGGCTCCTGAAAAGATATATATGTAACGTGCATCACACAGTAGTGATACACGAAAGCGTGCCAGTATGATGCTCATCCAGATCAAAACAAGAAGAGGTGCACGATTGAGCACGGGATTCCTGGCTTCTGCAGCGCGAACTTCCGTTCCATGTGCTCCAAGCTAAGACGCACTAATAAAGTCACAGATGCAGAATAAAACCAGCATATAGTCAATGCGTGACGAGCAATGCGGTATTGTATGTGCGCGTAAGAGACATGATACAGTAATCAGACGAGAGAATTTCACTGCGAGTTAGCGGCAAGACTGTACAGTAGCCATCGATTGACGGGCACATTTCAAATATTATGCATACAACATACCTTTTTTTCGGTTCGTTGTGAAAGAGGAGCTCTCTGCGGCGGCTTATTCGGCTTGTGGGCAAAGATAGAAGGCACGCAATCTCGTGATAGCTGACGTTTGCCGTCGTTCCGGCGCCCAGAAAACTGGTCCTCGGCAAAATGATCCTACGAACATCGCAGTTTGTGTTCATTCAGTTCTTCAAACTCTAGCATGAATTATCGCAATAATATAACTTAGGTACCTCGCACAGCCGAGTACAAGAAGTGGGAGTGAATCCCTTTCTGCCTATCCGCGTCAGCCACAAAAGTCGTCGTTTGCAATTTCTCTTGCCATCCGGGATACGAAACAGCTGTTTGCCAGCCTCATGCCAGTTACTGCACTCAAAAGCGCAGCACCCAGGCATCTGGGTCCCTTTCAGCCGCTCAAAATGCTGCTGCTGCTGCAAAAAAAAAAAAAAAACGACTGCCTATACAACAACAATGCTCCCGCTGCGAAGACTGGAACCAACCTTTTGCGAAACTGCGGTAAAAGTTGGCCCACATGATCGCCGTGAGCCAATAGGGAGCGCGGAGTGTCGGCAGACTCGAACATCAATCAATGTCGCTACTGTGACTCCCTACAGGAGCCATATACAGTGGTGCTAGGCACCACCTGCTTCTGCTCCTCCTGTTTCTGCATGCTAGGTCCATAGCACAGTCAGTGGCGCACTCGGCTTCCATGTCGGTAACCGGGGTTTAATCCCTGGCACCCCATTTTTTAATCAAGATCATTTAGTGGTTATAGACTGATCGTCTTACACATTTTGTGCTCACGCAACTCCTGAGGTTGGTTGACCCTATAAAGCTATCGTTTTAATAGAGGTAGCCAGGTGCAAACTTACCAATAGGCAGAGTAGGCAGCTGCCTAGGGTGGCAAAATTTTGCGGGTGGCCAATTTGTGGCCGCCCTCAAATGAATTGGCGCTTGTTTTTAAGTGTAGCTCTGAATTTTGCTACTTTGGGAATTCTAGCTCCCAATCTAGCTACTTTTGACAATTTTTCCCCCGCTCCCAATGGTCTGAAAGTTGGGGGGGGGGGGGGGGGGGGGGGTGGCGGTGGCGGTGGCAGTGTGGCAAATTGCCAAGTTCACTAGTTGTGATACCTGTAGCTATCCATATAGTTAAAAATAGTTAAGGCATTCCAGTGTGCGGTACATATGTCTAAACTTTTTACTATTGAGGTCCACATAGCAAACTAATAATAATAAAGCATAATGACGACATTTAAATTATGAAAGAACGGAAATCATATATTATAATAGTGTGTTCTGCAGGGGCACAGTAACACGTGTTATGTTAATTCGTGTTAATCAATAAACCTTGTTTGTTTATGCATCTCAATCCTCTTGCTGGGATGGCAGTATCGGTCGGTTGTTTACTTCTTCCTCGACATACCAGCATTAAAAGTAAAGTGATTATGCGTGTGACAAGAACAGGAGTCTATGAGTCTGTCTAGATTATTGCTAATTAGTAATTATATAGCTCATTCACAGCACTGCCAGTGTGACTTTGTAGGCTAAATGTCAAAGTCAACTCTCATAGCTTCGAGAACGCACTTAAAGTTGAAGAAGAGCTATGTGTTTTCTTAATTTTCTGTATGAATTAAGCAGGGTCTCTACCGTATGAGTAAACTTGGAATTGTCAGGAACGGCGAGTCTGGAAAAGCCAGGGAATTTCCCCCGTTATCAGCATCAGTCCAGGAAATTGAGCTTTCCTTTCTCTGGGCGACAGACAGCACAGAACAGTGTGTGTTTTGTGACACAGATTGGGGGCAGCTCACCCTGCATGCCAATGCAAATCTCAGCTTGGAAATCTGAGTCTTGGGGAAGCCCGTATAATCAACCCGAACACTGTTACTGACTTTATTTTTCAGAGAACCTAATTTTCGTTGCTTGAAAAGTATGGTGAAAAATTTATCACGCGAATGTATTAGCGCATGGTAACGAATACATACATGGCTTGCACATGACGTCAGCCCGTGCGCCCCTTTTTCTGGTGGCCAGATGCGTCCCATTAAAGGGATACTTCAACGAAATTTGAAATATTCCAGTCGTGTTCAAAAATAGGTTGAATATGATCCACAATATCCGTAAATGACAATCGCACGTTTGTATTTTGAGCCTGGTGGCTGTATTTTTCATTATAAACGGCCCGCTCTGGCAAGCGCTCGGAGAAGGCCCAGCGGAGACCACGTGACATCCAACGCAATTGTGACGTAGGTTGTCTCAGGACGAGCAAAGCTACGGCGAGGCTGACGTCGAGAGGATGGCCTAGTCGTTCCAGCCACCGAAGCGGCTGCTTTTATACGAATTTTGAGTGACGGGTTAATCTTCTGTAATCTTGTAGGGGGACAATAGCGACTTCTGCGACACACAAAAGGCATTCTCGGGAAGAGGGGAGTTCCTCCTGCCCCTCTTCTCTCGTTGTGGCCGGAGGCGAGACAACCTCCGTCACTAGCTGTCAAGGTTCCTAGACGGGCATTACAAGCGAGGCGTTAGCGACATCCACCAGGTGCTCTTTGCTAATCGTTTAATTCGTTTTAAAATTCCTTTTCGTGACTTTTTTAACAAAATATTGGTATGTTCGATGTCATGTTGTTCCTCCGAACACATATAGACGAAAAAATGAGCGCCGAAATTTCGTTGTAGTATCCCTTTAAAGCAGCAAAAGCTACGCTCTCACACGCCCTTTCACCCATTATGTCTGACCAAGTGACGTCGGTGCAAGCTAAATATAGCGTATTACTCTAAATCCCCAAATTTCGTGTCCACAAATAATTCCCAATACTTACACTTGGGAAAATTTGCGCGATATTGAGCCCTCAAAAATAAAGTCAAAGTGCCTCTTCTTGGAACTTGTGCTCCTGGACAAAAGAGTACCTTTGCCAAATAGCTTGACAGCACGAGTGCTTGTCCTTTGAGCTTCCCCGCTTGGTCCTAAATGAACTGTCTCTCCGGGGCTGACCACGTGGCGTTTGAATTCATTTCTGCCGCTCGGGTAAGAGCATCTCGAAGTTTGAACTGGGGAAACCTTGGAAGCTTAGGCACCTTGGCGGTGTGCACTGAGACGAACAAGACACGCAGGGAAGCACAACACAGCGGCGATGGTGGCGATTTGATCCCAGCAACCTTCAGTCGTACCAGCGTTTTTTTTTTTGTAAAAAGTGCGCTTCAGACACTTCCTGTCCTTTTAGGAGTTGGTCGGGGAATTTCAGTAAAATAGTCGGGGAAAACCTAGAAAAGTCGGGGAGCTTGAAAAAATAATTTTGTTAGACGCCTCGATTAAGCAAATCATCTGATGTTGTTGGCAGATCGTCATCTTCATTGGCCTAGTTTATACGCTGCACAGTTCTTAAAAAATTTTTCATCTGCCGTATTTTCTGGGGGGGATCGTAATATTCTGGGAGATAGCCCACCTAAAATCAAGAGCAAATCGGGCATTTTCGATGTTCAATCGAGAAAAGTTGAAAAAATGCTATTTTTAGGTCATGTGTCCCTGGCAAGTTTGTTATTGCGGCGAGGGGCAATGAAGCGAAGATAAAATGACTATTTCCCAGTCAGTAATGCTCGGTTATATCACGCCATAGCTAACTAGCCACATTTGCGCTGAGGTCATCATAAATCCAAACACTATGATTACTAAAAGTAAGCCATCTTTCGGTGTTTAAAAAAAATATATATATAGCAAATTGAATTAAAAATAGGGGTGGGTTATCTTTCGGAGGTGGGTCATCTCTCGCGATATCATGCTAGGTTGCTGTCTCCTTCGCAAATTTTCGTTGGTGCGTCTTATATCTGTGTGACCTTTTTTATAAGTATGGGCTTTAACCGCGCCAATTTGCTGCGAGGGTTACATTTCTCGTTCGATTCGTTGGCGAGACTATTGAAACTGGCTCCCACTTGTATGTAGTATATCGCAGTCACAATCCACACGTCCGGACTTACGGATGCGCTCTTGCCGCTCGGACCGCATAAAGATGAGCGGCACTGTACAAAGGTGCGATTTATATAACAAATTTTTCATGAAAAGAGCCGTTTAGGGGGGGGGGGGGGGGGGGGGCGATTATAAAAATGTGCTTATCTTTTTAACAAAAAGCCCTGCTAGAGAAAAGGTAGTGGAAATCATTGAAATCAAATCTTCTGTTCCGAGAATTCAGGTGGGGGTATGGCGCAGCATATTTTGTTGCTCTTGGTGCAGCAACAGCGAGTAGCAGGTACATCGACCGCACGTTTCCCTCCTCCCTCACTGCTGTGTGCAGTGCAGCTGGTACAGTCAGTCAGAACATGCTCAGCATCGGCTGGCGTACCTACGGTATCTGTCGCCAGCATAAAAGTGAAGTTAAAATTCTCCTTTGACTTTATCCTGCTTTTCTCCTTCCCTAGGCTATCAGCATCAGCAAGGCCGTCAATTCCCAAGAATGTCCTGTGAAGGAGAAGCATGTCAGGAGTATCCTAAGCATGGCTTATGCTGACGTGCTGCGACAACATCTTTCGCATTATGGATCAGGCTTTGGTCCTTCTTTTGTACCTCATTGTTTCGCTGCTTGCATTTGCCGGGACTGTGCCAAACTCCTCCGACCCTGCCTTTTGTTTTGAGCAAAGTTGGAATCAGGCTTCCAAGCTTCGCAGGGCTGCACAAGTCAGTTTTCTTGCTCAACGATGTTGGGAGCACTAGAAGCAGCGAACAGTAAACATTGTTGCAATTTTTACCTTAATCGCGGTGAATATAATGGGACTGGTTTGTGAGGCACAGCAGCTCAGTCAAGCATTTTTGCATTGACCTTGAAACTTTCGCTTCAGTGTCCAATAATTTTAGTGTTCTTGCACGCCGCTGTGTGACCTGACGGGGAGTCTTATCGCATGCTTTCGACCTATATGTGGTGAGATAGCATGGAAGCCAGGTTTCTTGAGAGGTGCTTATTTTATGTTGCACAATATTTATTTATTTGTTTATTTTGCTTAACCTTCAAGGCACCTGTCAGCGAGGGTATTGCAGAAGGTATAGCAGTCATAATAGGAAATACAGAAAAAAAGCGAAAACAGTGTAAGCAAAACTTAATAGTCACGTCTCATTCATATGAACACCTCCGTTCCCACCAGAATTAATTTATAATGTTAGTTGTCTATAATAACGAGATAAAAATGCATGTATTTGCCCAATTTGTTCCCGAAAATTGTTAAAAAATGGGGGTGCCTGTATTAAAGGGGTCTATATTAACAAAGCACGACCGTCCACAGAAGACATACAGTAGTAAATTCAGACAAAACTAAAAAAAGCAAACATTAAAATACAGCAGACTACACATAGCTATGCGGCAGCTGGGAGTGTTGCTTCGCGTAACTGCAGTTTGAAATAAAGTGAATATTAGAGAGAAACTGTTAGGGATGTCATTCCAGGGTTTGGCTACTCCAAGAGAAAAAACAAACTCTACGAGGTCGCCGTTTTAGTTTCAGTGCATGTCACAATTAACGAATGGCCCACATAATATGGAAACGTGTGCAGACGGTGTGATATACGCTGAAGTTGACTAAAAATCATAGTGAGATTTATAAAAATGTGATAGAGTAAAAAGAGTTTCGACAGATAAATAGATCATCTAGACAAGCACATCTGTTTTTGCAGGTGACACCTGTTTCATACGAGTAACTTTTCCTCTATTGTTCTTTTTTCCGGGAGGACATCCGGAGGGGAGATGGAGGCAAAAGGCCACAGAGCCTGTCAAGGCCTCCGCCCCGTAGTGTATTGTGAACAAATATTCCGGACGGCGTGATTTTTAACCGACTCTAGCTGAGAACTAGGGTTGTGCATTTTCGGTAAACACCGGCAAGCGGCGTAGTTAACCCCCAAGCCAGTGTTATCAAAACTGGAGAAAAGCGAAAAGAACTCAACGGAATGGAAGCTGTCTCAGTAAGAAAACCCACGCTTCGCGGGAAGAAAATCTTGATCTACAGTTTTGCTTTGTGTTAATGCGGAACAGAGCCCACACTGAACTGTCTGCAAGGCGGCTTCTTTCTTTGTGACCACCTCTCTAATCTTGTTTTTTTATTTCCCATTGTACTTGGACGTTTCCCAAGTATTTTGATTTGAATTGATGTCAAACAAAAAAAAAAAAAAAAAGAAATGGAGAGTTTGGGGGGGAAAATAAACCCAGAAAAAACGCCCCTAATTTCGAAAAGTAATAAACCCCAAAAATATGAAACCCTAGCGATAACGAAAATAACTTTGGTACGGATTCCCTATGACAGTGGCTTTGGGCGAATCGGCGTATTGTGTGTGGGCAGTAGGTTTTAAGTGTGATGGCGCAAATTTAAGATGAGAGTATTACTTCCAAGGTGGATGATAGAGCATCAAACGCACGTGGTGGCATTTGAGTGGGCTTCCTTAACCGTTGGGTGTTCAGGCACCATCATTGGCACCTTCCACGAGAAGGGGGCACACACCTTCTGGAGCATTGTGCTGAAGCTGCCTCTCCAGGAGAATCCTATCGTGTGCTGGAAATTCTGTCACGTGGTTCACAAGCTTCTCAGGGAAGGATACCATAGGGTAAGGGTGGAGCTTTCTTTAGGCGGCACTTTTAGACGTGTGCCACAGTTGGTGAAATTTTGCATCGGGCATTCTGCTGCTCATTACCGTATGTGTGATGCACATTTATGTTTTGTTCTCGAAAAGTCATTCATTTCAGTTTCTTCTCGTCCTCAGCATACCGTAAAATACCGAGCAAGTGCCCACTCAAAATTTGAAGATAATTGGGGGAAAAAAAAAGGGATGGGCACATGTGAGGTCATCGATTTTACATATATATGTACTGTGCATATATTTTCAGATGTTTCAAATTCTGGGGGTGGGCACTTAGAGTGGAATGGGTGGATGCATGGTATTCTATGGTACTTGAAAATGCTATAGCACAAAGTACTTGAGTTTACATCCACAGATTTTTATTAAAAAAAAAGATGAGAGTTACACGGGTGCCATCTTCACTGTCTATTTATCAGGCTAGGCGGACGTTCGATAAGGGAATGATCATCATGATAAGTTGAATAATTAACTAGCCAATAATTAAAAAGTTAATTAATTTTTTAATTATTGGCTTTATAGGTCATGCTGCTTTTGTAGTATTGATGGCAGTTACCATTAGAGCTTGGACTATTTTGAAGAATTTGCTTAAAAAGCAACTCCGGCCAATATTTTTGAATTATTTCAACTGTTTTCAGCTAAAGTAGTGTCCCTAAATTACGAGGTATAATTCTTTTTTTCAATATTGTGTGTAGTTTTATGAATATCTCGGTTCAATACAGGGAGTGGCGTTTTCTAGTTTTTTCTGAATTTTTCCGTGTTATAGAAAAGTAACTGAAAAGTAACGTCGTTACTTTTTAAAAGTAACTAACTGTAACGAGTTACTCTTTTGTTGCGGTAACTGTAACAGTAACTTCGCTACTTTTTTTTATCAAAGTAATTGTAACTGTAACAAAGTACTTTTTAAAAGTAACTTACCCAAGACTGGTTTTAAGATGGTAATCAATCAGTTTTCATATTTTTTCGCCCGATTTCAATATATTGTGTGCAAAAAGCGTCTCGCCGCGATCTCTGCCCTTAATCATGCTTAAAAGAGTGACATGTTGTTTCAGTCATGTTGTCGCTATCGACAGCGCGCCCTTTGTGGATGTGCAGAGGATACACTGGAGATATACTGTTGATGTGACTAAGACGACTGCGTCACTCTCCTAAGGATTATTGTGGACGGGGCTTGCGGCACTCTTTTCTCGCGCAATATTGAAATCAGGGGGAAATAACATAAAAAAAGTATTTTTCGCCCGCAAGGTGAGAAGAAACGAAAACGATAGCTATAGCACGGTTGCGCAATGCGGGTGGAATGGTGCCGTCACATACCTGAGGACGGAAGTGTGACGTGGTTAATTGTCATAGCTGTTGTGATTGGCATCGTGGATGCGACTGATGACCCCACCACCAGTGACAATAATAATAAGAATAGTTTATTTCCATTACATGTAATGGTGGAGCCAAGAAAAAAATTTGCATTGCGCGGCTTGACTTGAAATGGTAAAGCGTGGCAGAAGTTTCTAAAACCATTCAATGTTACGTGTATCAACTGGATACTGCCAAAGTGGGATTTTGAATAACGTGAGTAATGTTTAAAAACAAGTCTTTCAAGCAGACGACAGTAAGACTCCCCCTTCGTCGTGTCGTTACTGGTGGGATGCCGGAGCTCCTTTCTCTCTCCCTGCATCGTGGCCGACTGGAAAACCCGGCTTCCTCCCTTCGTACCAAGAAGGGAGAGAAGGCTTTTTCCTTCCCTCTCCTCACGCCAAGAGGGGAGAGTGGAAGGGTTTTTCCATAGCGACAACGACAGCCCACGAGCTTGAAATCTACAAAATGTTGCCCGTATAGCTATCGCTTTAAAATTGATAGATGACTATAGAGAAAACTATTACCTTTTTGTAAATTCTTTAAATTGGTCTCGTTTCTAGTAGTAATTTCTGCCAATACTGCCCATTGCAACATACCTCATAAAACCATCAATTGAAAAGTTACTCAGCAGATTTTAGTTGATTAGCCAACTTACGGTGACGGTTATTCTCCCATATAGTGTTTGAGTCTGAAAAGCAGATGGAGAAGATGGCACCCATGTGACTCGCATCTTTGCTTATAAAAGTCTGTTTGAATTAAAATCAAACACCCCATATCTTGCTTGTAAATGAAAACTATGCATACAGCATCAGTTGCATATCTGAAATAAGCTGGGGCTTATCATGTGTAGCTATAGGTAATATAAGTTTAAGGATGTTAGGTCTGTTCCACTAATGAAAGCTTTCTGATGTCTTGTAACATATTGTTTTTAATATTTAATGTTTAACTCAAACGACAGGATTTGCAGAAATTTGTGTGCTTGACATAAGGGAGTCTTAAAAGTTAAGTTACCATTTAGTTCATAAAGGAGCCTGGAGACTACTACTTAACCGCACGTTTACAAATTGAAAGTGTGTGCGGCATGACTTAAGCACACTAGTGTAACGATTTTCTGTGCCTTTCATTTTTTTCTGTTGTCCTTTCAAAACTTGGGAGGGGGAAGCAAAAAAATTATTTCATAGCCTTTTTGTGTAAGCTGGAAAGTCAGTTCAGGTGTTTCGCTTGGTGTTGCATCACTTATGAAGAGGGTTAAAGTTGTGGCAGAGAAGGCTCACAGGACCCCTGACAGGAGCATTAGGCCATTGGCACCGTTGTCCACATATAATTCCTATAATCGGGGAACGTTTCACTCTTCCTTGTAGAGCCTGCCTTTTTCTGCATGTCGGCCTTTTCTTTCGTGATCTTCTCGATTCTAATTGACTTGCCGATTTTCACAGGTGATCCCAGACTCTCTTCGTTACCGCCAGACCTTCCTGGAGTTTGGCAAACTCTGGGTGAGTCAAATGCCACCACCCGATATCAACACGTTTTGTTATTGGTCACAACGTTCGGCCTTCATGCATGCTGCAGCGTAGAGCGGAGCTATCTTGCCTTGGAGCACAGGGTAAATTTGCCAAGTAAAAGTGGCTTAAAAGACTAAAAGCTTTTACTCGTTACCTTTGCTCTGTGCTGTATTGATACGTTCTAACCCTTTTCCAGCTGTCGTTTGAACATATGAAAGTTGTCTTACGATTTTTAGGAGATAATGGATCGACAAATGTGCATATGGCATTCACATTCTTTAATTTAGCATTTGGAACAAATAGATGTGACTCCTTGGGTACCATGTTCTTAACCCATTGCTTGGGCCATATAACCTTAAAAAAATTAGGAACAGGTGTGAAGGTTTGTACAATTTGTGACTGTCGCATCACATTGTAACATTCCATTACGGTGCTGCGTATCAACTGTTCACACCTCGTGTAAGGTACTTAATAACATTCGAGCATCTGTGGAGTTACAGTGAACCAAAATAGTTATTTCATTTAGTTGTAAGCTATGCCAGCTTTTAAATTGTATGGGTGGCCACTGCTTGTCCAGGAATGTTGTATTGTTTCCCCTTTTGTTGTTTATTTTTGTATAATGTTCTATATGTACGGATATGTGTTTCTTTGTATTGTACCCCCCTCTCTTCCTATGTAATGCCCCTCGGGGTTTTTAAGGGTAAATAAATAAATGAATGAATGAATATTGTTTCAGGGTCTGCTGAAAGAAGGCTACGGAAAGCTGATTCAATGTTACTGCCGTCTTATTGTCGCCAAACTCAATTTTCACTATAGGGTGAGTGTCCCTAACCTTTTGGTTTTTACTTTATTCTTTCTTTGTTGCAAATTTTAAGTTTGTTGTTCATTTAGCAGGAGTTGACAAAGCTCGAGTGTCATCTTTGGAGAAGTACCAGTTAAAACACCGGCACCTCTTTTGTGCGCTCGCTTCATTCCTCGTCTCATTCCTTTATTCATTCTTTATACTCTGACCGCCTTCGGCGATTTCTTCAGTTAATTTAGTCGCATCTAATTTCGTGAGTTTTGATTTCTCTCCTAACTCTCTTTTCATTACACATTCACATATTACAACAAGTGTGGAATTTGGATGGGGGGGGGGGGGGGGGGGCAAAAAAGAAACAGCTTAACTAACGGAGGCAACCATATACGTTGTTCACAAACAAGTTCAATGAGCGTTTTAATTTGTTTACGGTCGAGGGCATCTTTTGCCGGTGTTGAGTCTGGTGCGTCTGACATAACATGGTTTGCCGTAACGGCGTTTCTCCAGAACCCCAAGTTTCCCGGCAACCTGGTTGTCTCGGACGACGCCTTGGACGACATTGGGGAGGGCGACGTGAACGTCTTGTAAGTACTTGTTGACCCGCCGACTCCTTTGTTTTGTGTTGTTTGATTATTTTGTTTGGTGGCTATCACCTCAATGCATGTCATTTCAAACGCTGTGTGACCAATATTTTACGATTGTGATTTTTTTTTGTTCTTTTGTTGGGCATTTGCAGTTGGAAAATAGGGCACACCAAAGAAAACTGAGGTTGATGAATGAAAATTTAGCTGAGAAATGTGTTGGTAAAAAAATTAATACAAATGAGGAGCATTTTTTTTTTAGTGAGCCAAATTTATGTGAAGCGAAACTGAGATAAACAGGAATGCGTGCTTATCGAACTGACTATCTTTGAGCCCTGTACATCGGCCACCTTTACGTTGATTTTTCTTTTATGATACGACTGCTTTCAGATGAATACCCCTTGGAAATGATGGGCTCCTAGATATACTCCGAATCAATTTCTGCAAAAAAACTCATAAAATTTTTTTTCCTTTAAATACATTATTGGTAGTCATTCTTAAGATTCTTTTTTTGAAACCTGATGAACTACGGTGGGGAATCTGTTTAGTTTACTTTAAAATTATTCAGAAACCAAGAGTTCAAAAACATTGCAAAACAATTTGACTGCACGGTAGAATACAACGCAAAATAAATTATTTGGCCTCGCAGTACAAAACAAGTTAAGTTGCTGAGTACCTTAGGAACATAACTTTGGTGTTTCTGGTGAACAGATTCATTTTGCAGTTTTAATTCCTTTCAGCAGACTCTTTTCACTGTGCTTTTTCAAACTGTTTAGTGTCCAAGTATTTTGTTTTAGAAACATACACAAATAAAAACACTACATTTTGTCATGCTTTACTCATTTTAGTGCCTTTGTGCACGTTGTGAGAGTGTCAGCGATTTTATTTTTCTTTGCTCGTTTATTTCCAGTTTCCAAGTAACATGTGAAATGTTCGACTACATGGACGAGATCTTGGCACTTCAGCAGGCAGGTTCGTCGCTGATTCTTTCTTTGGCCCTCGCTTCCGTTCGCATATGGGGTCCCCCCGTGGTGCTTTCAGCTTGACATTTATACTTGACATTTTTTTAGATCTTCCTGTATAATTGAATCATTCAGACATTGGATTATAAACTGGGAAAACACACATCCCGAAAGTATGAAATTACAGCTTTGTTCTCCCGTTGCTACTTCACAGTTCTCCTTGGTTCCTGGAAACTTCAGCCATAACAATCACTGCTAAAAAAATCGTAGGAGAGTTTGTTGTCACATCAGGTTCATTCAAGCAGGAATTTTAGCTTTAGGGCCCTGGTACAGCTTCAGTTTTTTTTTTTATTTGGCAAGATGGAAGAGTATTGCTTTGTGCGCTTTCCGCTTGAAGGATGTACAAGAGTGGCAAAATATACCGCAAGGGAGTGCTAAACTCCCCAAAACATTTTTTTTAAAGTGTCACTTATGTCATAAATACACCCCCCCAAAAAAAAAAAAAAAAAAAAAAAAGTTTATTTTTTTTTATTTTTGTGATGAAGTAAGACCAGCGGAGCTGTACTCCATACACTGTGTGCTTCTTCTTCGTCGTCGTCTGTTTTTCGCGCTGTTTCAAACAATGAATTTTCACCAAAGCGCCCAACTATCCATTCTTCTATTATAGCTGGAAAGGTTGCCGCCATCTACGAGCGACGGCGGAAACCATACTGGTTGTGTGCTTGCTGCCGTCGCTTATAGATGGCGTTAGCTGTTCAGGTAGGTTTGTGTCGACATACCGTACACGATCCTGAGGGACCTAGCCCTTAACAGCTCCGCCGTAAAAAAAAAGAAAAAGCTTAGTTAATATTTACATTATGAGATGCTTCTTGAGATATATTAATGTCTCAGAACCGCTCTTAAACCAACACGCGGCGCTGACTCCGTGCCGCCGCGGTGGAGCTGCTGTTGGCAGGGCGCACGCGCAGACACTCCATTTAGCGGGAATCTGGTTTCTTCCCCGCGCGCAGTACCCACACTTCATGCCGAAACTGCGTATTTGCCCACATCTCATGAGGGCTTGTTTGTAAACAGTGCGTTGACCTATACTTAAAATGAGTCTTGCAACACACAATTTTGCACAAACTTTTTTGATTTTTTCTTGGGAAGGGAGGGAGGGGCACTTCATTATGTGTCATACGCGTCGTATCAATGCACTCAAAAGCATATTCTTTGGGAGTTCAGTGTCACCCTGCTAGAGCGTCCCTTCCTCAATTGCCATAAGTGCCCGTCGAAAAGGTGTGGGCTGTCGTGGTGCAGTGTTTGGCTCCCTGGACATGGCCCGGTCCAACTCGATGACCAACTCGGGCCAATGCCGCCTGGCTCCCCTCATCCCCTGCATCCAGGACTCGAGCCAGCTGTACGACTACATCGTCAAGGTGCTCTTCAAGCTGCACGCAGGTCCGTCCCGCGGACGCCTTCGTCGCTTTCCGGCGCACTGCCGGACCTACCGTATTTTCCGCACGACAGTGTATAGTCCACAAAAGCTGTACATAGTCTGCAGGGCTTAAAATTGCAATTGTTAAACGCGTGTAGTCCGGGAAATGTGGGTACCATGCGTTGGTACGGTGCCTGCCTGAGACACGTCTTCGACTGGTGCATTTGCCATCCTATCCTGCCCATTTTATTTATTTATTTGTACATAATGTGGCCTCAATTGAGGCCATTGCAGGAAGGGAAAATTGCGGTTAAAGTAAATAAATATTGAACAACAAACAAAAACAGGGTGTCTAGTGATCGGGAAAAGCGGGAATTGTCAGGGAAATTTTAATTATCGGGAAAAATCGGGGAATTATCAGGGATATTGTCAAAAAGTGAGTGCAGTCAGGGAAAATGAGCCGGAAATGCCAAAGAGTGCCCTGAGCAAAGACTTGAGAACTTGGGGGCAGAAGAACAGGCAATAACTTGGAGGGCGGGCTCTGCTAACCCGGTGTAGAGTGCGCTACCCGACGGAAAGGGAACAGCTGACAAGTCCAGTCCAAGCCTTGGATTCGATTGAGGGCGCGACATTAGGCTAGATCCAGTTAGAGCTACTAGATTTATTAAAGAGCAACTCCGTTCGATTCCAAAAAATTTAGGCTTACATGTGATTCCATTTCACAAAGCACTACTAAACAGCTCTACGTCCTCGGATTCGCGAAATGTCGAATATTATTTGTGTAATCGTAATTTAAACATCAGCTGATACCGAAACCAAAACTTCGGTTGCGTCAGGCAACATTGGTTTCGTGCCGTCAGAGTCATTGCCACGTCACGTCGAACCATGATGTCTTGTGACGTTTGTGGGGGCGAGGGACAGGGCACGCGACGCGGGCAGGTCGCTTCACATGGCGTGGACGGTGATGGCCCGGGGGAGAAGGGGAGGGGGAGAAGACGAAAGAGGAGAGGGGGAGCTGAGAAACAGACAGATAAGCGCCCAGGGCAGCGCAAACTAGCGCATCCGCGTTACGGTGATCACGTGGGCGCCGTTCAGCCAACAGCGGGAGGAGAAGCTCATGACGTCATCGTTCAATTTTGCTCTGAGAAGTAAAAACAAACAAAACGTGAGAATGACGTAGTCATGCCTCTGACGTAGTGGCTCAATGTTGGCCGCTCCAACTTCGTCGCATTGACTTCGCTGGCGATTGCACCTCACGTCGCACGCTGGAGTTGGCAGATTTCGGCGACTTGGCTGATTTGAAAGTTTGCTGGCCAGTTTATTAAATATATAGACGGAATTAGATTGTAATATTTGACATGGGGTCTTTTTATATGATACTGAAGAGAGGGCTACGTAGTTTTCTATATATCAAAACTTAAGCGGAGTTGCCCTTTAACAGATAGGAAAGCCGCAGACCCCAATTCAATCCAAGCCTTAAGCCGAAAGTATCCGAAAGTGTCCATCTGGCGGCCATGCTGTCATTCGGTTATTGACATGTGTGGTTGAGCGACGTGTTTTCATAGTGTTTCCGGAAGTGGCCTCTTCACTGGCGATGTTGGCGTCGAGAAAATGCTTGTTTAATCCGGACTGGACGAACCCAAATATTTCAGAATACGCAAGTTGGATTAAGCCCATGCAAAATGATCCTCACAGTGCTCAGTGCTCAATGCCTTGTGTTGTAATGGTCGTATATATTTAACCGCCTCTGCTGTGGTCAGGGAATTCTACTTGAAATTGTCAGGGAAAACCTGGAAAAGTCAGGGAATTTCGAAATAAGAATTTGCTAGACACTATGAAAAACAGAGCACTAGAAATGTTGAATTAACAATCACCCAGCAAGGCAGGGTAAGTTTCCCTATTTCTGAAGTAAAGTCATCGCAGGGAAGAATGCGTGTAGATCTGTCAACACTGTTTTATAACTCGATAGCACGAGCAAAAAGGTAATTTTTAAAACAATGATTCGAGATTGGAATGAAATAATAGAAATGGAACAATGTTCAAAGGATGAGACTGTCTGGTGTCAGTGACATCTGTGAAATAAATGTAGCTCGTGCGCTGGATGCCACAATCCCCATTAAAAACTTTATTAAATATTTTCAGCCGCTCAACAGTCTGCCTAAAAGAGAGATTCAATTCCCAACACCGTCGTAGCAGACGATGGTGATAAATGTCGATCGTACCTATTGTAAATAAACCTATCGGCCTTAGCCTAGAAGAATCGAGAAGATTAATGTCCTTTTTGAGATATGGGTCCCAGACAATGGACTCGTACTCCAAAAGAGTGGAACGTGATAGAGTTATCGGGCCTCGCTCGCATCGCCTTCCCATTCCCCTTGCAAGCGTGCCTTGCGTAACCTAGTCAGTAGCGTGTCTGGCTTGCAACCGAAGGGTCATGATTTTGAATCGTGCCTAAAATTCTTCAAATTTTTTCTTTGAGGCAAATGAATTACTTTATAAAGTGAAATCATTTGAGACATGTGGCGACCTTTAATTTGCATTACGTGTCATGTTTTAATCACTCTCATTCCACGTGGGACGTCACTTTGATGCGAGTTTTGTGGGATGTTTGAAATTCCCGCGCGAGGTCATGTGGCTGTGATGTGACCCTATCGACCAATTAGGATAATCCCGTCACGCCACCGACGCCGGCTTTTCTGGGACACCAGCTCCTTATTCACTATCCCATTAAAATTGTCCAAACAAGAGTTTTAAAGGTGGTTAATTGACCTCTTTAGGGGAGCATTTTAATGTATGTTTGAAATACTCTAGCTTCCTAAGGGCACAAAAACAAATGAGGTTAATGTGCTTGTCTCATTTAAGACTAGGCATAAAAACAATACCTAAGTATTTGAATTCATGAATATAATTTAAAACTATTATCAATGTCATAGCCAAACACCAAAGGTTACTTTTATTTGTTCTGACTTGTCAATGTTTACCATTTCCATCTGCCATTTTTTGCTCCAAGTAACGAAGCGCACAACGGATTAAGTAGCCATTGATCATTTTAAGAAATAACATCATTGTGCAGAACGCAATCGTTCGCAATCGTCAGCAGAAATATGAATTTTAAACCGGCATGTTTTCTACACTGTTAGTAATACCGTATTCACTCGCACAATGAACGCACTCGCGTAATGAACCACCCCCTAAGTCGGCTCTCAAAATTTCGACTTTTTTTTTCACTCTCGTAATAAACGCACCCCCAACTCGGACGTCAAAATTTTGACCCCCTCCTCCCACGCGCGCGAAATGAACGCACATTTCGATCATGGTGCAGCGAGGTCGCGAATGCATGGGCAGCGTGGTCGAGCAAAACGCCTTGCAAAAGACCTAAAAAAAATTCGAAAAAAATCCAACAGAAGCAAAAAAAAAAAAAAAAAAACATGCGAAAAAAGTTTTTTTTTTTTTTTTGCACAGCGCAGTTTGGATTTTGGGTTCGCGCGCCGCCGCGCGCAAGGAGGTAAGAAAGAGAAGCGGAGAAGCGCTCTAAGCGAACGAAACAGCTTGAGAAAGGCGGCCAAAAGAAACAAAAGAAACCGACCGAACTAAGAGAAAACAAAAACAAAGAGGAGTTTTTTTTTTTTCTTTTTTTTTTTTTGCACAGCGCAGTTTGGTTACGGGGTGTCGCGCGTCGCGCGCCGCGCGCAAGGAGGTAGCAAAGAGGAGCGGAGAAGCCCTCTAAGCAAACGAAACAGCTTGCAAAAGGCGGCAAAAAAAAAAAAAAAACAACTTACAGAATTGAGAAAAAAAAAAAAAAAAAGAAGAGCTTTTTTTTTTCTTTGCACAGCCGAGTTTGGTTACGGGGGTCGTGCGGCGCGCGCCGCGCGCAAGGAGATAAGGAAGATAAGCGGAGAGCTCTCGCCTAAGCAACGCCTAAGCAAACAAAACAGCTTGCGAAAGGCGACAAAAAAAAAAAAAAAAAAAAAAAAAAAAAAAAAAAACCCAAGGAACTAAGAAAAAACAAAACAGGATTTTTTTTTTGCACAGCTTAGTTTGGTTACGGGGTCGGGCGCCGCGCGCAGAGAGATAAGAAGTTACTTCGATTTTTCAGGATAAAAGGTCCGTTCATTATGCGAGTAAATAACCGAGGCAAAAATTTTACTTCGCGTAATGAACGCTTTGCTAACTTTGCATCGATTTTTCGGAAAAAAAAAAGTGCGTTCATTCTGCGAGTAAATACATACGGTATAAAGAACAAATGAGAGTTACCCCAACACAGACTCGTGCGGTACACAAGGGGCTATGCAAGACGGTGGGACAAAGGGACCGTGACATGGCCGCCTGCTGCAATGTTCCTTCGTCCTGCCGTCTTGCATAGCCCCCCAGATCCAACCAAAGCCTCCAGAGAAGCATTCCCAAACAAAACAAGTTGTGACCTGTCTTTGAATCATCTAATCCAGTCAATTAAAAGTGTATTTCTCAGTGTAACTTTCAGCTTCAGAAGTAATTTAGAATGTCAAATGCCTTCGAATAATCTATGAATATAGCATAAGCCTGACATTTTTGATTTAGAGATGCAGCAAGGTCATGGGCGAATTCAAAGGGTGCGTGCTGGTATGAAAAATGACGACGAAAACCGTGCTGTTCAGGGCAGATAGTTGAATTTCCTTCAAGATGCTCAAAGATATGCTTGTAAGCTGTATGTCCTAGGAGCTGACTAGTGGAAGAGGGGGTGGGGGGGGGGGGGGGTAGGAGAGGGGAAGGGAGGGGAGGGTCCATTGTAGTTTGATTGCCGAACTGGGTTCTTTCTCTATACGAATCCCCAAGAGGGCCCTCGAAATGGTGGCTGTCGTTTCATTTCTCGCGGCTGGTTTTTTCAGAGCTGAGGCGAAAGGTAGCACGTCTTAGCAGAATGTGGGCTGCTTTTTTTTTTTGAGACTCTCTTGGGATTCTGTCGTGAGTGGGACATCCTAGTAATTGCTTATCTCTGTGCGTCTTTTTTTGGGGGTGTTTGACTTCTATTTGCTCTATTTTGGCATCTTTCTAAATTCCAGCATCTTTTTGTTACATTACTGCAGGTATGGCTATACGGGGTGTTTTGACTGACTCGTGCCGAGACTTTATGGATTCTGGTGTGAGCTGTGCTCGTCGTACCGACGTTGTATTGTTCATGGTCCTGTTGAGCGAGTCCAGATATCTTTTTTGTGATGTCTCAAAGTGGATAATTTATGCAGGTTAATTAGCCAACTTTTTAAATATTAATTTGTGCTAAAACACTCCAATACAGGAGTCAAAGAATGCGTTGAAAAACATCTCATTGTATAATTTCTGTCGAGGTAGCCGTTGTGTGTGTAACTTTTTTTAATATAAAAACAAGTGTACAAGATAAAAAAAAGGAAAAAAAAAGGAACACTCGACTACTTGTTAAAAATGTGGGACTTTAAAAAAAATTGTGCGTGCTTTCTTTAAAGCTCTAAACAATTTGACACACAAAAAAAGAAAAAAAAAATGAAAACACTCGACTACTTGTTAAAAATGTGGGACTCTAAAAAAAATTGCGCATGCTTTCTTTAAAGCTCTAAATAATTTGACACACAAGGGCTACCTTGGTGGAAACGACGCAGTGGGACGTTTCTCGACACCCTTCACAATTCTTGCACTGGAGGGTTTGCGTGCAAACTAATGTTTAAAAGTTGGACAATTAATTTGTGTCAATTAGCCAGTTTGGCACGTCACAAAAGTCGCCTCGACTCGCTCAATAGGACCGTGAAACAACACGGTGTCGGTTCAACTCGCATGGCGTGCACCGGCCTTTTTTTTTTAAAGTTTTGGCAGAAGGTGATACTAGCTGATTCAGTGCACACGTTATGCCACCAGCTTCTTCGGTACTACCTTGCTTATGTGCTACTTTTGTTTCTTGACTACAGCGCTGCCAGCAGACACCTTGGCCGGCCACAGGGAGCGATTCCTCAAGCAGTTCAAACTGTTGAGTTGCACGTTTTTATGACAAGCTTATTTTGTAATGTTTGCCGCTCATTTTCTGCACCAAGAGGAATGTGTTTGGTGCCACGGGGCTGGCACGAGCAGCAACATTGAAACTGGGTCACACACATGCGACCGCTTTGGTGCATTTCCTATTTTTTTTTTTACATCATTCTTTTTTTTTACTGCAGCTTGAAAATCGTCTGATAGTGTTATAGACGATCATTTCTCATTAATACTAGTACAAACGGTTGATCTCGCAAATAATGTGAAACCTTTGCTCTAGTGAAGTGCGGTTCCAGGGGCATTTCGTAGATGGCGCTGGCATGCCAGTGCATTCTTTTGTCGTGAGAGACCGCAAGAACTCTGACGTAGGCAAACACGAGTGTGTGAACCATATTGCGAATGTCTGATGGGGACTTGCATACGGGAATCGTGGCTTTAGTTATTTATTAGAAGAGCATTAGCTTTGGTGTAAATTTCATGAAGTAATGTATTTATGCCTTAATATTTTTTTTTATTATTTGGTTTGTTGCAGGCTGCAGCAGTTTTACTTAAGTTCAGTGAACCTGCAATACTTCAAGCACCTGATTCAAGTTCCCCTTCTGCCAGAGGTGAGTTTGGCTGATGGCCATTGATTTCACTGGGTGAAGCCCAGATGTATGTTAAAAGTGTGTGGTTTGCTCCCAACTTTTGAAATGTGCTTTTTCCATGAGTGACAGCGCTGGTTCAGTCATGAGAAACGCTCTGTCCTTGACTCCAATGAACCGCAATGTAATTTTACCACAGGGAATAACGTTTCTTTTAGTTTCAGTCGTTCCCGCTCCTCCCCAACTTACTCAGCAAAGACTGTGACAAGATCGATGGTCGTCGGTAGTTACAGTTAAGCCGCCTCTTTAGTAGAAGTTAAAACAAAAAGAGTTTGAATAAGACAGATTTCCCGAGACATTTTTTTAAGATGGTTCCGCACTCGAGAGGTATGAGATGGTGGGTGCAAAATGTTGGAGTTGCATTCAAGGCACTATGTAGTGTAGTAGTCTCAGGTTACTCTGGCCAGCTCGCCTCTTCTCTTCTCCAGCTTTCCGTGATTACTGCTGTTCACGTGGTGACCTTTTGATGTTGAGAGAAGGACGTTGAGCGAGCTCCTCCTGTTTTCAGAACCCTCCGAACTTCCTGGTGGCATCTGACCTGAGCTCCCACGTGAGCCCCGTGGTGATCCTGCCACCCCAGAACGAGACGCCGGAGAACGAGCCCGTGGACGCCACACTGGTCGACACCTCCATTCCACAGTCGGAAAAGTTTGACCAGGTGATCGGGCACCTCGTGGTGAATGTTTGCACAGCTCCGACGGTCATATTTGACAGTGGCTGTGATGGAAGTGCTGCGCCATTTGCGCCAAATTGCGCCATGAACGAAAGTCTGCTACACCTTGCGCCAAAACACCATTTTTGCTATGAAGTGTGCCACACGTGTGCCGAAATAAGCTTAAATGAAGTCAACTGCTTCGACTGGTTGATGCGCTGGCGGGTTGATCACCAACATCGTCTAAATTTCCTGACGATGTCAGCGATGTCAGGAGTATAAAGTTGCTAGAAAACATCTCAAAATAGTAGTATGGTGGCTACTGTGATCGACAGAACCAGGGTCTTGTACTCCTGATAAGGTCATTTGATTACCATGTCTGCCGCTTGCCTCCGTGCCGCGTCTCACCAGCGCTCGCGCGTCAAGTTTCGCCGCTTTGCACTGGAGTGCTAGGAGCAGCAGCTGACATGGTTAACCCCCTGGGTTAGTACAATAGGCTCAGAAATTATGCTCAGTACTACTCCAGGCATACCTTTAATCTTGATTTTAGGTTGATCTCCATTTTCAAAAAAAGCTACACTTCGAAAGAGAAAAAAAAGATTTGCGGTTTTATATTTGGGTAAATATAGTAGTCAAGGTAGTTCCAGCAAACTGTGACTTCACCTTGGTGCCAATGGCGCTAAGGAGCAGTGTCACTTATAAAGCACGAGTGTAGGTTTTCATAATATTTGTTAATGGCTGTTTTTTGTTTAGTTTATAATTAGAGTCTTGAGTTTGGTAGGTTCATAAAACTTGGAGGTGGGCACATTTTTATTGATACACATTCTTTGGCAGATACGCTGGTTTTTGCAGGCATTTTGCAGAAATTATGTTTACAGGCTAAATAAACTACCGGGTGTAAAAGTGGGAGGGAAGAGGCATTATCCCAACTGACGTGTTGCTCTACGAATTATTTTTCAACCATGAGTGTGCGAGTACCCATTGTAGATGGGACCCACTCTTACCAGAGTTTTATTTCTTAAAAGAATGCTCCTTGTTCTTTTCACATCCCATCTATTTTCAAGACTGGTTATAACAAAGTCGGTTATAACGAAATAGCGGCTACAACAAAGCAGTCACGATATCCCATCCCCACAAACCACGTGACCCCGATCAAGCAGTTGCCCATCTTTTAAATCTAGGCTCTTTATACCGACAACAAACAAGCTTGAGCGCGAACTCGGTGCCGTGCCTGCTTGTTTGTTTGCTTCGTGATCCTTGTCGGCGTCTGGTCAGTGAGGTTGCTTTTGCGTGAAAGTCCACTTCGCTCAAACACTGATTTAGTAAATCATCGGCACTCAACAGTAGAGAGTCCCGGCACCGCCGGTACCTCGACGGGAAAGACGAAGGCAATTTTTTCTGAATGAAAAGCGTGCCATCCTTGACAGAGTGCGCATAAATGTACAAAATGCCATTCATCGCCGGCTCCCTCCGCGGGGCCATCGCAGCTCCTGACACGGTCCATACATAGCAGGATCTTTTTTCGATCTGATCTAGCAGGGGACGTGAGCAGGGAAGCCTCAACCGTTTTCTGCAGGCTCGATAAACATGTGCCCGTGACAACCCGTGTTATCTTTTTTTTTCATGTTATTTGTATGAGTTCATATATAACGAAGAAACGAATATAGCGAAGCGATTTCCGATTCCTGTTGACTTTTTTGATAACCGGTCTCGACAGTATTCTTAATATGTAACATAATAAGTAATCGACATCTTGTAAACCCTGAGATGGGGAACGATAAAAAAACGGACGAACACGACAAAATCTCAAACGCAGCTGAATTTTATCGATATGAGCTTACCAATAAATAGACTTTCACACAAAAGGAAAAGAGAAAGGGCAAGAATAACACAAAAGCAAAAACAAGACGGCCAACGCGTTCACCCCAGACAGCCTGAGCCACTCCCTGGCTCCAACAACCTTCGGAAAGAGAGCCGACCACCCGAACAACAACAACCCCACGGTCACCACACATGGTGACCTCCAAACCGCTAAAGCCTAATCCCCATTTCCTACTCCAAGTAAACGCTTCCCGGTCCCCCCCCCCCCCTTCTCAAGGTTTACAAAGCTCCCCTCATACAAGCAAAAACTCTTTCATCCGATCACTGATCACCAAGGACGGCTGGCTCACATAATTCCCCCGCTCGCGAATGCGCAAAGTCTCCTTAATTAGCCTTCGAAACAATTCTTTTTCGTTACACAGAACGGAAGTTTCATCCCAAAGAGGGGAACAAAAATTACAAGGGCTAACATGATTAACCAATTCAGCACTCTGCGCCAAATTCTTTACACTCCTTTTATGCTCCGCAAGTCGGTCATTCAAACAACGCCCCGTCTGACCAACATAACACAATCTGCATAAAAGGTGTGTAAAGAATTTGACTTGAGAAGGGGGGGGGGGGAACCGGGAAGCATTTGCTTGGAGTAGGAAATAAGGATTAGGCTTTAGCGGTTTGGAGGTCACCATGTGTGGTGACCGTGGGGTTGTTGTTGTTCGGGTGGTCGGCTCCCTTTCCGAAGGTTGTTGGAGCCGGGGAGTGTCTCAGGCTGCCTGGGGTGAACGCGTTGGCTGTTTTGTTTTTTGCTTTTGTGTTATTTTTGCCCTTTCTCTTTTCCTTTTGTGTGAAAGTCTATTTATTGGTATGCTCATATCAATAAAATTCAGCTGCGTTTGAGATTTTGTCGTGTTCTTCCGTTTTTTTATCGTTCCCCATCTCAGGGTTTACAAGATGTCGATTAATTACCAGCTCGCCTGCACTCTCTCACTGCTTACAATTCTAGTAATAAGTAATATGGTTCACTATCAAAGGGAAGCCCTCAGTCATTATCAAAGACAAACTCATTTAGCGATGCAATCACCTTTTTTAAATTTTCAAGTTGTAGGGTAACAGAAGTCGGCAAATGCTTCAAAAGTGTCAGTGGCTGCTCCAAATCAATATTTTGCCTTCTACAGAACGTGCTACAAAAGGTCGAGTGCTGCTACCATCACTGCAGTGGCATCGTCTCAAAATTTCGAAAGTGAAATTTTAAAGTTGGTTTCAATTGACAGCCCTTCTTTTTAAGTATGGCACTTTGGCAATGATGCATCCGAAATCTTTGTGTTACTTTACAGATGTTTGGATCTGGGGGAGATGTGTCGGACCTGAACAGTACTGAAAGCGACGACTCGGAGAAGTAAGCAAGCCTGTCACTGTTACCTTTTAGTTTGCCTGAAGACAAGAGGTCGTTCCCATAGTAGGGTGCCTTGATGTCTTTCCGTTTGGGGTGATGACATTCTTTGCAGTACCCAATGCTGACAGCACAGGGTCACAGGAAAAATACATAGAGCGGAAAACAAAATGTTGTAGCACAGTCAACGCCAAGAGCTCGTGCCAGGAGGTGCGCTTTTACACACTCCAAAACAAAAAAGAAAACTAAGCGTTACAGAATGATTCAGAAGGAATGGCATCATTGCACGGACTAAAGGAATGTCAGTGACACTTTGGTGCCTTCAAATGTCCCATCTTCCTAGACTTGATTTCATAATGGTCTTTCCGTAGTGCCATTAACCCCTTAATTATTCATCATGAGTGTCGCTCGTGCTGTCGATTATGAACCAGAAAGCCCGAATATGAGTCTGACCCATGTTTCGATTTTGAAGCTTTATTTTGTCCCTTTTCTGGCAAATGGCAGTGCTACCACTATTGCACTGCCCCCTTCAGTTTGGTTTGTTATTTGTTTCAAAGTTCCACCCAAAGGCAACACTGTTGTCCCAGGCAAAATAAAAAAAAAAAATATTTGACGTCTGAAATCGCTGCGCAGATTGTTGTTGAAATGCGACAACATTTTGTATCATCTTGCACTGTGATTGTTTCTCTATTAAACTGCTTTAAAACTGCATTGAAACTGCTGCAAAAATTCTAGAAATTTTTTGTCGACATTCATGAAGTCTTTTATCACGTTTAAATCCAATTCACACAATTTTATCATCTAACCGTCTACTTCTTGCGGACAGGCCTCCTGCAACCAACCAACAACTTATGTTGTAGCATCACTGCAATTTGAATGTTTCTCTCCTTCTATGTGTATAATAAACATAATGCCCTGAGCAACTACATTTACCGTTCAAATCTATCACATTTAAAACCAGTTCGCATAATTTTCCAACCTAACTGTCTAGCTCCCGCCGATGGGCCTTTCGCTACCAATCGACTACTTTTGTTGTAGCATTTAATCAATTAAAATATTTATTTTTTACTATATAGACTCTCATTAATTCAAACTCAAGGAAGCTATGAATTTTGTTTGTATTATCAGAACTTAATATAAATGTGGTGCAAGATAAAATTATGGTTTGCCATATGAATGACTACATATACAAACCAGATAGTTGATGATTTCCTCTAAATAGGCCTACTGATCATAAGCAGGTATGCCACACAAGAAACATTTGTGAAATGTATGTCATAAATTTACTTATCCCTCAAAAATGTTGTTTATCGTGGGCTGTTAGAAGTACATGACAAATCAAAACAAAATTAAGTTCCTTCATCAGGCCAAGAAGTTGTCTGATGTAAATTAATAGCAAGATTTAGTAGACTGCTTTCGTGCACCCGCTCCGCTCTACAGAGCAGTATAATCGCCACTGCGTATGCGCGGCTGCTTTCAGCTCTGAGCAGCTGCGCGTGCTCAGAGCTGAGCTCTGAGCACGGGCAGTTGGGCAGGCTTAGAGTGGAGCAGAAAGTGAAAACGACCGACTAAAACTCCCTATTAAGTAGGCAACACATGAGCAATGAAAACGGGCACTGCGTGGCAGTTTTCATAGCAACTCGCACAGGCACTGTGACGTGGATCTTTGCCATGCTGCTATGTCACAGCCTCCGTGCAAGTTGCTAAGGAAATTTCCGCGTATGCCTGTTTTCATAGCTCATGCTGCCCTGCTTAAATCCTGTTGAGTGTGCTTCTCACCAAGCACCAGTGCACTGCGGAGAAGCAACACCCGTGCAAGCAACCTCCGCGGGTGTTGCTTCTCTGCAGAAAAGAAGCACACTCAACGGGGCTGCAAAAACAAAAAGTGGGAAACGCACAAAAACGCCGTTGGAATTAAGCAGCTTATGAATGTATTAAAAACATAGCAATACAACCAATATTTTAAAGTTTGTCCGAATTAACCAGAAGTATGAAACATCCGAGTTTGAATTATTGCGAGCCTACTGTACACGTAAATGAATGTAACAAGACCTTTGGTAACTGGATTTGCCGTTCAGAAGCTAACACCTGGTGCCCCATTCCTTGGGCGCATTACCCCCGGCGTGCATGAGCTAAGCAGGTATACAACAGGTGTGTGCCACCTACTTCGTTAGTCACAGGCCGAGAAAGGACGTGCAAGTGTATACAACCAATACCACCAAGAAATCAATGCCTGTGCACCACGTCATCGTGAGTGGATCCCAGACCCGCCCCAAGTGGTGGACACGGTGAAACTCTACGAGTTTCGGTGTGTCCGTCGTGGCGTTGCCGCATGCTAGCGTTGCACTTGTTGCAAGGTGCCGCACAACTAGGCGACGATGCGGACACAAGGTAAACGGCGCTGCGTGGATCCGCTAGCGATGGCACCTGGGGGGTGAAGGGCGCGGGCGTTGTCTTCTAGGTGGTATGTGGAGAGCAAGCTGTCCGCTTTTCGCGCAGGAGTTGCGGCGACGTCAGAATGACGCCGAGCTCCGATTCGCTTTGATCGAAAGGGTAGTGGGCAGACCTCGAGGCATCTAGCATCGAGGTCTACCCACTGTCTTTTTAATCAAAGCCGATTGGGGCTCGGCGTCATTCTGACGTCGCTGCAACTACCCTGTGAGAAGCAGACGACTTGCCCTCTGCATTGGTAGGGGTAACGCCTAAGTGCCATCACTTTTATAAAAGTAGTATGCAACGGGTTAATTCTGAGGGCACCGACTCGTCCAGGGACCGGCTGATAGCGCAGCTGATGCGCGAGAACTGCGAGCTACGCATGGAGCTGCAGCGTGTGCGGGTGGAGGACCAGCGTGCCATGGACGACCTCCGGCGCCAGCTGGCCGCCATGGACTCCCAGCTGGCCGAGCACGAGCGCACCATCCGGGACTTGGGACAGGTGGGTACCCCTGCTCTTGTCTTGCTTCGTGGGAAAACGGAAGCACCAGGGCCGGTTTGCTGATCTGCGTTTTGAGTGCGATCGAGTGCTTTGCAATCGACCGCTCGTGTTTCGCAGGAAAAGGAGGTCCTGCAGACGACGGCTACGACGGGCTGCGAAGCGACCAAGAAGGCAGAGGAGCTGGAGAGTAAGCCAGCCATCCTTTCGGACCATCCTTTCGAATGGTCTCTCGTGTTTTCCAACCCTAACCCATCGACCGCCGAAGACAAGCCTGGCATCTGGCAATACCTACCCTCCTGGCAATTTATTTACTATACGAGCGAGTGTCGAACATCAAAGATGCCTTGACAGACTGAATTCCATTGTGCACCAGTTTTTATGGCGGCCTTTCAGCTGTGCAGAAACGCTGAAAGAAAACTGACTTCGAAAGATTATCTTTATCATACTCTCTACCAAGCTAAAAGTTCTGAGGTTCGCTGAGAATCTAACAATTGTATTGACTTCTCAGCTTGGAATAGAACCACGCAAAGCATTCACAAACCCAGGGTTAGTCCAGGTGGGACGTAAGATTTACAGGAGAGCGCTCCGATACCTCGTCTGTCACTGGATTCCGGTGCTCCTGTGCACGCTGCTGCAATTTGTCATTGATGACTCAAGCGTGCATGTGAACTCTTGTGAGTGACAAACTAGCAAGCTGTATTTTATGCAGTTTTAATTTATAACGGTCAAAGAATGATTTGTATGTCTTTCTACGCTCTTCTGTGGCGCTCCTGACTTTGTAGCACTCGCATCGAATGTCGTCTTTTTGTTTTGCGTCCAGTGTGACTTCACATTATTCTTTTCCTGTGTTTACAGAGAAAGCAAAGGCAAATGAAGAGAAATTCCACAAAATGAAGGAGGTGTACAATAAGCTCAGGGAGGAGCACATTGGACTTCTGAGGGCGGTGAGTGTCGGCCTGGAGCTATGGCATTTGCTTGTATTTCATCCCAGACGATTAAGGGCATCTTCACAGATACAGTTCAGTGCAAACGCAGTGCCATAGACACCGTGCCTACTTTGTGCTTTGTCAGCACTCCGCTGCATTGATCGGCTTTTCTGTGCTCGTTCGCAATGCAATACAGTGGCAAATCAGCGCCGCATCGGTGCTTACATTAGTGCTGATGCATTACTGACTTTGCACTATCTCAGTGCTGTGGTGCTCATAAGAACCGACTTGATGATGAATTCTGCCAGTAGATACAGATACGGCACTGGCCGAATCAAAAGGGGCTGATGTAGCATGCTGTTGCCAACCTCTGCCAATGTCCATTGATTTTGACACTGTATTGGGGAAGTGGTCCTCAGGGCCGGCACTGCCACAACTGTATTAGTGAAATACGACTAACACGAGACGGATCTTTCTGTGGAAGATGTTTGCTCCAAATCTTCCGGCGGAATTCACTATCAGACTGTACAATTTCTACGTTTAGTGCAAAGAGGCTGCGGTTAACCTTTTTCGTGTTGCTATGTATATTTGCTATATTTGCAGAAAGCGGACATTGAGAAGCAGTTCACGTCGGTTAAAACAGTTGCCGAGAATGCTGAGAAAGTTCGCCAAGTGAGTCGGCTGTGAATCTCATCTCTGCAATCTTTACGAAGGGGTTTGTCGTAAAGGCAGATAGCAGTAACTTAAGCCTTGTCCTTTCATTTGGAGGGGGAGTGTCTTACCTTTCGTTTATGGAGCTAATGAATGTTACAAAAATTAGGAACCTCGACTCTACTGTTAAGGTTCATGTAGTATTCTTTCAGGCCAGTACATTGTGCCAATGACAATGTAATTCACGTGGAAATTTATTGGACATCTACAATGCATTCTCAGTGGTTCTGATATGTATTTCAGTAGTAAAGTTGTGACAATTGTAAGGTTATTTACTTTTGGAGCCCCAAATCTTCATGTTTCAAAGATGTAATAGTACAGTCTAAGCTCATTACAACAAACCTGGTTACAACAGACATATAGATATAACATTTCAATTTGTGAAGTTTGGTTGGTTTTCCTCTATGTACCATTGATTCAACTTCATATCTGCGTACAACATACTCCTTTTACAACAAACCGAGATCTTGGTCAAAATCAAGATCTGTTATAACGAGCTTAGACAGTAGACATAGTTTGCCAGTTTCAGTTATGTCTCTCTAGTCATATTTTGCATGTCTGTTAACTTTCACAAATTTGACTATTTGCAATTATCACCAAAGGGAGGGGGCCACTTTTGGTGTACAATCAAGAAAAGTTTTAAAAAAATTGCTATTTTTAGGTTGTGTCCCTTCCAAGCTTGTTATGGTGGCGAGGGGCAACGAAGCAAAGAGGACATACTTCCCAGTCAGCAACCTTCGCTTATATCCCGCCGTAGCGAACTAGCCGCATTTATGCTGAGGCCATCATTGATCCCAACACTACTATTACTAGAAGTGGGCTGTCTTTCGGTGTTTAAAAGAATATAGCAAATCAAGCCAAACATAGGGGTGGGCTAACTTTCGGGGGTACCGCAAAATCTTTTGGGATTTTGCGGTATTCTAGTAAAAATAATTTTCGTTATTTCAAATCGGTAGTATTTTCAAAAGCCCCAGTAGTGCTTGAGGGTTCATCTGTTGCATGTAGTCCCTCTTATTTTTAATCATGGATTTGGATTTTATTGGGTTATGCTGACTTACTTTTTGTAACAGGTGATCACAGTATAAAAAAATGTGAGGATTTGTACAGTGTTGTTGCTAAGAGGCTGTCTGTAAGTCAATAAATAAATGAACCAATAACCAAATTTTAGGATCTCGGTGATCAGCTGAGGGTAGCCATGGAGGAGAAGAGATCGGCCGAGGTGAGACTAGAGGACCTCAGTCTCAGGACCACCGAGGCCGACACGGTCACCCGAGAAAATGCGCAGCTCAAGGAAAATGTTCAGGTGGGTGCTTGCAGTGCACTTCCATGTATTAAGTGTGAAAACTATATAAATCATACACTCATTGTAGTGCTAACTTTTTCTTTTGCACATATTTGAAATCTACACAGTAAGCACACAACGTTATCCATGCTTGAGTACAACATGGTCGAAGCCTTCATTTGGTACTCACTTAAACGGGTACTCCGGCGATTTCTGCATGGTCCCCAATTTGCTTGAAACAACATCGCCAAAATAGTATCCCAAATATTAGGTCAAAATAATTTTTTTTCACGAAGTTATTGAATTTCATGTTTTTGGTCTTCACCGTGTTTTTCAAACTGAAAGTCTTTACTGGCAACAACGAAAAAGTGACGTCAGTGGAAGTGCAGGGGTTCACTCTTTGGACTGTAGAATTTGTTCCCAACTGATTCGAAGCAGTTTCATGGTGTCATATGATTGCTTTGGAAGCTTGCTCTAGCCCCCGCGCTCCAGCACAGAACAAATGATTGGCATATTCTATTCTTTGGACTGCTCGCGCGACTGGCAAGCTTGCCCGCCACTGACGTCACGGGAGTGAAAAGTGCGGGTATATTTGAAGGTTGGTTTTTGCACCATTTTCATTTGCCGATAACGCAATACTAACTATTATGAATTTCGCGATACTAAATAGCACACGGGAAAGGGTAAAGGCCGCGGAGTCAGAAAATATAGTTAGTTGAGGTGGCTCAAAAAATCACCGGAGTACCCCTTTAATGCCGTTTTGCTGTTATATTTTGAAGCATATTACTAGGAACTTCATAAGTGTGCTTTGAGCCTGTTTAAATTTCTGGAACACCTTGCATGATTAAATGAAAGTTTCACACTATTTTTTTTTGGCAGAACAGATCTGTGTAGCACATTTTCTTTTGTGTAAACAAATTAATAGTTGTGTGACTTGCATGAAAATAACGAGGATCTATCATTCTCGCATGTAGCGTCATGAAGTTCACGGTAGAACAGGGTTATCCTTGCTCAGACTGCTTAGTAGTTATTCCACATTATAACTTTTGATAGGTAAAGACACAAGTGTTCTCTTTAGTGTTTTTGTATTGCCTCGTGGACACCTAGTGGACAGTTGCAGTTGTGCATCTATTAAAAACACTCTAGGCACTTTATAAGTTTGCTTTGCATTTTCTGTTTGTTGCACAATGGGATCCTCCAGATAAGGGTAGGTGGTCTATAAACCTGCACTTGCTCTGTTGTGGCATGCATTGAAGAAGGAATAGTTCTAATGCACACTACAGTTTTGCAGTGTGCACCTTTTGTTAATTCTGTGTTGCACTTTCATGACAATAAAACACTTAAACTCCGAGTACTAATGCACGCTTGCTAAAATGATGTTACCAGGTCCTTCAAGGGTGTTAAAGTTGGGTATAAAACTCACTTATTGTCTGACTGCATTCTCTTTTTACTCTTGGGACACTCAAAGTGCATTGCATTATGCTTTTTCTGAACAATTTAACATGCTCATAGAAATGTTCACAAATGTTAATCAAAGCTGGGAAAATAGAAAAGAGAATAATTAAGTTGGTGCAGAAATGCACCTCATTTGTACCACTCTAAGTAGGCTTGCAATGTAAAAACCACGTCGTCTTGCACACCATTATGTCGTGTATCAGTTCTGCCGACGCATGTTACACACTCCAAACTAGCAGTCTTGCCGCACTGGCAAAGTTTCTTATCTACAGTGCAAACCTGCATCACCTTACCTCAAAGACAGACCAACCTTACTTCGTCGAAACACTAACGTCTAAAATTTTATTTATTCCACGTCGCCAGGTGGAAATCTAGGAACAAAATTTGACGACATGGTAAACGCGTCGGTCAAAGACACGTTCCAGGCACTGGAGCCGTAGGGTGTTGATGTTACGAAATGGACTTTCTTCGACCTTTGTGCTTTCATCTTCTTCTGTCGTATGATTGAGACGGGGATGCGCTTCAGAGCCTGGAGGAGCGCCTGAAGGAAGTGGAGACAGAGCTGGCGCGGGGCAAGGAAGAGCACGAGGCGGTCGTGTCGGCCCTGGGTGCCAGCCACAGCCAGTTCCAGCAGGAGCTCAGGACCCGGGAGGCCTCCAACCTCTTCCGCATCCTCGGTGAGTGGTCGCGGCCACCTGTCCCTCCTCAGCACCTGCGGGACGACGCCGACATGAGACACAAACAATACTCGAGTGAAAGATAATAGTACGGCTTGGGATGTGCTCGTAATTTTTATTAAGTCGCCCTGAAATGAGGCGATCCGATTTAGCAGCGAAGGCTTAAAGGTGCAGCAAAAACTGTTGCGGACCGTTGGGGAAGGCGTAAAATGGAGGAGCGGGTATCGGTTAACATGCAGTTGGAGTTGCGAATAGGGAAGCATGTTTCTTTTGCTGTTAGTAATTCGTTTTATAGTGGCGATTTTTTAAAGAGACCACGAGAGCAATTTGGCATTTTTATTTGACGATTGAAATGGGCATCAGGCACGTCTTGGACATTGTTGACCAAGTTCTAGTCAAAACAGACGTTTGGGTGCCGCACCAATCAATTAAACAGGTAAGGTAATCACTCTGGGAACGATGCTGGAGACCCCCTTGAGACGACAGCAGAAAGGCGAACTAAAACGTGGTGCGATGTCGAAGCATGAAGACAACGGGCTCCTCGTCAGGCGATTGGTTCAGACGAATGACGTGCTCTTGGCGTTGCGGCAGCATCAGCGAGTCAGGCGGAGAGTCACCCGCTCCGAGCACCGAGGTGTCGGCAAGCCTGAGGCACCCTCATAAAGCGTTAAACTAGAGTTTTGCGTCCTGTGAAGCATCTCCCTTTTCGTTGGCACGAGGTCGCTGAATGGGAGCAACTTGTCTCCAAGCATGGTGTTTTCGGCCCTTTTTCTGGTTCACAGGCCGCCGCGCACTATAGCCAATCGCATGAACCACGCTGGGCATGCGCTAAATCCTACCGACATCGACAGTGCTCCTCGTCACGTCTGAATGTCTGTTTCAGATTAGAAAATTTATTTGGAGGCAAAAGAAATAAGTCACGCAGCTAAAAAAAAAGTTAGTGGCATGCTAGGACACCAATGCGTCCAAAAACACCTTCTTTAAAAAAAATTTAAATTGCCTTAGTGGTTTTTTTAAACGCACATCTTTTATAGGGCCAGCTCTTGGCGCTCTTGCGTCCGAGCCTTGACTGAGAAGAGCGTGCGGCTTGGAGCACGTGGTAACCAGTTGCACGTTTGGCGTGCAATCGGCGGCCGCTTTTGGAGTGGCAACTTTCTTCAGTGTGCGGTTGGCAGCAACGCGGACCACACGTACCTTGAAGGCGCTTGCTCGTGGCTGTTGCGCGCCGCCAAAGCGGCGCAGAAGCAACAAAGGTGGGCACAGCAAAGTGGGGAGGGAGGAGCAAAGGAAACGGCAGCAGAACAAGAGCGTTGGGCCAAGCAGCAACAGGAAGCCAAATTACTATTACGCAATGGTCGATTGGCACTTCGGGTGACAGTTTGCAGACAATTCGTTCAGTGCAGCGCATAACGGGTGCGACAGACTGGTTTCGGGTGGATGTGATGAGCACAGGTGTTCTAAATGCTGCGTCTTTAGGACGACTTTGGGAAATGCCGGAGAGACAGTTGATTTTTTTGTTTGGCTAGTTCTGTTTGAAATTGGTTTGTTCTAAATTAGATCATTTTCGCGTCCCCTTACAGTTGGCGTGATTCATGAAGCGGAGGCCATTGTGGGGAACTCGCTCGAGGAACTGGACAGACCTGGCCGCCATGGCTGCGTGGGAACTCCAGGTGAGGTTCTTCAGGAAGCCACTGGGATGAATATGGAACTGTGAATGCCTCAATTTTTGTTTACTTACTTACGGTGGAACCTTGTTAAAAACTTGTTTGCACAATTTGAAAAAAGAAAAGAGAATTCGTAAAATGAGTGCACAGAATACCGCAATGCTACAGGTACAGCCAGCTGAACTCGTAACAAGACGAGGTGTTCTTGATATTGTGATGGTTTTGTTTTTGTCGGCGGTGGTATGCTTTGCTTCAATTATAAGTCGACCCCCCCCCCCACTTCAGATTTTCAAAAATTAAAAAATGGGTCAGCCTACATTCGTGTAAATACGGTAGTAACTTTGAGCACTGTGACTATCATAGGTGAAAGTGACTGCAAGAACGATGAAAGTCGAACTAGAATATGGCGCCAGTATTGACATAGGTACTAACTGTTGCTAGTGAAATTGAAGTGAGCTGTTTCTGGTTCATTTCCAGAATCCCTTTTGCAGCTGAGCTTAATTACCTCTCAAGCACTGGACAGGCTGAACGGAGGCTTTGAGAAGTTCAGCAAGGATTCCCAAGGTTTGTTGCGTGACTCTTATGTTCTGGGGCTAGGTTGGAGGATCTGTATCTTGAGAGCCTCATTCTGGCAGTAAATTTAATTTTCAATAATGCTCAACTTTTTGAATTGCTCACGAGGTAGTAGTGTCCTAACCTTTAAGAATGAAGAACTCAAATTCTTTATGCAGATGAGTACCCTACTCTTTAGATTTCTCTCGAAACATTCCACATGGGGTTGCACAATCTTGCACGCCGCTTTATTTTTACCTTCTGGCCTTCATTTTTATTTACTTTATTTTTCTATGTGATACCAGAGGAAAGAAACATAGAAGAGCAGAACATGAGTACAAGTTTTGGGTTACTACTAGTTAAAATTGCAACTTGCATTCAGGGATGAGAAGTGCCTGTAATTATTAGGATTTTTAGCTACTTGGGCTGACACTGCAATGTTTTGTTTTTTTCCGAAAATTTTTATGAAACCGTGATGCAGACTTTTTGATCGCAGTCTTCGTTTAACGGAATTTCTGAGCCATAGATGAGGTACCGTATTTACTCGATTGTAACGCGAGTTTTTTTCCAGATTATGGCTGCCTAAAGTCAACCCTCGCGTTACAATCGAATACCAAAATTAAAGTTATCTAAAAATTGCAACGATACGCCCAGACCTAATTGAAGGCGCCAGATTTGGGCGCCCCGCAACCTATGTTGGCAACATGTGCCTGCCAAAAGCCATTCGGATCCACTGCAAGCCAATAACTCTCTCTTTGTTTCCGCCTTTTTTTTTCTCTGACGGAGTGCCCGTTGCATTCGTCGTGTGGGATGGCATCGGCGACTTTGGCTGCCTTGTGTTTCATCTCCCTTCGGCTGCCCTTACAATGGCAGCGTGTCGGGCACAGTACGACGCCCGCTTCAAGAGGCGTGCCATTTTATTGGCCGAAGAAATCGGCAATTCAGCCGCTGCCCGAAACCTCGACGTAAACGAGTCGACCATTCGCGGACGGCGGCTCCAGCAGGAGCACCTTTTCATGTGCGCGCCGGGCCGAAAAGGTTTCCGTGGGCCTTGCCACGGCTGTTACTTGGAATTGGAGCAGCGTGCTGCTGATTACGTCGTAGAACAGCGCAACCGCCTCATGGCCGTCAGCGTTGAACTGATACAGTTCAAAGCGAGTGATGTTGCTAGGCAAATGCATGTGTCAGTGTCAGCTTGACACTGGCACATGCATTTTTCATGCATGTGCAAGTGTCACGCTACTTTGATAGTTTTTATTTGGCCTTTTTTTTTTTTTTTTTGCCGGACGCATTACAAGTTGCCCCTTGCGTTACATTCTCGATTTATTTTTTCTTGCTATAAGCAGTGAAAAGTCACCCCTCGCGTTACAATCGCGGTCGCATTACAATCGAGTAAATACGGTACCTACTAGGGGTGTGCAAAGACGCGAATATACAAATTCGAATAGAATAGGAAGTCCCCGAATAATACGATTCGCGTATCAAAGTCCTACTATTTGGTAACTCGAATATTCGATATATTCGGCCAAAGACGCGCGGTCGTTGCGGAGCTGACAAAAGATTTGTTTTTTCTCCCGATGTTAGTGCCGTGATGTTCGACAGACCATGCGAAAAACCCTTTTGGTCCTACCATTCCACAAAAATCTAACGCTCGGGTTAGAAAAAAGAAAAGTAACGATCGCCACAAACTTTATAGCACGCAGATTTACTCATAATCGTGAAGCAATCTAACCTTGAATCACAATTGAAACATCCCGTTTGCGCCACTTGCAGAGAGGAATTGTTGGGAGGCCGGGATTCCGCGCCATGCCTAATTCATTTCATGCGTAAAGCCCCTCGTTTCAAATTGAAGCACCGATGTAAAACACTTGCCGCACTCGCAGAAATCGGCGACTGCGAGATCACAAAAAGAAAACCATGTTAACCGCACTAATGAAACAGGCCGAAATGTCGTTCTTGCGGAACTGCAATCCGCAAGTTTTAATTCGAAACGGAATGGAAAAATAGTGTGCCTAGATTTGAGAGGATTTCCAGCCGTTTGATTGCCGTGTTTGAATTGCGAACTGCGAGAAGGTGACGAAAAAAATGGGCAGGCGTCGTCTCTCTTCCACGCGACTACACAACACGTCGTCGCTTTCCACGCGACTACACAACACATGCGCACTTACGATCAATCTACGCAGGAGCCGTCTCCGTGGTTTCAGTTTTGCTTGCTCCCTCTTTTAAATCTAGGCTCTCTGAAACAGGATAGATGGGCGAAGGAATGGATGCATAACGGCAGTTGGACGGTGACTTGCACCACCTAACCACATGTTTTTTTTCTTACTTCAGATTATATTGTTTAAGCCTGTTTACTCAGATTTAACAGCTATTTGTTTATTTATATAAAATCAAATCCCAGGTGCGTTTTTTCTTTCTTAAAATTGAGACCAAATGTCGCAATATTCTGAAATATATAAACATAAAACAAATGACATGCCGCAGTGCTTTAGGTCGTGCTTTTAACGAGAAATGAAGGCACGCGTGGCTGTAACTTTGGTTTTTTGTGATGCTTGGGGTAGATAATTATGTTTGCGCCATAAAATTGGATCTTTAGTGCCCGATGTTCATCAGCAACTGCTTTTTTTTTTATTATAATTTTTATCCATTTGAGCCTTTGTTTCGTACGACATGCATATTCTGTACCAGGTGCATACTCTGCACATATAATTATCTCATTCACAGGTCACTTCGAAATATTCGTGCAAATAAAATCACTATTCAATATTCGATTCGATATTCGGCTTTTTTTCTCAATTCAATTCGGTATTCGATTCGATAACTACTATTTGGTATTCGCACACCCCTAGTACCAACTACTGAAAGGGCACTCATGTGCTTTTTGTAGAAGCTTGTTTTTGATGGGCATATATTGTTTGTTGGGCTTTAGTCAATAAAAATGACCAGTTCCAGATGGCAAGACGTCCTAGCAATGGAAATACACTGGCGCTACTTTCTCTTGAAGGGGCCATTCTCAGGTCCCGACCACCTCTAAAAATTTTACTGACGAAAAAAGTTAATTGTTCGGCGATTCCGAACGTTACAATTATTGCTTTTTCTAGGCGTGTTGTGCATTATATTATGTCTAAAACATCAAATCTTTGAGTGCAGGAGACATAATACAACCATTGTTCAAAAACGGTGTGCGACGACGCCACCTTGTGTCCGTTCCAAGGCGCAGAAAGAGGGGCGTGTCACAATCTTTGATTAGGTCTTCAACAGGGAAGTTGGCCGCCCACGAGCGTAATTTTGGGTTTATCGGAATGCTTAGAGTCCGTATATCGAGTCATTGTCATGAATAGACGATCTCAGAACCCACTTGAGTGCCCCTTTAAGGTACAGGCTGTTTTGACAACTGACATTGAATGCGACCTTGGCTCGACTTTTGCTCGCAGACGTGGAGGACCTGATCCAGTCTGTGTGTCCTCTGGCACACAGCACCTCTCAGCTGATCGGCACCGGCAAAGGGGTCTCTGAAGTGTCGCCCAACATCGAACTAGGAGAAGGTAGGCCCCGCTAATCGAGTCTAATCTGTCGTGACTGCCAGCACACGCCGTCTCGCCTGCGGCGTTTTCGTCGTTTTCATTGTTGGGTCTACTACGCCAAAACAAAATCGCAGCTTGGAGCCTTTAAAACCTTTTCATTCTCAAGAGGAAACACCTTATGTTGTACCACAGACAAGGCTAGAAGCGCGAGCTCATAGCGTTGGGAGCTGCTCTTAACGCACGAGAGTTTGTGCCGCTGAGTTGTGCCCTTGAGCAAGGAGCTCGCGCTTGTAGCCTTTCCTGCGGTACATCATAAGGTGAAACGGAGAATAGTTGGGTACAAATGCTATCATCATCATCTAACAACTTTCGGTTTTGCCCGTAAATCGAACAATTTGTATTGTAACATAAATAGTATTGGGCGAAGAAAAAAATTTTTTTACTAACATTTATTTTGAGACATGCCTATACCAAACAGGTAGAAAAACAAAATCCCCCCCTCTAGGTTTAGGGTTTTTTTTAAGAGGGGTGTGAATGTCATTGTTTTTGTCATGAGAACGTCGGGAACGGAGGGGGGTTTTGGCTTGGGCTTGTGCTTGTTTTTTTTATTATTCTCAAAAGTCGCCAGAGGCCTTTTTTTTTTCTTTTTTTGAAAGGAGGAGTTTAAGAAGTTGCTTCTCGACCTTACAGAGTTGGCCCTCACCTGCCGCAACTTGGGCCAGCGGGCTTTGGTGCTCTTGAAATCCCTGAGATCTGAAGGTGAGCATTGTTCTGCAATCTTCTAAAGACTGGTTAGCGCATTTGTGTTCGAGCGGGGCCGAGCGTGTTGCAACCACTGGCGTCTGCTCGTGAGATGAGGGAACACACCAATGCCATCTGTTGGGTGGCCCTGGAACGCTTCCGATCTGCGCATATATCCTAATTTTTTCATGCGTCATTCTTTCACCGTGGGCTCAAACTATTTCCGATAACGTCGTAACTATGGGTGTGCAAACGTTAGAGATTTTGAATACGAATAGAATATTTTTCGTATTCGATTCGTTTTCGATTTAAGAATTGCATATTCGGAAATTTCCGAATACAGTAGACTCTCGGTAATTCGAAGCTCACAGGGACTGCAAAATGCCTCGAATTAAGCGAACTTCGAATTAAAAAAGCACATATAAAACTGAGTTTATTTTATTCAGTACTCACTTGGGAGAAGAACTGGTCGATCTTAGATTGTTTTCGCTGACGCATCCGCTCCACCGTCATTCGGCTCTGCAAGTTACGTATGCATCGTAAGGCGTCTTCGGCATTCTCTTCACCCGAGAAAAAACATTCTACGGCGCCCAATGCAGTTTCGCATCAGCGGCACTCGGCGCAGGAATTGACGGCGGCGAGAGTTCCTCGTCGTCAGAGTCATCGTCACTTCCTTGCACCACCACACCAGGCCTAACCACTTTGATTATTTCGACGTCCGAAAGCGGACCAAAGACCTCGACGTGCTTGGCAACATCGACATACTCATCAAACGGAACATCTCCAAGGGCTTCCCTCAGTTCACTACCTGCGGGTACCTCTTCTGGCCCAGCTTCGTCGGCGATATCTCCAGTCTCGCTGGCCTCACTGACGGCGTCGACGGTGACGAACCCGCAGTGGCGGAACGAGCCAACACACTTTCGGATCTTCGTTGACAAAACTCCCGCTCGCGCCGTTCCGCGGTTCCGCCGAACGCGTGGCCAAACGCAACCCAACCTTCCCTCCACCTATCTCCCTCTCTCCTCTCGAGGGGAGAGCGCAGAGAGGGAGAGCAGAGCCCAAAGCAAATAAGCAAACAGCCGCGCGCGCAAGGCTGTTTGTTTGCTTCCTCACCGCCGAGCCGCAGCGCGCCGCGGCGCCGTCGCACATTGCATTAGATTGCATCATCCCTAGTGCAGCGACGCCAGTGACGCGGCCGCGGATCGTGGCGTTGCGTATTTGCGCTTGGCGCTTGGCATTTGTTTTTTTCGCTCTCGGGGTTTCCGGACTTCAGGCGCAGACGAAAAATCCTTCGAATTAACCAACTCCCAACATTTAGCCTTCGAATTACCGCGTGTTTTTCCCCATAGCATTGTACATACGATTGCCGGGACCAGGCCCAAGCTTCGAACTAACCGAAAATTTGAATTATGCAACTTTGAATTACCGAGAGTCGACTGTATTCGGTTGTGGCAGAATGTTCTGCCAACGTACGAATATTCGGGCAAATAGCGAATAATTCAGAGCTTCCTAAAGCCGCGTTTAATTGCCTAAAATTACGGTTATTGTAGCCATTTGTCTATAGACCTTTTCATTTTATTAGTTGCCTCACCAATGGATAGAGGGCGCTGACGCACTCGGCGCCATCAGGTTGCTTCAATTTGGTTGGTTTTGGTTTCAACATGAACGCGGCTATGTTGCTGTTTTACGTTGTTTTTGCTTAATTTTGTGATTCGATTAGTTTCCTTCTAGCACACAACAAATGAAACAATGGTATTGAGTCACCTTGAGGACTACGAGATGTATTTTAGCCTAAATTGCGGGCTTTTTGTTTACCCACTCCTTTGATGTAGCTGGTCGGTTGCGAAACGCCTGACTGATGTACAGGGGAAATTACCATCGTATACAGCCGTACCCGATGACATCAGTTTTTAGAAAAACAATATAATGAAGAGACTAACACGTGAATGTAAATAAGCATATCGACAGCTTGATTGGCAATGTGCGGAATCAGCCAGAACAGATGAACTCGCGAGCTTACTACTGACTGTTCGGTTTTCGTGGGCACCCAACCTTGAGTGAACTTCACAGAATAAAACCTTTCGTGTAATGACGCAGACAAATGGTATAAACAAGTAGTATCGTCTCGGCCTATCTTTTTTTTAATTCAGTACTCGAGCATGCTTCGAAATGCCGAGTAGGAAGTTTCTTAAATTGTCAACTCTGCTAAAGTACTCATAAGCAGCATTTCGCAATATTGGCCCTAGAAAATAAATTATTTTTATATGAACATTTGCTTACTCAAGATATAAGTGACAGGCCCGTCAAATTAAATCTGGCATTTTTCTTCCGTAAAAGTGGCCAAATAAAATTAAAGGGCTCAGGAAGAGAAATGCCTCAGATAGTTTGGCTGAATTCTAGCGCTAGGCACCACTTTACGGACCTGTGTGAACAAATATTAATTTTTTTGAACAGATTCGCTCTGTAAATTTGGGCGTCGCCAGCCACCAAAAATCGACAATCCTAAACTAAAAAAAAATACGCAAAAAAAAAAAAAAAAAGTCGTCGTTATTGAGTATGCGCCGAACCCAAACCGCGTTTTGAATTTGCAAATAGAAACGGCGTTATTTCTTTGTGCACGCTATTCTAAAACTCGCTACCGTTGAGTGTCTGTGGTAGTTTCTTACGCGGGAAGTCCCAACCTTTGTGTTAAAATAAATTGAGTGGATGACACTTGTTATCTAAATATAATCAATAAATCACTTAAATGACTGTCGAAATGGAAGCAAGCGCGGTATACAATTTCTTAAACTTCATAAGTAAACCGACCAACCGAATATTCATGTCGCAAAAAAAGATTGAGAACCTCATCAACATGTAAGTGTGATATTATGAACAAACAATTTGCCTGATGTTGACGTACCATTACTTCTAGCGTAAGATAAAATACAAGTTAAACATTCGTTGTCCATCTCCTCCGCGAGTTTCCTTACATATTCAAAAGCAACTGTTTTCAATATACTATGAATACAAAGAACGATACTTTCAGGAAATAACGATAGTCTCCTTGCGCTGACTATTTTTGATGCCTTCCGATCCTAAATGCGCTATATAAATATACGCACTTCTTACTGGGAATGTTCCGTTACTATTACTAAACAAACCGCAGTTAACATAAGAACCTTTGAATGCTCGTGATGCTTTAGTCATCGAGTAGACATATCGGACTACAGTTTCCGAAGCAAGGCCAGAAAGCGCGGTGAAACGCAACGAAAAACACCGATACAACGCATCTGCCAAGGTGCGGAGGGGAGAGTGGAGGAGCAAGTTGAAGCAACCTAATGGCTGCCGTGTCACGTGATTCCAAGATGGCAGCGCCCATGCGGAGGAGGATGAAAAGGTCTATAAACCCTCGGCGCCTACATTATAAGTAGAACTACCGTTTTTTTTGCACGGTTCTGATGCGCCCCAGTTCTAACACGCAGGCAGATTTAGCTTCCAAATATTCAAGAAGTAAATTGCTGCCAATTCTACCTCGCAGGTAAAATAACCAAGGTTGAAAACATGCCTCATAGAACAGATTTTATAAAACTCGCCAACACAAAAACAAGTACTGTGCACTGGTTGCTGTTGACGGAGTGAGTTGATGGTTCTTCGTTGTCCACAGGGGCAATCCTTGCTTTCGTCTAAAGCGTTTTAAGCACTGCGCTTATTGCATTTGTACAAGTGTCCGATTGTTCACCCTGGGAGGGTCGTTTTCCAAACAAGGCAGTGTCTATTGTATCGGCGACTGGCAGAAAGATTTTTCCGAAATTCTAGCGGCAGTTTTTTCCCATTGGCTGTCTGGAATCATGGGACAACTGCCGATAGAATACTGACTTGCTCATTCGTTTGGTATTTTGCGTAAATACATTTCATGGACGCGTTCGCTAAAACGTAATTTGCGGCAGTTGACGTTTTTGCGAACAACGACGTTTTTTACGGGGACGCATAACAGGGGCGCGTGTTAACCCACCCCCCACGCTGCGTTTACGCCTCTTCGTGTAGGCAGTCTGTGACGGCTCATTACAAACATGTTAACCGACCTGGGTCCACCCGTACATGCCGCTTCGACATTTTAACAAAAATGTTAACCACCTGGGCCCACCCATACACCACTTTGAGGCGACAGTTAGAGGAAAAAGCTAATCTGAGCTGTCGATTGGCCAATGGGAGGCAACTGCCAGTAGAATTTCATGAAAATTATTCTGCCGGTTGCCGGTGGAATACTAGGCACTACCTCCAAACAACACTTTGTGAGGTCACGCAGTGCCGCTACGTTGTTATCTTTTCCTGCCTGCGTGACGGCCTTTCGTTTAAATAAAGCCACCTAAGGGAACTTGTTTTGTTTTTCCATCTTAAAACGGCGGACACAACTTAGTAGACACGAGAAAATGCTCATGATACAGATACCAGAATGGCAAATGTAAACAAACGGCCGTGATGGCAATGGGGCTAACCACCTTACATACTGCGTATTGCATTTTTCTTTTGAGTTTCAGTTTTTGGTTTTGATTGAAAAGCGCATGTATTTTTGGGCACCGATTTTGGGGAGAAAAAGTGTGCAATAGAATCGTGCAAACACGGTATGTATTAGTTTAGGTCAAAGGAACAGTTTTTGTTTTGCCAAGCCTGCATTGCGAGTCACTTTTCTGGCGACCTTTTATATAATATTCTGCCGCAGGAGCTAGGGTAGATGTTTTCTGCTGCAGGAGCAGTTGTCACTGCGAAAGGGGGGTACTTATGTACCGAACATGTGGAACAATTAATTTTCTTGCATGATAATTTGCAGTATAATTGCATTAGCAGCTGATACATATCTGGCTTGCTGGCTAGTCAAGGGTAATTTCAATTATTTTCTTAAAAAAGATCACTGTTTGCATGACAACATCACAGGTTACATTTCTACATGCTATCTGGGTATGTGCAGTTTTGTACACTCTTAATTTTGTCAATATGTGTAACTTTTCAGTTGCACCTTTTGCCTGCTTTCATGTACAGTTGACAGGTGATCGGGTAGTTTCGTTTACTTAAAGTTGTTGACGTCATTTTCAGTTTTGAAGGTAATAAAAAAAGGTATTAGCATATTTTCTTTTATTTCTTAATGGTGCACACATGATCAAAACATATTTGATATTCGACACTATTTTTTTTTAATATTCATATTCTTTTTGTATTTGAAAATTTCAGTATTCGCACATACCTAGTCGTAACCTATAAGTGGGATTCCGTGTTTTCAGAGTTCATTTTTCGCAAAATTCTAAGGGTGTTTTTCGAAGTTCATGTTTTTGCTGGAAATTTGAGGTTTGTCGGAGTTTGTCTTTGTTAGATTTGCGATGCTCCGAAATTCGGAGTTTAATTTTATGTGCTCCCAATTTTTCGAAACTCAAAATAAAATAATTCAAAACAAAAACATACCCTAAGTTGATAAGTTGGTTAGTTAGTAGCCCCAGTCGCAAGGGTGGTTGGGGCTACTAACTGTCCCACGACAAATCTTGCAAACAAGTGTTGCTTCAATAAACATGGGTTCTTCGAAATAGCCAAGCTCCTGAACATAGTAGTTGGGAAGCGTAAAAGCTTTGGTTGTTTTCCTATAAGACCTACAGCTTTATTCACTGTTCGAAAGACGCAACCCCTCCTCTGTCTGAGAAGCACAAATAGTATGATACAAACTGGAAGCCGGAACAGTGGCCTTCGTTGTGATCCAGAAGTATATTGACCCGTTGTACCATAAGCACTTTGATGAAATTTTTATCGGCGAGTGTTTTTTGGAGTTCTTCGGATTTATCCGAAAACACGGAACCCTACTTACAAGCAACCGTTTCTTATAAATAAGATTCAGTCCCTCAGATACCTCAAAACTTTCAGTCTAGTTATATGCAGGTCAGAGGTGATACGTGGCTATTTTTAGATGATGCTGGTGTGCCAGTACTATGTTGTTGTTTCATTCTTATTTGGGGTTGTTGAGCGGTTTTCTGAAAATCTCAGCGTGAAAATGGGGCCCATTTCTGCCTGCTTTCGGTACCTCAAGCCATTCACTCCGTGTATTCAAGAGCTCCGTTGGCCGCCATTTTCCCATTGAAATATTGATAAAATAACTTGTAACCTTCTAACGAGACGACGGTTAGTTGTCAAACTTTGGCATCCGGTTCGGACAGGTAGTGCTAAGTTTGGGCGGAGAATGAGCGTTCGGCAACGAGCGGTGTGTTTCTGGGACAAAGAAAACGCCACATTTTTTGGGGGGGGGCACCCCATAGATTTGGGAGGTGGGCATTGAGTGCTGTGTTGCACCCTTCAGGGGGGTGGGCATTGAGTGTTGTGTTGCATCCTTCAGGGGACTCCCGCGCGGACGAGGTCCGGTCTGCGACAGAGGCGCTCCAGAAATCGTTGGAGGCGGTCTCTGCGTCGAGCAGGGCCCTGTCAACGTCGCTGGGGGAGGCCGACACCCGCAAACTGGGCGACATGGTCGAGGAGGAGCTCTCGCAGATGGACAAGGCCATCGAAGAGGCTGCAAAGCGCATTCAGGTGGGGAAACGAGGGGAAGTCAGATTTACTATTTGCCAAAATCATTGGTAAAGTTAACCGTGCGAGGAGACAGCAACAAAGTCAATAAAATAGTGGTTATATAATTATTAACTAGGTTGATTTCATCTGAAGTCGTGCAAGCAAAAAGGGCAGAATCTTTATTTTTAAAGAAAAAAAACAGGATTTCCTGCGCAGAAGAAAGGTGAAAACCAAGGGTTCGGATAATTTGTTGTTCTCGAGTTGTGGAGCGCAGAAGCGGTCGTCGAAGAAACGAGCGTTTTTCCTGATTGTCGAATTTGCATGTTTGACCCGCTCTCCTCCCTTGGTTTTTGCTTCTACATTGTTTTCATATTTTTCTATTACTTTGTGAGCACCATTAAGAGATCTTAAAGGGATTGTCCGGTCAAATTTTGTATTCGAGAAAACAATTGAATATCATAGTTATTGCCTTGAGAAGCATTGTACGTGCAATATCCGAATTTTATATGCCCCTCTGCGTGAGTAATTGAATTTATACTGCTCATATCGCATTCTAGCGTAAACGCTGCTTTCGTTGGCAACATTGAAGCTCTGACGTCACAAAACACGAAGCGAGCATTTTTGTCTCGTTGTTTGCCTGCGAGTGAAAGCTTCAGCGTGCTTCATTTTTGTTGTTGTGCTCGACTTGTTTCGTGGTTGGGTGAGATTTTTGTTGCGCGGTTGGGTGCCACAACCACCGGGCAGCACATGCGAGCCAAGACATGACGTTCCTCACTTTTCCGCGAGACGTGCAGTGACGAGCAGAATGGATCGTCGCCGTGCGTAGGGACATGGGTTCCCGACAAGATAGAGATCCCGCTTATGCAGCAATCATCTCACAGAAGAAAGCTACGAGCTGAGCTTTCAGCGGACAGGAGGCTTGTAAGCTGAGGTGTGATGCTGTGCCAACGATATTAAACTACGTCCACCCACTCCTCGCCCAAATCGGATCAGTCAATTCAGGTCTGTTCGATTCGCCTGAACTGGCTGAACTATAGTTCGGCAGTGCAGGAACTGGTGCATTCGATTCAACCGTAAGTTGCACGACCGCTGCACTGGCGCGTTCGATTCATCCCAGTTCTGAACGAGTTCAGACCCAGTTCCTCAAAATCTTGCACAGGCTCCAGACTCTGTTCAGCGTCCTTGCAGAAGCAGACGACAAGAGCAGACGGCGATAGCAGAACTCCTCGTCCGTCTCTGCTTGCGGTGCCATTTTTCGCAGCTCTTGCTCAAATGTCTGCGATGTTTAACAATAACCCCAATACGGAGGTTGCATTTCCTCTCATTTATGATAATAACGTACCCGCGGTGGACACGAAATTGAGATCCTAACCGAGGGTGGGAATTTGCTTGATTATGATATCCTAAAAGCGTTTTAGGCACCTGCTCGCGTAGGTTTGGCTCCCTGTGGTGAGTGTTGAAATATTGGCTCACGTAAATTGTTTCTTTTTGATGCTATGTGGGGATCCACAGTGTTCATATTCTTACTTACAGACACGGGAAAGGTATTGCCCTCTTGATAGTCCCCGCCTTCAGCTGCTCTTGAATGCATATTGACGACTCCGACACATTGCAGAGGTCTGAGATTTAGTGCGTTGGCACTCGCATGTCCCCGTAGCTGAGCATAATACTGCATGCTTTGTCCGCTTGTATCTGTGGACGCCCACTAACGGGCCTGAGAAAAACATTGAGAATCAGCATTTTTTTGCAGATTCTCGCTTCAACTTGACGCCAAAGTTATGGTCGATAATTGTCTTGTCCAAGACGCTATCGTCAGGCCTTCGTCTCCGAGGTGACCGGTATACCGACTGCGCGCTGCCGCCAGTGACTCCTGACGCAAAATCATCCTGATGCCGCGAACCTATCGTTGAAACGCAAAGATTCCCTTTGAGGGGCATTTGCCGCTACCTTCTTGACTTGTAACCGACTATAGTTCAGAACTTCCTGCCGCTTCAGAGGCGAAATCTGCATCCTTTGCTTTGCAAGCGCCCCCAGTTCGATCGGCGTCCGTCGCAGTTGTGTTTGCGCGAAACGGCATACGTTTGTTCGAAGCTTATGGCTGTCTGCGAGTAATATCCTGCTAAAAGGCGTGACTTTTTTTGCACGTGCTTGGGAACTGCATTAAAAAAACCGTATTTCAGAAGGGTACTGCCTAGGAGACTATATAATTCGAAACAAAATACAAGACATCCATCGACCAACACTTGTTTTCCCGACCATCCGACAAACCAACGCCTCGTTGGACAAACCTTTGTGCTTTGTGACGTCATGCAGCACCTACGGATGTCAGCCATTGACACTGGCGAAATTCGGGGTGCAGTTTCGTACATAGGATCATGAAAGGTTTAATTAACAACGGGAGATCACATATCAAAATAAAAATGACGTTTGTCTATATGAAGGCTTCCTCGACGTAACGAGCGCAAGAACTTAAGTACTTCCGGTTTTGACCGGACAATCCCTTTAATGTATCAAATATTAGGGGCGAAGCTCCTTAGGGTCTAGCCTTGTCCGGCGTCCGTGCTCACACCGATTGCACTGCCTCCGGGATCGGCCCACTTTAAAAAAAAATGAAAGCCGCTTACAACTCCCTGTAACGTCGAATTGGAGCGCAGCTCTTGAGGAGGAGGAGGGAAGGGCACTGGGGGGGGGGGGGGGGTTAAACTAACCAGGGGGGGTCACGTGACCTTGGGGGTCACGTGACCCCCAATGCCGATGATGTCATCACTGACGTCACTGATGACGTCATCAGTGACGATGACGATGCGGGTACCGATGACGTCATTAGTGACGTCACTGATGACTTCACCAGTGATGATGACGATGACGATGCGATTGTCGGTGACGTCATCAGTGACATCGCTGATGACGTCATCAGTGATGATGACGATGACAATATGGATGCCGGTGACGTCATCAGTGATGATGACGATGACGATGTGGATGCCGGTGACGTCATCAGTGATGATGACGATGACGATGTGGATGCCGGTGACGTCATCAGTGATGATGACGATGTGGATGCCGGTGACGTCATCAGTGATGATGACGATGACGATGCGGATGCCGGTGACGTCATCAGTGATGATGACGATGACGATGTGGATGCCGGTGACGTCATCAGTGATGACGATGTGGATGCCGATGACGTCATCAGTGATGATGACGATGACGATGTGGATGCCGGTGACGTCATCAGTGACGATGACGTCATCGGGGGGTCACGCGACATCGGCGGGGGTCACGTGACCTCGGGGGGTCACGTGACCCCCCACGAGGTCACGTGACCCCGGTGGGGGGCTCGCGCGGTGCATTATGGGACATTTCCCATGATGCACCGCGCGGTTACGCCGACGGCGACGGCGACGCCGCTCAAGCCGGAAACGGGCCCCTAAGAGCTGCGCTCTAAAAAAAACGTACGCCCGCACAGGGGTTTGAACTGAGGACCGCTCGCTTACGAGGCAGATGTCTTAACCACCACGCTACACTCCATCGTTGCATGTAGCCGTTCAACGTCTATACAGGAGAGGGCGCTGCGGTCAAATGCGTATATAATCGCGTTAAACTTTGCTTGCATTGGCTCAACGTTTATAGACGAGAGGACGCTGCGGTCAAATGCTTAACTGCGTATATAACCACGATCCATATCACACATTCTCTTTCTGACATGGACCGCTGACTTAAGTGGTGAAGATGCGTTCCCACGGCTTCTAGCGGATCCAAGCTGATCCGCTAGAAGAACCACTGGCTCTGCATTTCACCGACTATAAAGCAGTAATAATGAAGTCGAAACGCAACCCGGAACTCAGCACTGCCTATGAGCAATAAAAAAAAATCAGCACCATCAGCACTACCTAGTATGAACAATAAAATCAGTATCATCAGCACCACCAGAGCTTTGCCCCAATCAAAATCATTCACCACATAGAGATGCGGCCTGTTTTTTTTATTAAAAAATACCAAAAGATAGCCTACTTCTAGTAAATGCAGTTGGAGGAAACTGGGGTTAGGTACGGCGGGAGATAGGCAAACAGCGGTGACTGGAAAGGACAGTCATTTTGCTTCATCGCCCCTTGCTGAGATAACAAGTTCAGATGGCCACATGATCTAGAAATGGCACTTTTTTAACTTTTGTTGGTCGCACACCGAAAGTTCGCCCACTCCTTATTTTCACTGGATTCTCGATCTTAGGTGGGCTATCTCGGAATATTGCGGTACTTTGATATTATAAATTTTATAAATATTACAGTATATTTATAATTTTTGTGTCAATGGAAAGTGCAAAAGAGGCTCTTTATAAAAGTATTAGACTCAGTCAGTTCTCATTATCTGCTTCAATATCATCCACTGAAAATCGTAAAAATTAGAAAAGTTGCAAGTTCGAAAACTAAATTTTTCAAAAACCATATTTTTATTATTATTTTATTGTTTGTGCCATCGTAAAAGAGAGTTTTGTTCCAAGAATCAATAAACTGTAATATAATGTAATGATAATGTAATATAATAACAACTGTAATAATTTTAAGATATACCAATATCCCTTAAAACTCAGAGATGCCAAAAGTAGATGAGTTTGCCTGTTTTTCTAGCTAAGTACCTGCCACACATTTCACAATAGTATTGGGGAGTTTATGGAGGCCATACAAACAAAATATTACATCTATATAAACTATGATTCTTAGTAAAAAACTTCTTTCTTAGAGAATGCAAAAAGTAAAAATAATAAAAATTAGAACGTCTAGATAAGTTTAATTACATTAAGACCTCTACATGGTGGCCACAGAGTTATAGACAAAAATAAAAATACCGTAGAGGCAAAAACCATGGGACGAGAGTCAGTCAGACATGCAACCTTCGACAGGCAGAAAAAACGCTTATTTGCACTGCGGGCCACTTCACTGCTTCATAACTCGAGAAAAAATTTTTTTTTCCCAAACCCGCGATTTTTGTTGTTTTTCTAAGCAGAAAAATCTTTACAACATAAATTTCTTCATCAAAATTAAATTTTTTTTTTTCTTTCGCCTGCACGATTTGGGATGAAATCACTCAACTATTTAGGATGACATATTGAATGCGGGGCGCAAGTTCGTCTGCTTCTTGCACAGGGGTTGCAATGACTTGAGAACGCCAAGCTCTTATTGGCTGATTGAAAGAACAAAATACTGGGTACACCTCAAGGCATCTAGCATTGAGGTCTACCCACTATCTTTCAAATCAAAGCCAATCAGAGGTTGGCGTCATTCTGACGTCACCGCAACTCATGCGCAAGACTTGCTCTCTGCATAACATTCATATTGCTACATGAAGAGACTAGAAAAATTAATATAGTTGCATAAATATTTTTAACTACTGTTTGACATACAGTTGATAATCTTGCTCATTAGAAAGTTGGGCAGTCTTATGAAAAGGCTTATGTATGCATTTTTTATAGAGCATATAAAGAACCAGGTGTGCGCATTCTTTCTACTGATTGACTGGACTGTGAATGGGATTTCAGAATTAATGTTGCAATCAAAAAGTGTTATCCACAGTGGGGTTCTCATTGTGTGAAAGTGATGTTCAGAGTTCCAGCAAGGGGCATCTCTACATTCCAAAAAAGTCATCTGTGTGTGGTCTTTTGCTATACTTCTCTACATTCAAATGATTGGCTCAAAGTGTACTTTGTGGAAAAGATAGATGTGTGGCGTTGTTAATAAAAGGCCGACCGATTTTCGAGTTGACCTGATACGATGCTAGCTGCTTGTACACTTTTAGATGTGACTAGACAACATGATACGAGTAGTAGCAATAACCACATTTTCGGAAAAGTTGACATTAAAAATATTAGAAAGTAAGTTACTACCGGTCATGGGCACGTTACCAGTAAAAAAAAAAGTAACAGTGTTACAGTTACGTAGGGGGGAAAAGTAACTCTTTTACAGTTACAGTTACCGGTTTCAAAAAGTAACGTGTTACAGTTACAGTTACTGCAAAAACAGTAACGTCGTTACTTTCTCGTTACAGTACAAAAATTGGATACAAGGAATCGCAAAGCAAAACAATATTATTTTATTTGTTACACTATAGTGAGAAGAAAGGTGAACTGTCAAATTAGACAAATTTAAACCCGAATGGTCTTTCGTTTTTGCGTCATTTGCCGTTTCAGCATTTTGAAATGCATAATTTATTTGCAATAATTGTTAAAACTTAGAAACAACCATTTTTCAAAATTGTCATCGGCCCGCGTCAGTGAACGTTTTGGTTTATTTTTCATTTCGAAACGAATGAGGACACTGATGATCACGTAATTACCTTATGGGATATACTCGGAAGCAGGCCTAAACATATCAGGTCAAACAGCTTCGAAAAAATAAAGGGGGGACGCAATTAGCTTATGGTGCTCCATACCTGCCAACTCTCCCGAATTGTCCGGGAGCCTCCCGAAGTTTTATCACATTTCCCGATTGTACAAACGCGACCTCAAATCGCCCGAAAAATATCCGCCATAGTTTTTTTTTTTTTTATGACGCCTTATTGCTATAATTATGACGCGTGTGTCATTGCGAGTTACTCGAGAGTAGGTTTAGGTTACTCCAGCGGGTTACCACGCGACAACCCAGAGCAGTAGCGAGGGTAAACGAGGGTAGATTTTCAAACGCCAAGGTACGAAACCTCTACTCCTGAATTTAGAGCGCATTTTCGAACACTTCTTATATGACCATCGGTGCGCCAGGCTTCAGTTGGCTTTGTCAGGTCGTCGAGTGAGGTGCGAAACGCCGAAATACTGTTTGTGTTTCCCCGAGTTTAGTTGGAACCACTGATCTGTTGGAACGATCGATGGCACTTTAAAAAGCCAAGAAGTACTTGCAAGTATTTCTGAGATCATACACGACTGAGTTTCCGTGCTTTCTCGCTTCGCAGAACGCTGAGAAGTATGGATTCTGTACCATGTGCGCCTGTGATGTGTGAGCGTTTCGCTTGGCGGCAAGCTTGACATCAAGATACACATCACTTCACGAAAGCATCAGAACCATGCTCGTGCCGTAGAAGGGCAGGGCACCACCGGCAGTTTACTCCAAAACAACTGCGAAAACAGTGTGATTCGCGCAGAGTGCCTCTTCACGCGGTTTCTTGTCAAACTAAAATAAAATAATAATAATAATGTTTCGACCCCCCCCCCCCCCCCCCCCCGCGCGGCGGTCTCCCGAATTTTTATGTTGCTAGGTTGGCAGGTATGGTGCTCTATGAGTGTACGACAACCACCGCGGCATCCATGTCTGAAACGCCAACTGTGGAAGTCGTGTTCACTCGAGCGGCTCCAAAGAAAATGAATAAGTTAAACAAGCGCCGGCTTTCTGCACATTATGGGGACGGCTTCCTTGAAAAGGATGAGGAAACGGCGAACGGCTGGGTGTACAAACGGCAGCACGGACATATCCCAGTCACAGCCCAGATGGAATACTTGGAGACATCGCACTACCACCGACACCCGCAGATGGTCGGTGAAACAGACATTGCTTGCCGCCCTACCATCGCGGGCGCCGCTTCCTTTATCTTATGGTTTCGTACTGACTCGTCCGTCGTTCATTCTCGGTCATGGGCTAAACCAGGCAATTTTTTATTTGTTTAATGCATAGCTACGCTTCTTCTTCTTCATATTTTTTTTTTGTCAGCGAGGAGTTTGGAGAAAAATACTTCAAGATGACAATTTCTTCATGATTGTGGCACTGGGTTCTAGTTTATATAGTAAAAAAAAAGTCACTGTAACGGCCTAAACAGTTCCAGTTACCCAATAAAAAGCTAACAGTGCTCAAGTTACAAGTTACCAGTATTAAAGAGTAACGCATTACAGGTAAAAGTACCTAGTTACCGGTAATGCGTTACTTGTAACTAGTTACTGCCCAGGACTGGTTAGTGCTACTATTAGTGATGGGAGGAAGTGGCCAAAGCTAGGGCTGGGCGAGATTCAGTTTTTACTGAGTGTGCTACCGCTCATCATTTAGTTTCTGGTGTGCTTGGCTAGCCATGCTGAGTCCGTCTTTCTCTTGCAGGACATGTTGGAAAAATCTCGGGAGGGCGACTCTGGCATCAAGCTAGAAGTGAACAGCAAAATTTTGGATGCATGCACAGGCATTATGCAGGTATGGTTATCTTGTCATAAGAGCTGTTCACAAGTGCTGGTGGATGGTGTTTTGAATGCATGTACTCTACTGAATAATTGTGGTGGCGTTTTTACTTTCTGCACAATATTGTCCGCTCTTTGAGGGAAAAGTCATTTTCGAGGGGTGGGACCTAAAAGAAGCATGTGGTGGTGGCTTTTTAAAGAAAGCTATTTTCGTGACACACGTCCCTGCAATGTTGTTCATGTGTGCAATGATCTGGGGATGCAAAGTCTCTAAATTTGTGAGGTTCTTCCAATTACCAGTGTGGGTTTTAGGATGATTGTGACATTCAGACAAAGGGCTCTGAGCATAAGGAGTCTATTCCAATTTGCACACTGCTGTTAGGGTTTTGTGTTGGCAGCACTATTGCTACCATTGTTGCCCCAGCAGTGCATTTCGGCACTGTGAGTGGAAGATTTCAATAAAATAGTAATGGCAGAATTTTCTTCGTTGTTGTTGACATTTTACTTAGCTTGATATAATGAAGGCAATGTTTTCTTGCAGGCTATTCGGGAACTGGTGAAGAGCTCCAAACACCTGCAGGAAGAGATTGTGGGAAAGGAGAAGGTACTGGCCAGTTTTGAACTCTAGGATGCATTGTAACGACCCCAAATGTATATAAGGTTGCTATAGAGTACTGGATTACTAGTATGTATTTTTTGCAAGGTTAGGGCGTGCCAAACATCTTATTTAATAGTAGTAGTGCAGTTAGGGTCTAACCTGAGGGATTAAAAGGGCAGCTAGAGTTGATGAAATCTTTGATCTGTCAAGCCAACTTCATGGTTCTTATGTCGTCGCATTTTTGTGGCGTGCTTACAAAACGAAAATAAAAAGTTGGCTATCTAGAAACATGTTTAAACGAGCGTACATTTCTAGAAAGGCAATGCGGAGTGCAAGTTCGTCTGCTTCTTCCGTGGGGGTTGCAGTGACGCGCCAAGCTCCGATGGGCTCGGTTGGAAGGATAGTGGGTAGACCTTGAAGCAACTAGCATTGAGGTCCATCTACTACCCTTCCAATCAGAGCCAATCAGAACTGTGTTCTCCTGCGCAAGGAGCAAAGGAATTTGCGCCCCGCATTGCATTCTATAATTTAGATTTGCAGCTATCTGACTTCTAAAAACATAAAGACACGTCACAAGCATGTCTGCGGTTGTGACTGTCACCAATTTTGTTCGGAGTTCTCATTGTCCGTTTGAATGGTCGGACATCTCGGTGAGACGCGGGAGGGGCAATAATGGCAACTCTAAGTCGGAGTGCACCGATCTGTACAATTTTCGCACTTCAGCGCAATAAATTAACTTTTTTTAGTCGTCTGTCCCTCGTCGGCGAGACTTCCGCAGCCGAGCATTCTGCAGCAACAATCTAGAGAAGCTAACAGTGATGTTTGTCGTCTTCTCGTGCAACAGGGCTCCGCCTCCAAGAAAGAATTCTACAGCCGGAATCACCGGTGGACCGAAGGTCTCATCTCGGCCGCCAAGGTAGTGGGCATCGGAGCCAACTTCCTTGTGTAAGTCAAGGCAAACTTGACCACCATTCTCCAACCTGAAGCTTGCGGGCACATTACGAGCGAAGTCAGTTTCTTTTTTCTGGCCTTCCGTAGACTCGAATTTCGGAGCTCTTTTTTACAAAGTTTTTTGCGAAAACAAAACTTTCGACGTTGAGCCGAGCTGGATTTCCAATGAAAGTGAGGAATCCGCCCACCTTCCAGCGACGCTGCGGACAAGGTGGTTGGGGGTCGTGCCAAGTTTGAGGAGCTGGTCGTGGCGAGCCAGGAGATAGCGGGTGCCACGGCGCAGCTGGTGGTGGCCTCCAAGGTGAAGGCGGCCCGTGGCTCCGAGCGCCTTTCCGCCCTCTCCAAGGCCTCCAGGGGAGTCTCCGAAGCGACGGGGAACGTCGTGGCGACGGCCAAGGCTTGCGCCCAAATGGTTGAGGACTCGGGTGAGGGTAGCTTCCTCTTTGGATGCAGTGCTGCGAGATGGTTGCTCACACAATGTTTTAATCATCTCTGTTCTTGTCTATCCAGAAGAGAAAATGTCATCTTGTGTGTTGCAAACTCTGTTTTTTTCTGTTTTCCTTGCAGAGGTGCTCGACTTCTCCAGACTGACGCTGCACCAGGCAAAGCGACTCGAGATGGACTCTCAAGTGAGTTACTGCTTCACTCGCTTGTAAGCACACGGGCCAACATTTCTCGGAATACCGTCAACCACTAGGTGGCCTTTCGTTTCCGTACCAATCTTGTCATGTCTAGTAGTTTGTGCTATTGTATGTTAAAAAAAAAAAAAACAAACTTAGTTAAGGCTTAGATCCACACTTCTAATTACGTCGGCAACTAAATTGAGTGCCGTGCCATGTTTTTCGAGAGAAATTTAGGGCGGTCAATGTAGGAGGCTCGGTCAACGGCGATTCTGACTGGCGCCGGCGGTGAGGGTACAAGGGGGAACACTTTTTTCGCCGCAGGTGCGGGTGCTTGAGTTGGAGAGCAGCCTGCAGAAGGAGCGGGTGCAGCTGGCAGGACTGCGGAAGCGGCACTACCACTTGGCCGGTGCCAGCGAGGGATGGGATGTCCGGGAGGTGCGTACCTTGCCTTCTCCGGCTTCGCCTTTGGATGAGCTCCACAACTGTCACGTGTACGATCGAAACATGGAGGAAGGAAGCTTCTAGAGGTGACATGACTATTCAGAAGCTTCCTACTGCCACGAATAATAGGTATAAGCTCTTCTTAACGAGGGCTCAGCATACTGAATTGAAGTTCCATAGTCGTCTCGTGCATAATTCCAATGCTGCTCATGTTGACGTTCTGGCATTACCCCTTATTTTCGTCAATGAATACGGGCTATACTGTATACTTAGGCTCGTTGTTGAAAAATCTTCGTCGATCTATTCATGGAGGGCCGACCGCAGCGACGCTCGTATTTCTCGCTAGTGGCGAGGCTCCGAAATGCGATTCGTGCTGTAACTGTGAGCATGGCTTTTTGTTTGGTTGTTTTTTTTTTTTTTTTACTGGAGGTCACATTTCTGAACGAGAAGGTTTTTGCAGATCTGAGCACTTGCAAAAATTCCGCATGTCTTCCTACATGCCCTGCGAGCAAATTTGTTGCATGATGCTAGCCCCTTTCAGAGCGGGGGTCGACTAACAGTTCGAGCTGACAGAGCAGCAAATGCCTTAATTAATTAAGCTTTTACTCGGTAGAATCCTGGTAATATGGCTGCAAGAACGTGATGTAATGTGTGAGTCGCATATCGAAAAAAGGATGACAATGGCTATGGTACCATGGCTCCTTGTAACAGCATACATGGGGTACTTGGGTACTTCCTTTTCGGGTTTTATTTTTCTGAGCGACTATTTTAACGTCCGCTAAGTTTTATTGTGTTTCGATGGTTGTGTCCCCATTGTCCTCCGTGTGTCCTCGTTTAGGGCTGCCCTTCTTCTTTTGTGTCCCCTAGTTGAGGGGATCAAAGCTCTCAAAGTGTTCGATAGGTTTTGCCCATTTTCCTGTTGGGGCCATCCGGCCTAACCTTGATTTTCTTTTGTGTGCTTTTCTGTTTAGGGTCATCATCTAAAACAATATGAAGAAAAATAGAAAAAATATTTTTAAATAAATTAATGTCAAAACTTAAAAAAAAAAAAAAAAAGCAATTCCCCCAGTGGACCTTTCTGGGGATGCCGGCGCCACCAGTGAGCGCTCCGGGACATTATGGGAACTATGAGGGTGTTTCATCCTTTAGCCAAGCAAAGTTTAGCTTAGTTGAGCTTTTGCATGCTAGGTGGTGCATGAATGGATTCTGAATCCATTCATGCCTCCAGGCGAACTTGCGGTTTTCAAATGTTGGGTGAGCTGCATATTTATTTTTTTTTTTGGGAAGGAAAATAAAATGTGCGAACTATACTCCGTTCTTTACTTAGTGTACAACGCTGTGAAAGCTATTGTCACGAGAGCATGGCTTCATCTGTGGTTTTGTTCGTGCGAGAACGCGTGGAAATGATATGCAAGATCAAATTCACAGTATTCGAGCCGCACCCCTTCCTTTTGAGGCGCGGCGCCAATGTGGCCTGCTGTGCTGACTGAGCTGCCGTGTTTGCACAATCCTCAACAACACGGTGCCCCGTGGCGCGCGCGCGGAGCAGAGGCGCGGCAGCGCAGCTGTCTCCACTTTTTGCTCTTTCCACATTCTAATCCTGTCCTCTTCACGGCTGGTTGGCCCCTTCGCAGCAACCAAAACCACGAGATAGCACCGCCGGTGCCGCTGTCTGCGGAAGTTTTTCTGGGCTTCGCCGCAAGTCCTGAGTTCGAGCGCAATGGGCAAGCGCTTGACCAGCTACACGGCTGGTTTTGAACTGAAAGTTGGGGCTTTTGCCCTTTGCGCCGCCGCCCTCTGCGCGCCTTGTTTCGTTCGTGCTGGCCAAAGCATCTGCGCTACGACGTTGACGAGAAGTGCGTGCGGTGCTGGTGCGACCAAAAAGATGCTTTGGCCAGCACGAACGAAACAAGGCGCGCATTCTGCGGCAAGCTCTGAAAGTTCCCCGAGCTGGAGAATGAGCTTTTTAGCTATGTGAAAGAAGTGTGCAATAATAAGTGTGCCCTCTCGACTGACATGTTGAGAATGAAGGCACTTGAACTGGCGCGTGCGAAGGACGTGCTTCCTGGAGATTTTAAAATGAGCGCCGGATGGACCAGGAAATTTATTAAGAGAAAAGATCTCTCCATTAGACGAAGGACGGCGATGTGTCAGCAGCTTCCCAAAGAATATGAGGACAAGCTTCTCAGCTTTCAGAAATATGTTATCGGGCTGCAGTAGGAGCACCAATACATTGTGTCCCAAATTGCGAATGCGGATCAGACCCCAGTTTGGTTTGATTCGCCGAAGAACTGTATGGTGAATGTCAAAGGCTTAAAAAGTGTGCTCGTTTGTACCACGGGACTGGAACGCCAGCGTTGCACCGTGATGCTCAGCATCACTGCGGATAGGCGGAAACTGCCATCATACGTGATTTTCAAAAGGAAAAGGGTTCCTGCCTAAGAGTTTTCCCGTGGAATCATCGTCCGCACGCAGGAAAAGGGCTGGATGGATGAGGAACTGGTAGTCGTCTGGCTGAAGACCATTTGGGGAAACCGCCCTGGGGCTATGCTAGCGAAGAAGTCCCTGCTGGTGCTGAATAGCTTTCACGGTCATCTGACAGAAAAAGTGAAGGCGGAGTTGCGCGAAAAGCACACAGTGCTAGCCGTCATACTGGGTGGGCTTACAGGCATGCTGCAGCTCCTCAATGTGAGTGTCAATCAGCCTTTCAAGGTGGAGTTCCGTCGATGCTACAGCGAATAGATGGCCAGCGAGAACCATCAGAAGACGCCCACTGGACGGCTCAAGAGAGTATCTTTGTCAACTGTGGCCGGATGGATTGTGACCATGTGGAATGCACTCTCACTCGACGTCGTTGCCGAGAGCTTCAAAGTGACCGGAATCTCTAACAACCTTGATGGCATCGAGGATGACCTTGTGTGGGAGCGCATCTCCGAAGAGCCAGACTCCAGTGCCGAGGACAGCTCAAGTGACGAGGAGTGAGGCCCAATAAAAGATGTTTGGGACTAGTACACCCGACCGGAAGTATAGTATGCCCATTTTTGCATCCACATATACTGTATATCAATATTATTTGAATTTGTGTATGGGCCGCACCTTGAAAGTCAACCTTTAAATCCAAAAAACAAAATGTGCGGCCCTTACACGAGTTTTTACGGGTATTTGTTATGTAAAGTTTGTGTAGTTTGTTTCATCATGCTTTAAAAAATACACAAGACAAATTTTACTGACGTTTGGGCAATTGTGCACGAGAACCCATGGCTTGGATAATTCTCTCTATCAGTGTAACTGAAAGCCATCAATCTATGTGCACTATTTTCTTCCCCAGAAAACATTGTGGAGTGCAGTACTACTCCAGCAAGATTTATTGACTCTACAGCGTGGACAAAAGGGATTGAACGCTGTTTAAACTGACCGCATAAATCGGTTTCTTAGCTTATCGTGCTGTTATTTACTACAGAGGTACCTGAAGTTGGTAGAAGCTATCACTAAAATTTTGGAAAGATTGGCTCAGCTGAGTAAGTCAAGAAAATTCAAAAACTATGTTTTCCTTATCCTTTGCATGTACACTAAAAAAATATGTATTTCATAGGCACTTCTTTTAGCCAAATGAAGTGAAGAATAGGTAAGCTAATTTTATTTTCTTTCCATTTCACCAATTTTTCGATCGTAGTAAACGCCAGAATAACCCACAACAATTTTCTGATGATTTTGAGATATAAGACGTAGCGATAATTCTTCCATAGACAAAACCAGTTTTTAGTTTCTTTCTTTTGACTCCGGATGTTTCATGTATTCATTCTCGCAATTAATGAGTGCACCAGCTTCGAGCACCTCTGTAGTAAATCCCAGCGCGACAAGTTAAGAAACCGATTTATGCAGTAAGTTTAAAGTGCGTTCAATCCATTTCGCCCACGCTCTAGTATTGGCCAAATCGAAGCGTAGGTCTGATGCTGTCGATTGTGAAGTTTAGGCCGTAATTTTGTAGGTTATGACTCGGAAGAAGGATAAGGCTCCCAGCTCTCATTTGAGTGCTTATGGTGTACCCAAAGTCTCCTCTAGGTTTGTGTGGGGGCTTCCACGGACAGATGAAAAGAGTTAGAATATTGAAATCAAAAAGCTTATTTCTAAAGAAGAGGGGGATTCCGGGACAATGTTTGAATGTACAGTAAAGCATGTGCATTTTGCTTGAGTCCGGTTCATCATTGTCACCTTTATTGGGGTCTTATGAGGCCTAGAGGAGATGTGGCAAGGCATTTGAGGGTCAAATACCTCCACTTTAAAAGGTAGTTCTGGCGGTTTTCAATGCAGAATTGAATTCTTACTGAAGCTAACTTTGATTCGGTCTTGAAAAGTGAAGCGTGCCATGGTGAGCCATGATCGAAGAGAGTTGGCTGCTTGCCAAATACTCGCGCTGTGAGCTCTGCCGGCCACACAACCCCAATACGGAAGGAAAATAAAACTGAAAAGGGAGGGGGGACATAAATGCTTTGAAAAGACTTTGTCAGCTGTGAAAGTTTACAAAATAACAAAAAAATTGGATGAAATCGCTGCTGCTGCCACACTGATTTTCAAGGAAATGCATCAGCATTTCATGCAATGGTTATACTGTATAACAAAGCTTGGTGATCACAACCTCTCGACACTGCTCCGCGGGGTGAACGTTCCCAAAACCCCTTTTCTCCTTCCTGGTGCAGGCAGCTCAGGTCACTTGTGCATGAAGAATGGCGGCCGCGCAGGATTGGCTGGTTATAGAGAGTGTCTGTGTGATGTATCACCTAGCAAGCGAGGTGCAGTGGGGGACAGGGCGTCGCGAGGCGGCGTGTATGGGTGGCCTAAGGAGGGTTAGTATTCTGTAATGAACCATCTGCAGGCTCTCGCCGCAAAGCGGCGTGGACGGGGGGGGGTAGAAAGGTTAACATGCGCCACAGTGATACACCTGCCGTCCCCCACTGCGCGGCGCCTAAATTGGCTAAGGGGGACGTTGCGGCGAT